CTCTTTATTTAGTCGCTTAAGTTCCTCGTTACGTTTCCGGGCTTTTATAAGTTACGTCTATAGCCTTTTGACTTGACTAAGCGTTACTAACTTGTCGCCGGCGTCTCTTACTCTCTAATCCTGCTTCTACCTAACTACTATATAGCTTACTTGTGTTATAGCAAGAGTTCTTTTACTAGGGTTTCCTTTACTAGTAGCTCCTCTTACAGGAGTCCCTTAGGTGTCTCTTCCTAAACGACTAAGTACTATAACTATAACGAGCTGCCTCCTTAATAGGGAGAAGAATTAGAATGTTAGAGATTAGTATTACAGGTAATATAGTAGAGAATTATAGTCGAGTAGCTAGTAAGTCGTAGTATGTTTCTATTTAAATCTAAACTAATTCTTGCCTTCCTTCTTTACCCCTTACTCCCTAAGATATATGTGTACTACCCGAGAACCCTAAGTGGCCCTGGCGTGCCTACAGGTACGCGGGGCCCGCGCATTCCTGATCCTACCCCTTTAAGTCCCTAACAAGAGCCTCCTCTCTCTCGAGCGCTATAAGGTAGTCTCGTTTTTGCTTAAGGCGCTACTCTACCCTTACTTAGGCGATCCTCTTGTTTAACTCGGTCTTACTTAGGGAAAGGATTTCTGTTGACATTTAGAGAGTCGTACTAGGTTCGCTACTATCTACTTACAAAGAGGTATTCTAAAGAGTTACTTAAGAAGAGGCCTGCGTCTTGTTAAGGTTTATTTGTCGTGTCTACGTTATTACTTCTTACTCTAACAGTCTGTAACCTTTTAGTAAAGGAGAGAGATTAGAATGTTAGGTGTATTTCTATAGAGTAAAAGAGGCAAGAGTTAATAGACAGTCGTAGTATATTCAAAGGTATATCGCTACTTTAACTATAGACTAATCTCTAAACCCTTCTTTCTTTCCCCTCCTTACCCTCTATTCTTATGCTCCTTAATGCCTACTATTACCTTGGTCGTAGCACGCAGTTACCCCGTACTTGATTTCTAAGCTATTATAGTCTTACGTATTAGTATACCTAACATAGAGGAGGGTTAGAACACCTTTTGTCTAGCCTTCTAGTAGTCCTTTCTCTTAGATCTCTTTATAGAGGTTATAGAGGATTACTACTATAAGTAGTGTCTTATTTTTATCCTTTAGCCTAAAACGTAGTAGCTATTTAAATAGCTTATATAGTAAGCTATTAATTCTAGGCGACTTTCCTATAGCCGCTCTTTTAATAGAGGCTTTAACTTCCCGTACTGTAATAGTCTTAGTAAGACTAATTACTTACTAGGGTTAGACTTTGTCTGTAAGGTAGCTTAGAATTTCTTTAGCCGCTACTACCTTAGTAGGTTTCTTAGTATATAGATTGTTGTAGAACTTTACGGCCTCCTTAACAATTCCCTTAAGGGCCGTAATAGTCTGTCCGGTACTGTTGTAGATCGCCTTAATTACTCTACTCGTGTCTGTTTTAACTCTTATATAGAATTCTCTAGTTAGTCTTTCTAAAAGAAGTATAAACTTTACTACTGTATTATATAAGTAATTCCGGTACTCTTATACGTTTAGGTACTCTTCTTATGTATCTAGTAATCTGATTTTTGCCTCTAGCTCTAAGTCTGTATAGCGTTTTACCTCTCTCCTCTTTTATAGGTTCTTCCTTTTCCTTTATATCTACGTCCTTAGCTTCTTATCAGTTACTAGGGATACTTTAGCCTCTGTTTGTAGTACTTATTTTAGAACAAGTTTAAAAGCCTGTTATTCCTCTCTTAGTTGCCTTCTTAGTAGTGCTTCTAGGGCTGTAACTACTAGTTCCTACACCCTTTTCTTCTTTATCTAGAGTAGGTTTATTCTCTATCTTTTAGGTCCTCTTAGTATACTTTGTAGGAACTGTAGGGTTACCCGGGCCGCTCTGTAGTTAGTACCTAAACCGGTAGGCACGATGTCCTACCGGCTTAAATACCGTATCTAGTCAGACCTTAGGTATATCTTATTAATCCTTAAGATACCTTTAAGGGTCCTATTCTTCTATCTATAGAATGTAAACGCTTTAGAGTCTAGGTGTCTGTTACGCTACCTGTCTTTATACTTGTAGTCATTTCTTCTAACTACTTTAACTAGCCTGTTTATTACTCTTATTGTTATCGCCGCGTCTCTCTAGAGGGTTCTGTAGTCTATAGCTAAAGTAAGGTTCTAGTCTCTAGTAATAATGTTACTATTAATCCTGTAGTTTAAATCTCTTACAACCTTAATTATTCTCCTTAGCTATAGTAGCTTCTGTATTGTTTTAGCTAGGGCGTAGACGTTAGTTACTATAAGTACCTGTCCTCTACTTTTTACTCTATAACTTAGTATTCTACTGTCTTTATCCTAGAACAGAATGTGGCCCTCTTCTTCCTCTTGTATCTAATACTATTTAGTAGTTCTAAGATTAATTATAGTTAATACGCCTCCCCTACTATTCCTATAGTTTGTTATAATCGAGATTAGAGGGTATAAGACCTTAAGCTCTCTTACATCTACCTTAGTTAGGCAGGATTCTTGTGTTATTACGACATTAATTTCTTTACTCTATATTATGTTGTACAGGTCACAGAACCGGGCCGTCAAGTTAAGTGACTACACATTTATTAATACTAATAATACTCTATTTATACAGGTTCTCTTGATTTTCGGGCAGCTCTACAAGCCACCTATATAGTCTTTTAGAAGGGGGCATAACAACACTACAGAGCTCTAGACAGTCTAGCACTTTGTACTTATTCTTGTCAAGTACTTGTTAGTACATCTTATACCTCGTCCTTATAAGGCCTACGGCCCTAAACCTGTATAGAAACACCTTCTTTAGTCTATTAACCTCTAGGATAGATACAGTAACCTTAGACAGTTCTAGGAGGGCTAAAAACTATAGTAAGGTACGGTTACCCCTTACCCTTATATAATTCTATATCCTTATCTAGAACTAAATTCCTCTTTACTAAAGCAAGTCCTTTAGGTACTTAGTAATACTAGTCACTAAGGTGTCTGGTTTAATACTACCTGTCTTGTCTACTACAAAGATCTTTGCTCTAGCCCCTTTATATACTAAGACATAGGCGGCATAGCCTGTAATCCTAACAACTTTTCTGTCTAAGGCCTTATAGTTCTCTCTCTCTTATAGCTTTACTACCTAGCCCTTCTAGTCGATCCTAAAGGCAGCTTTAAGATCGCCTATCTTAACATGTCCTAAGTTTAAGAGAGTAGAGACGACAGCCTTATAAGTGACAGCCTTAGACTCCTAAGCCTCTTAGGCGAGCTTAATGTAGACGTAAAAGCTATTAGTATACTTAGAGATCTTCTTGCCCTCTACTAGTATGACCGGACCTGCCCCTTGTCTCGTTTGTCTGTTCTTAAGGTTAGTAGGGTCGACAGCTTTGCTTTAGAGAGCCGTACGGTATATTAGGCTCGTAGTCTTGTTTCTTGATCTCTTTAAGGGTAATGTCTTAACAGTTGTTTACGACTGTCCTCTTTTTAGAGTTAAGTACTTTTATAAGGTAAAGGTACTAGGGCGGGTCTAAGACCGTTAGATAAAAGTCTTAAGTACTACATTATTAACAAGGATGTTAGGAGTAGGTATCCCTTTAGCTCTTGTTATAGTTAGGAGTAGTACTTTCTTAGTAGTAGTGTACGTTGTCGGTTCTAGGTCTCTAGATCCCTCGGCATTAGTTATAGCCTTTCCCTTACCCTCTTTTGCCTTTTACCTCTTAGTTTCCTTCTTCTTCTTACTCTTCTCCTTCTGTCTTGCCTTCTTAGCTAGTCTGTCTGTGTAGTCTTGTGCGTTAGCGGCCTAATCAAAGTTGTTAGGGCGTAGTGCCCTACTAGTATTAGTCTTAGCTTCCTCTATTAAGTAGTCAGACTTATCTCCTACTAGAATCTTATTAAACTCACTACTCTTTATTTTGTCCGGCTAACTCCTAGGAGCCTACCTACTAGTAGAATCGGACACTATAAGAGGAGCACTCTCTTTATAGCCTATCGTTGTAATCGTTGATTTAGAAGAAGACATTTGAGTAGTATTAGCGCGTAAAGTTTCTTAATCAGATCTATTATAGTTTATAATTTTTAAGGATTTTCTAGTAGTTTATAGTCTTACTAGGGGCTTACACAAAACCTAGACTTTGTGACCAGGCAACCGTTAGTATAGTGATCGTAAAAAAAATTTTTACCGCTACTCTAGAGTAGCGGTAAGGACTTTAGACGGTCTACTAACCGTTGCCTAGTACAGTTTTTGCCGTTGTATGACCTTTAGCTTTACTAATAAGAAGCTTCTCTATTATAGTGATTTTAGCTAGAAAAACCACTGTCCTATTAGCTACTAGACCCCGTACAGTTACCGCGTTAAGGTGTTATACGTGTACTAGAAGATACGGCTTGGCAGGCTACATCCCTAGAATAACAAGGTTTAAATCAGTAGAATACTATAATATCAGGTACAGACCTTACCCAGGTATTAGTAGAGTTCTTATCCTCATCCCTATCATCCCCGGGGGGGACACTTGGAGATCTTGGAGCGACACTTGTACAATAACACCAGCCCGTTGTGTGTTTAGCAGCGCGGCTTATAGCAACTCGTAATCGTTACGAGCGCCCCCTGCGCGCCGATTGCCACTTGCGTCGTAGTTGCTGGGCGGATCCTGTGGTGGAGACGTCTTGGGGAGACTTGGCCGTGGATTAGTTGAGTTGAGGCCTTTGTGGGTTGTGTCAGAGAAGAGAAGAAGAAGAGGTGGAAGAAGTGGAAGAAGAGGAAGATTCAGTCGAGCCGTGGGACATGGATCAGGAGTTGAGGGCGCAGGGGAAACTTCAAGACAAAGAAGGTTAAGAGAGAATCAATCGATTTTGTTTGTGCCTGGTTCTTCTGCTTTGTGCTTTGTGCCTCTTGCCTTTGCCTTTGCCTCTACCTCTGCTCTGCTTTCTCTTTTGCTCCCTTGTTTTCTTGCTTGCCACCGTCACCTGTCTGTCGGACATCATGCTGCTCCGAGGAGATATTTTCTTTTTCACAGCTTTGGCAATCGCCTCAAATCTACCTACCCTTCCCTTTCCTATTGCCAGCCTCTCTCGCGCACCGTTCCGCCCATTCGCAGCTCTCTCCAGCTGTTGTTCGTTTCATAGCAGGTGAGTTTCCAGCGTATAGCCCAGATCTCTGTCGCAGGGCGGTGGTAACCCATCTCCCCAGTGCGGTGGACTCAACTCCGAATGCTTTTCCCTGGTTCAGGACGCCCGCCGCCCCACCAAAGGACGGGAGGATGAACGCATCGCGCAACGCCCAGCCCTCCAATAACACCGGCGTGGGGAGCCGGGGCGTATCAGTTCAGTCATCTTCGAATGTTCCTCTGTCATCCTCGATCGTTCCCGGCCGGAAAATTGGATCGCTGATGCTGGCGCCCTCGCACGCGGAATTTTATTCCGTCGAAAATTGCCCTTTGCTCATGGAGGTCGAGGAATTTGAGGTTCCCAAGCTTTCGTCGATGGAGGGAGAGAGAGAGCTTTCAATTACTGATTACCTCACGCCAGAGATATCGCCGATGCTGCCTCTTTCGCTACGTACCCATTTTCGCCTCACATATCATAATCACTTGCGATGGTAGGGAGACAAAAACTTTTGCTCGTACTCGGACTTCGTTGAACGGGAATGATATGGACTCGTGCACATTCGGTTTCAAACCATGCACCCACCAAGTCCCCGGCGCATCCTCTATCCAACCATTGCCCTTATTTGCCTTTGAAACCCGCAAAATCCGCGGCCTGATGGCCCCCCAACCCGCTCTTTTCCGCAAACGGGCGCCGATCAGCCTTATGTCTCTGCGACGGTGAGACACGTCTCTTGGCTTGATGCGGGGTGGGTTGGCAGGAAAGGATAAGCCCGGCATAAACAAATGGGCAGATGATATACCCTGTAAGTAGGAAAAACAGGTATTTGAGGGGATTTTTAACCAGGAGGGTTTTTATACCGGGAAAAGATGTTGGAGAGTCTGTCTTGCTCTATCCCCAAATCCTCAAATCCCCAAATCCACCCCTATCTATCTATTTATCTATATCCCCAGCCCAAAGAATCCCAAGATCCGAGAAAGAAGAGCGGGGTTAGAAACAAAAGGTAATTTCATTTTCACCCTCAGATTTGAAGGAACAGATGGGGAGGGAAAGGCACATTGTTTATCGTTTCCGGGGGAAGAGGTATATAGTATGTACTACCGTTCCTCTCGTGAAAGCTTGATGCATTTTGCATTTGTTCCTTTTATGAAGATCGCAGAATATTATTCTTTGCTTTGCCTACCAGAGCAAAGAGCAAAGGGGAAAGGAGTCGTTTTGGATATGGGGATGGAGATGTTCGTGCTCCGAGTATCTCGAAAGAAGGTAATGAATGTCTTCGCCGGCGTATAAGAAATTCTACTACAAGCATACATACTGTACAAGGGGTATCGAACGAGAATGAGAGCGCGCCTGTTCATAATCCCCAGGCCAATGACCCATCCGCAATGTCTCGCCCGCCCGCGACCTGTCCAATCTATCACCGAGTCGACCTCCTCCCAAGCACACCTATACCGTCGACTTCCCCACGTTCTTCCTGGCTCTCAGCCTGGATCCGTAGATCGCCATGCCTCCAGCGCTGACCAGCCAGAATAGCGCGTTTACCAAATCAATCCAAACGGCATGCTTCATGCGTATGATGCCGCCATCGCCCTGCGCGTCCGCATGGATGTACATCTTGCCAAACAGGCCGAAGAGCGCGATCCAAAGTATGAAGAGCAGCGCATCCCAGACGAACAGGAACGGCACTCGCGCGACGATTGGAATCATATATAGTAAGGCGGTGACGGCACTGAGTGAGGCGACGACCTCGGCGTAGACCTGTGATGGCGCACTATGATTAGCATGCTGGAGGGGGAGAAGGAAGGGGCAGACAGAAAGAACATACCCATTTCGCATCGCTGTATTTGTGCTCTTTGTGCGCGGCGTGGAGGTCCACTCCGTAGAGGCCGCAGACTGTGAGCGCGAAGATCATCTGGATGAAGCGGAAGACGGTGAGGGCGATGTGTGCCATGGTCATCTCGCAGCCGCGGATGAGTCCCATCTTATCTTAGGTCGGAGGAAGGTTTGACTGCACTTCGCGGTCTGAATATGCCTGGGAGACTTGACTTGTAATAACGAGGGGTATTAGGGATGGACTGGGTGCTGTGGATGTTCGAACTCGAGGTTGTTAATCTTGCAGAGGACAAGAAAGTGGATTGCGATCCAGCGCCAGAAAGGATAATTGAGTCCGTAAGAGGGATTCTAGTAGAAACAAGAAAGATGAAAGACTCGGGGTTCAAAGGAATGGTGTTTCGGGGCGTTGCGGCTGTGGTGGTGAATCTTCTTTACCTGCGCATAAAGGAAGGAAGGAGGGATGAGGGGCTTAGAACAAAACAATCCATCAATGAACTCATCCTTACCATGGCAGCGCACGAAGCCCCCTTAAATAAAGAGAGCTCGTGAATAGAGATCTGCTGCATCGTCGTCAGATGGAATTGAGTGAGAGGTCGTTAGTGAGGAGAGATTTGGTTGGCGCCGAGGTCTGGTGTGTTTGGCTGGTTTGACCATTCCCCGCAATGCGAGAAGCGGTTGGTCCCGCGAACGGCTTCTGGGGTCTGACACGCGCGGAGAATTATATTCCTGCATTTAGCTGATTATATATTTAGATATTGTCCGGATTGTCAATACCCAATATCAAGAGAACTTTCTTCATGTCATAAAACACCGGTATCTCGATCGACACCGAACGAAATGTTGCGGGCACTTGAGGTTTATCTCAAGGCAACTCAATCATATCTAGGTAGAATAATTGGAAACTATTCTTAACTGTCTCTATCCCGCCATCAATCCTAGCTTCATTGACCACATCTCTTCGCATCGCGATTGAAGCTGTACCTGAACTTTGCCTGTCGGGAACATAGCCACATATTTTAAGTTTTAACCTGTTAAGGTGGTCGGTACACTGTCGTCTTACATACTTGTATAAGACGACGTCGGCTCCAGAGTTATATAGATATCGACGAGTACACCTCCTTAATTTCTTTGACAGCAACACCTCTCTTTGTGACCGTATGACGTACTCGTTTACAGTATTCAATAGAAGATGACATTACTACTACTACTACTAATTTTCGCTGTCATTCTCTTCTTTCGCTGTCATTCTTGCTCAACTCTCACTTTTATTACCAGCTTTCACTAATCTTGGTCATCTAACTGAGATCATACAGGAATTCAATAGGTCTAACCAGAGGCATAAAATTATCTAGCATTGTCTCTCCCATAATTCTGGCATGCTGCGGTAAACTAGGTTGGTGTCTTAGAGTGTAAAGCTTGGTAAAGTCATTATATAGATATAAAAGACATCCTGAATTAGGCTAAATCTCCTTTTATCAATAGTGCTTTGTAAATAAGGTAGTTAATCAATCTTAATGTATAGTAGTTGTAGGCTGTAAGATCCATGCACGTATCTACCGTCGTCCGAGAAGAGGGGCAAGAAACATGAAGCAGTGATTTAATTTCGTCTTTGTCTCAGAATAAAGAAGCAAGCTTTTGAGAAGATAGCTAAACCTCTAATATTAAAGACACTTTGATGCTTTTTTCAACAAATCCTTGTTTTAATTCACAACTTTATGTTTTCATTAGCAATAAATGCTCTATTCTCCTTAATTTACTCTGCTCTTAACTGCTTTAGCCATAGAACCAAAGAATGTATGCTGTATAATCGCCTTGAAATATACACCCTGGTGGCTCTTTGGATATGGGTGTAGGATATATTTTGTTTGTGATTTTGATTGACGCTTTGCATACAAAGCAGGAGGAAAAATTTCACAATACACGTGCCGCTCTATACGGTAGGTAGGTGAACGTAACTTGAATTCAACGTCATGAATATAATATACATTCAGATATTCTGCGTAAAGAATTTAAGAAAAAGAACATTATCCTAAATTAGGGGTTGATTTCTTGGATTTCCTTCTATTTTTGCATTTATGCATTGTAAAATATTGAGAGATATATTTCAATATTCGTGTTGCCGAGGCCGTGGACAAAGCGGTCTGTATAAAAGTGTCTCAGTCCCTCTTCATGATTCGGTGCCTAACATGGACATGAAGTTATTGAGGATTCTTGATCCCATTTTCTCTCTGATATAAATTAAACGCTGTAACAGATCCTATTTGAAAAGGAAGTATCTAGGACTATAGAATTTGCGTTATTGATCATCTTACGTCCTTTCTTTCTGTTATATAGCAGAGAAGTTGTCGCACTGACGAGTTGAACAATCTAGGGGCTTAAATATCAATCCCTCTCCCGATCCCTGTTTTATGCAGCGCCTAGCCCGTCGAAGATGTAGTCGCACGACATCAACATTCGAGCATCAATTGATCGTGATCCCAAAACCACAGTTTTGTGCGTTACGCTAAAGTAGTAAAAAGATTGTAAGGTCTGAGAACCTCAACACCAAGTGCTTTGTGCGGTACGCTAGAGTAGTGGTAAGATAATAGGACAGATCTTCTCCCAATTTTTATTCTTCCAGAATTTTCTATATGTGCTCCAAAACCCTCCTCGGTTCAGATCGGGGTACTTTCAAGATGTTTCATTTGCTCTGTCAGCTCTCTCTGATTTTTCATCTTATTCAACAGGTCCTGGGTTTCAATCAGGATCCTCACATATGGATGTCCCTCAATCAGACCCTCGGGGGACGTCTCCATTCCGCCACTCCGCTATCACTTCCGTGCTTTGCAGTGTACAATGGCAATGCAATATCTCCAGATGCATCAGCATGTGCTGCGATCCAAGACAATTATACATCCTCCAAATTCCGAGCACAGTTCTACAGTGGATTCATGAACAATCAGGATGAGATGTGTCTTTCCAATGCAACGGATCAGTGTGTCCTCGATACGGCTAATCCAACGGACCCCCTTGCTTTTACAAGTATCAGCTGCAATCAAGGAAGCGTTTCTCCCATTTACATCGAGGTCCAATCTGCGTCCGATGTCAGAGCTGCTCTCGATTTCTCACGTGAGCATGGCATCCGGTTGTCAATTAAGAACAGCGGGCATGATTATCTAGGCCGGAGCAGCCTAAAGAACTCCCTCGCGCTTTGGATGCGCAAGTTAGATGGGATGTCTCGAAATCGAAGTTTCGTTCCAGAAGGATGCTCGAATTTTGCAGCAACAGATACTATCACCACAGCTGCTGGTGTGAATTCTGATGAGGTATACAAGTTTGCAGAAGATCAAGGAATCACTTTCATTGGAGGTTACGCTTCCACCATAGGTGTAAGCGGGGGCTGGGTCCAGGGAGGTGGTCACTCTGTTTTATCCCCTGTTTATGGACTTGGTGTTGATCGCGTTGTGCAATATAAGGTGGTAACCGCTGACGGGGTTCTGCGTGTTGCAAATGAGTGTACAAATCCTGATCTATTTTGGGCTCTCCGCGGAGGCGGTGGTGGAACCTTCGGGGTCGTTATGGAAGCCACACATCGAGTGGAACCGGCAATCACCCTTGCTGTAGCTTCAATTGAGTATAACCAAACGCAGACTAACGTCTATGAATGGTTCGAAATCATCGTCAACAATGCTCTGCCGTGGGCAAATCAAGGCTGGGGCGGGCATTATGTCTACAACAACCTCGTCAGCGTGACGCCGCTTCTAAGCCTATCCTCTGCAATCGAGTCCATGAAGCCTGCTGCAGACTTTGCAAGGGCCAACAATGGGACGGTCGTTATCGAGACCCTCCCCTCGTGGTACAGCTTCTACGCGAAATACCTGCTGAAGCATGGAGCCCCAGTTGGATATTCGCTAATGATCGGCTCTCGCCTCATCCCTGCGTCTCTATTCTCCTCTGCTGAAGGACGTGCAAAGCTCCTCTCCTTCATTAACCCTATTCTGTCTTCTGGAATTTCGCCATACATCCCTTCGGCAGCACCATGGCTCTACCCCTATGTGGCAAACTCGACCTCCACAACGCCGGCATGGCGAGACAGCCTGTGGGAATTGGGCTTTGGGTTCTGGTTCCCGTGGAACAGCACAGTCGAACAGCGTAAGGAGATCGTCCGGAATGAGCAGGGATTGGCGTCATTATTCGAAGAGTTGACTCCCGGTGGCGGTGCATATTTCAACGAGGCAAATCCATGGACGCAAAATTGGAGGGAGACCTGGTGGGGAGGCAATTATCCAAGGTTGAGTGAAATCAAGAAGAAATATGACCCAGAGGGCATGTTTAAGTGCTGGAAATGTGTCGGGTTTGAGGAGGAGACGGCAGAGAAGGACTTCCCGTGCTTTGCAGGCCTTGGCACTTGAAGGCGAACTTATCATAACATATATCTAACCTAATCACCAAATCATAAGTCAATTTCTTCACAAAAGACTTTGATTACACGGCTGTTGCCTGCTTTTAATTTTAATCCTTTCTTCTTTCCTCAATATCATAGGGAGGATGAAAAATAATCTCTTACATGGAAGTCTACTACGAAAAGTGTCTGTCGGCGACAAGAACAACGGCACGGTATATGACCGTATGAAATATGCAAGGTAATCAAATAGCTGATATTACGTTCTGGGTATGATAAGATTCATGTAGATGTGGATGTTTGGCGAGATGGAAGTGAGAAGTTACTACGGAGTATTCGCTTGATTTCGGCTAACCGTACCCCTATTTTCGGCTAGTCCGTACAGGGGCCACGGCTCGGCCCTTCATGCGCTATCAGTCCACGAAGATCATGGAGATCCTGGAGAAAGAGAAGAAATATTTAGGTACGCGAAAAACAAAGCTTGAAAAGTGAACAACTGAATATAAGGGAGTTTCTTGATGCAAGAAAAAACAAATTGTCAATTCTCGCCAGCCGATTCTATAACCTATCGGCACTGTTGCATCGACATCATGAGGTTGTAATTTTGACCTTCATCTGATAGTCTTTTTCATTTTACCTTAATCAGCGGATGTCTCTGATCGATCACAAAGATCCATCAATGGACTCCTTCTATCAGCTAGCCAGTGTGCATGTCCGGGTCTGGAAACGGAAGCCAAATCACAAGCATTTCAACGAGTCTCAAAATTCAAAATTCAAAGCAAACCAATTCGAAAATAAGAAAACCAATTCAAATTCAAAAATAAGAAAACCCTTGCTTCATATCCTGACTTGCTACCACTTCAAACTTTGCAGCAATAACGAAGTAAGGAAAAAGCCCAAAACACTCTGAACAACATTTGGGTTTGTACCTCAGTCTCCGACATGACAATCCGAGCCATTACCGCTGCCTTCCTTTTCCTTTAGGGTCTTGATCACTGCCCATTTGCTCGCTCCCCATTCGCCAAGTCCACACAGACCTTCTAGCGTTCATGTAGTAATAATTAGCCTCCCCATTGGAGGTAGTCGTGACTTGTTGCCATTCCTCCGGCAGAGTTTCAACTTTCATACCGCCCGAGCCAGTGAAACAGTACACGGTGCCTTGTAGACTTTGTGACTCGTAGACGTCCACCTGGACTGGGGTCTGAGTCTGAGCCGCGGCTGCAGGTGCTGGAGCCGCTCCAGGTGATGAACCAAGAATTCCTCCAGGAACAGCATAGATATTGCTGCCAATGTCATGGTAACTCTGGCCAATGCGAACTACCTGAGGTGGAACCGACTTCATAGACTCAAACGCCCATTCGAGAAGTTGTTTATTCTCGTCTGCACCGGTGTCTTTGTAGCTATCAAACATGCCTAGCTTATTCTCGCCCCACAAAGCTTTGAACCCGCCCATGTCTCTGTCGATTATCCAAGCTCGCACCCAGACTCCAACAAGGGTACAAGCATAGACCACGTCGGTCTTGGAGTTAGCAGCCAGGTAATCCTGGCAGTATCCTCGAGCTTGCATCTCCAGATCTCGGATATTAGACCTGCTAGTCTTTTCCCTCCGTTTACACTCAGCAAAACAGAGAACTTGACCTTGCCAATCCTGATCAAAATACTTGATGACGAGATCGCACGCCTTCTCGGTCCCCTTCTTCGATGCTGGTGGTATTTGCGAGTTGACTTTGAAATGATCGTTGCTGAAAATGACTTTATTGAACAGGTCCTCGAAGTATGTTACAGTATAGTGCTCTTTCGCATTATATCCGTCCTTGTCAACAGATGCTTTGGCTGCGCGGTATGATTCCTCTAGAAGTTGTTTCGTGACAAGGCCGTGGGGCCTCCAGTGCGAAGATGACATGGTTCCGGTGATGTTCTCGGAAATGGTTGCGGAATCTCGGGAATGCAGATCGTTGAAATAGTCGGAATTGATCACTGAATGTTGAATATTGAAAAGAGGTGAGATGTCGATGCTGCTTTCAACATTTTCCGGAGGCTACAGATTCCATATAAATACTGCTTCACCTCGTAGTGTATGTATTTATAGATTGTCTGAGCCAATCTAATCTTTACCATCACCAACACTTCGCATTTCTAGACCGGCCTCCAGTTGCACCAACAGTTGGTGCTTCCGACTGAAGGATTGGCTATTCACCCGCCTCATCGTGGCATCAAACCGTTTGCTGAGCGGAGCTGGTTGCTGGCGGGTCGTGAGCCAATCATATGCCAATAACTATCAGCAAACCGTCTAGTTGGGAACTGGAGTAAAAGCCATGGAGATCACTGTGTTTCATCCCAAGCCACTTAAGGTGGATTCATCACCTTGGCCTATTATTCTCATCATTCGGAACGTATAACAAGTGTGGAATATAATATATCACATATCCCTCCTCATGGTGAAGTCCAATCTGGTAAGGTGGGTTTCGCGATAAGCGAGCCGAGGTTGCAGCCGCAACTGACGGTCGCCATTTTGGACACGCATACTAAGATACCTACATCTGATCTGCAACTCCCAGCATCCGCTCAGATTGCGGTCCATCTGCGAAGCTGTCCAGCCGGCTCCGATGACAGTCAATTGACTGCTCACATTGTGGGTGCTGTACTTGCAATGACAATCAGGCACCAGGTCCACTGCGAACTTAGTCCCTACTGTACTTTGTGCCGCGAGGAGCTCCCAGAACCTCCATATGTCTTCGGGCGGGGCGGAGAGGAATTTCTCAGAACATGGAACCGCAAATTCTTAGCTAGTAAGTTGTTTCTAACCTGCACAATACCGTTCATGATCTAACTTTCCGACCAGTCTTCAACTTGTCTGATGGTGACCGCCCTGTCAGAGCTCTCGCAGCCCTAACCGACTTTGAAAGCCCCGAATACTTTTACGAACTTCATCCTCTTGGCTATGCTGCGGAGCCATCTGCGCAGTTGGAAATCTGCTTTGACAACTGTTCTAGGCCGCATCGCCTCGCACATGCAGTCCACGTTCGGTGTTGGAAACTTGTTCGTTCTCGTGTGGGTGACAAGAATATCAACGCGTCAATTTACAAGCTGGCAAGATCAACATATAAACTTTTCAAGATCCCCAAGAGCGCAGGAGATCCGTTGGAGCGCATCACAAATTTCGAGCAGGTTACTAGTGAACAGGGTCTGAATAGCAACGTGGGCCAGTTCTTGAACTTTGTTTCTCGATTCCCAGTGGAACTTCAGTTAAGGATCTCAGCCGCATCGACAGGAAGCCCTTTGTCCACTGCCCTAGTGGTACATAACTCATCAACAGGTCTTCTTCGTTCCATGTCCAAACATAGTTCCAAGCCTAGCCGAGTAGTCGTCTGTCTCGATCCTCGCTTCAAATATATCACTGCTCAATGGATCAGAATATATGGCCATCTATACCTGTCTTTTCTAGAGTCAAGTGAAGTAGACAATCAGGACGGGAATCAGAACAGAATGAATAATCGGTTAACGATCCGGCCAATCCGAGGGATAAAATTCAGTCTCGGCCAATACGGTGTGCAGGCTTTAAAACTACTCTATACCGACGATACAGATTCTGCTTGGCTTGGAAATGAGTCTAGAGGCTGGATAGGTGCTACATACGGGAAAAATATCACGGATCTTGTAGTACAGAGAGATGTATATCAACCCAGTATCAAGTCAAACAAAATTTTTCTAATTAATCGTCATAGGATCTCAAATGCCTTCGGATTGGCCTCGTTCAAGCTCGAGATCCTGTGCGCACGCCGGAAGATCTTGTGATGTGGGACCGCGACGTGTCTTTCTCCGACGCTCAAACCAACTACGTATATGACACTATTGACAGTTGCCCTTCAATTGCGAATTATGCTGGGTGGCGGCTCGCCAGATATAATCCTCTTCTTCGTGGCCAGGATTACGTGACGGGCATCACCGTATACTGTTGCCACCTCTCTATCCAAGGAATTATGACTCATGGGAAGTCGGATATATTGACCGGCTCTCGCATAGGATGTCCTATTTACCTTCCTCTCCGGAATGGGGAGCGCCTCGTATCTATTTGGGTCTACAGACCTCCTGATTTAACAATCCCATCGATGAAAAGTCCAACATTTCTAGTGAGTTTCTCTGCTATCTGTCCAAGTTATCTATCACAAGAGGAGGTCTAAAACTAACGGAATACTGACAGATGTTAACAAATCGCGGTCGCACTCAAGTCTTCTCCCCAGTTTTGGATATACCCGCCAGTCGGTTTCTTCGCCGTTTCTGGGCACCTCTAGATAATGACGCCATTTCTCCTATCGTCTCCATCTTCTACGATGCGCTCAGAACTACCGATTTTGGCGACATTATGTCATTTGGCGTTACGAAAGACGGAGGCAATGATCATTTGAAACCTATCCCGGCGAACGTCTACAAACCCTTAATACCAAGGCCGAATAATATCCGTGGCGCCCGGCACTTCTTGTCTGTTGCAAACCTAGTGGATGTCAACAGATTAGATCTCCGCAGGAATAGAGAGAGATGTTTAGGTCTGCGAATCGAGCATAGCGATGGCTTGGTCGAAATTCTCGGACAATGGGACCCAGTCGAAAAATTGCAGACCATGCAAATTTATGACAGCGCTCAAGGCGCTCTTAAGGAGATCTGTTTCTGCTTCGCAGACAATTACCTCACGAATATTGTGGTAGGTTTTGGGGATGACGTGAGGGTACAGGAAGCAAATAAAACGATGAAGGGGGCATTTTATTTGAATGATTTGACAAAGGTGAGTGGCTTTCACATATATGGGGCCCTGAGGATGTTTTCTGATCATATACAGCATATTGCATGGTGGTTCAATACGGCGATCGCTGACCGCGTGGAACTATGGGACGGTACATTCGAGGAGCTTGAATGGATACGACCTGAAGGTCGAAAGATGGACTTTGGTGGCCCTTGACAGGCCATGGGTCCCACCTCGAGGCTCGACCTGACCTTTCGTCCTTAGCTGACCTGGTGAGTCAAAGAATAATTAAAGACTAATACCAACCGCACCGCTGTTACTTGTGCACACTGGGCATAATTGAGGAATTTAAAAAGAAAAGCTCCAACATCCTCAAGGTATGGCCTAGAAGTAAACGGAGTTGCTTAGTGGCTATACTTGTGTGTGGTCGCAGTCGTCACAAGTGTTGCACACACTGGCGCACAGTGATATCAGTGATGCAACTGAATGGTTTGTACAAATAAATCAGCCATATAACCGTCCAAGGAAATTTTTCAGGAGTTTTCAATACAGCGGCGTGGTTTCTGGAAGGGATCTTGATAGAGATTAAACTTTCTCGCAAATGCATATTTTTTTTTCTTCATCCTGTTACTTCATGATCATGAGATTGTGGCTTCTGTACTATACGTATTCGGTACATATATATATATATATATATAGCCCTATGAGATACTCTACCAGAGAGATTAACCTGCTCCAAAACTGGCATTGCACACCTGACTCAACACACCCACTACTCATCGTCATCATTTAACGAGCCGTGAATCGATGGAACAATACCCGAAAACACCCAACAAACACACGCAAAGACAAGCTTCCAGCCATTATTCACCACGCCCAACTAAGGCACAAGCCTGCCTGCCGCACCAATATCACCAGGATACCAACCAAACACGGCATCAATTAATTCCACGTCTTAGGCCCGAACGTCTCGCCCGGCGCGACGACCTTGCGGATAGCAGTGTCGGTCATATCCTTCGTGTTGAAGATGTCGACGTTGCCCCACCACTGCGGGGGCTTGGTGTTGGTCAGGTACAGCGTGAAGAAGATGACGATGGTGGAGATGAAGAGGCCGGTGTCGAGCCCGGCCGACGTGATGTAGTTGTATTGCATCCACCAGCCGGGCCAGCGGCGCTTGATGAGGAAGTTGAAGATGAAACCAACGAGTCCCCCTGGGTATTGTTAGTTAGTGGGAGTGTCCTTGAAAAATTAAAGGTGTGGGAAGTTGAAGAAACAATCAAATTGAAAAGGAAAAAGAAGAGATATCAGCCTATTAGGCCTCGGCTCGGCTACGGGCTGGCCCGGACGACCCGCCTACGGCAGCTAGCCGTATCGTAACCGAAAGCGGCCCGTTCCGCAGCCACGTGGTCATATCTTGGGATTGTGGAAACGCACGAGAGGAGTAACTTACAGCAGAGGTAGGTATATACAGTTGCCGGAGGGATCCATCCAGTGCCTCCCAGCATAAGGGGCCAGTGGACATATCGCAGCCAGGAATTGGGCCATCGTCGAGCCATGATATAGCTGGTGACGGGTAGAAGTGCACCCAGTAGCCAATACCACTGCATAACGCCGTAAATTTTCCCAGGGCCGAAAATGCGGCCGGGACCAATGGCACCCCAAACCACCGAGGCGGTATAGAAGACTTTTGCGCCGGGGCAGGTGTAAGAGTCCGCTTGATCGTCCGAGCAAATGTTCCGAATGTTGCCTAATGCCCAGTTGTAAACCGCTACTTGCACGATTGATGACCAGAACACAGCGATAACCTGGGCTGAGAACATGGTCCTGGGGGGAACCTTCATATAGTGCCCCATCTTCAGATCTTGAGAGAAGTAGAGAGCTTGGGCCATGGTGATGTATCCGAAAGTCTTGAAGATCATCATAGCAATCGGTCTCCCTGGCAGCATGTAGCCAACAATAAACTCAGTCAGGACATTCAGTCCCAATTGCCAGTTAGTTACCGCCTGAACAAGACCTTGGAACCTGCTGTTAGCAACGATATAGAGTATTGAAGAGGAAGTACTTACCTATAGGTACCAAAAATACGACAGGGATGAGCATGCAGACAATGAATCCCCACCAGGTCATATGGGTATCCCAGTAAAGAACTGTCGTAAGAGCCAGTGCAAAGAGGACAATATACAGGACTGCATACCACCAGTCTGGGCTGTCAGGGTACTTCCTCATCATCTTCAGATGTACATCCGCGTCCTGGTTCCTGGCGAGCTTGGCGCGCTCCCAAATTTCTCTTCCATTGTAAAGGACTGTGTGGACAATAACAGCCGAGATAGTGGCAAATGAGATACCATAGCAGAGAGCAAAGTTGGTGGATAGGAACAGCGGCGAGTAAGACTCATATGCTGCCACATCAAGGGTAAGCTCCGGTGTCATCACCCGATGGACGTCGTAGATCTGTCCGGTGTTGTCGTAGCTTTGACTCTAAATAGGACGTAAGTAATTTCATCTTTAAATCTGCGAAACAACACTTACGTCTTGCATGGGTAAATACTCAGAGTAAAGGGATCCGGTATAAGCAACGCCAACCGCCGACAGAAAGATAAAGATAAAGACCCCCGCAACCATATTTGCAATAGCAAAAAACGGATAGATCAATGGGCTCGTGAGAAAGCTGGTGATAATAGTCCAGTCAAAAGTAATGGGAATCTGGGTGGTCAGCTGTGAAAGAAGAGCACGGATTACTAGGACATACTAAACCAAGACCACTGACACCTCCAAAAATCTGGTTGACGATAGTGTTTTGCGGTGCGATCCAGCATGCAAAAACAAAGTAACTTAGGAACTGAGCAATCCACCCTTATGTAGGAGTCAGTCGCGAAACAAGACGGTATGGCAGGGTGCCACCAGTAGACGACAGGAATCAACGCACCAGGAAACCAGTACCAGACAAAGCTGACTGTAAACACGTATAAGAACCACCGGTACTTTCCAATTGACCATCCGTTAGTTTCGGCGGGGTCTGATTCTTTGTGGTCGTGTAGCGCGTAGAACATGCTGCAGTTCACCAAGGTGGAGGGCCAGATCATGGCCGAGGGCCAAACGAGGAAGCGACGGACGATACCAGCCATTCCAAACCCAATCATCTGAGATGTTATAACGAGTAGAAGTTGGAACCACCATCCAAAAAACTGTTTGTAGAACACTTCTTGCGCCAGAAGAATATCCGTGGCGTACGCAACACCACCCGCAAAGGAGGCATTGGCCATAACAACAATGATGGTGTGCTCCTTCATATTGAACGGATGAGGATTGAAGCTCCATTTGTAACCAAAAGTATTAAAGGTCTTTTTTGGCATTATCTAAGCAGAAAGTAGTATAATTAGTCGGCAAAGTCAATACAATGAGTCTAAGGGTGTCTACATACCAGATCCCATCCACGTCCCAGGGGATATGCGACTAACTGGACTACGTAGGTCGTAATCGAGATGGAAGGATTTCTGAGTGAGAACAACATGTTGATAGAGCATGCGATGGTGGTCAACAGCAGACCGATTGTCCAAGCTCTAATGGTATTGCAAGGCGCCTCTCTATAACACCCAGTCAGCATGTACATTATCCAAGGATCTCAACACTTACTCGTCATAATTGCGAACAGTAGCCGCAACTTCGGGATATGGTGAGTTTTCCTCTAGTAAGGTATGCTCGACATTGAGCTTCTTTTCAAGGTCGTCGCTGACCACGGCAGTATCGACAGCGGCTAACTTCTGGACAGGCAGATTGAGATCCCATCGGTGGGCTTTTTGAAACTTTTTGAGCTGGTCGATTGTCTCTTCAACAATTTCATCGTCAACCCCAGTGGTCTGCGCGACTCCAGTAGTCTCTGCTTGCTTCTTGCTGTCTTCAACCGAGGTTGGCAACGCCGGGGCCTCGATGGGCTCGGCCGCAGCCTTCTTGCGAAAGCCGAGAACCATGGTGTATGGAAACAATGGTATCGCGATTCGCGTGTCTGTTCACCAGGACCGCGACAAGGTCGCAGGGACTCAGGCCTCTTATACCCAGGAGGCCACGAGCTGCACCGCACATCTTCCTACAATGGCATCGCGGGTTATCTGACCCACGCTCTCACCCATGCTTCGTGGGAATCTGGAAGGCCATCTGGATTGACAGCTGATGCACACTGCACCTTGTACAGTCTGTCATGTTCGTTGGTGCATTATCTCACTGGGGTCCCGATATAAACATGGGAAACGCAGTTCCCGAAGAGGATGGTGGGAAGCTTCATAGATAGATGCCAAGGATCCGACAGAAATGCCCACGAATCAATGCTGCACTGTTTGCAAGTATCTCATATGCAACGGAGCCTCGCCGAGATAAGAAGTTGGATATGAGAAAGATCGTCTAAATTCCCAACAGGCGGGGAAATAGATTGATCGTATGAACTCTTGCGAGTCTTGGCCCCTTGCAACGCCAGCCTATAGGCTCAAGCAACGACACGGAGGATCGCCTGGATAGGTCTTAGGATCAGAAGTACATCCTTGACAACCAACACGAACCGCAGCTCCGCTCTAGAAGAGCTCGGACTCTGCTCGACGGTCGGGCTGGGCCCGCGTTGACGGTTTAATACTACTGTAGGAAGTAAGACGTTAAATTTTAAGCTTAACAGGGGATTGCGAAATTGTAAATTGTACGTACAGCCATTGGTGACTATGTCAAGCAAACAGACCGTACTCTGCTCAAAAATAGTTAGCATTACGCATGATAGAGAAACGATATGGAAAGGCCATACAATACATTGTTCTGTCGAAAAGAGAAGCAAAAAATAAGGACCCAAACTAAGCTCTTATCTTATCTTCCGGTACGGTAGGTAGGTATGTTTTGGGCCGATAAGAGCCCCTATATTAACGGGAAGATATGTAGGCTAAATATAATTAGAATCCTCTGATTCGTTGAAAGAAGCAGGGGGGATCGCATGGACGATTACGTAGATAGGATATACATTGTATATCAAGTACACTGTTCTGAATGGCATGGTATAAGGTAATGAAATGCCAGCTATAGACCAGACATATGTGATCATAAAGGTTAACCGCCTGTTGATTTATCTTTTGACTGCCTATCTGGTCATAGGTACACTTCAATACTATCGTACACGACCTGTATTCTATGGCCGCTACCCAAAATCATCAAGTTAATAGTATGGCACCATCTCGACGTTGCGTACGCTTCTGTCACTACAGACCAGGGCAGGATGACTTTGGGCATGGGATTCGAACGATTAGTGTCGACTTCGTGGAGAGCGACAGCTATGCTTCCAAGTCCCAGCGGTTATATCATGAATATAATAACGTCTGATAGCTTTATTAATCCACAGACTTAACACAACGATCAAGGTAAATTAGGAATTGAACCTTACAAACTGGTTTAATTCATTGCGACAAAGCTATTCTATTGCATCTTAACTTGATTCAATTCTTCGAGACAAGTAACTCATCGAGACAAGTAACTCATCGAGACAAGTAACTCATCGAGACAAGTAACTCATTGAATGTGAGCACAGTGAGCGACTGGCTAACTTCCAACTCTCCGCCTGACGACAAGTTGAACTAGAGAATCTTTGGATTCAATCCATCCTCTCGAATCAGCTTACAGTTTGCTAGCTGACTCTGAAAGTCCTATTTCAAGAATGGAGGACGACGCAAATATCGATCCAGGTGAAGACGTCTTCGTTTGCCGACATGCAGGCGTTTCGGTAGATTGATTAGTTATGATTATTTTAGATCTCTTCACGTGGCTTGAATCAAAATTGAAAAAAAGAGATAGAAGATACTCACTCCTTTCTTAAGGGAAGTCTTATGTCAAAATCTTTTGAGAACAACCGGAACCAGCCGGGATGAAATTGAAAATATTAGTACAGAGGAATCCCCAATTCCAACCCTCAGTCCTCCCCTAGTACACCCTCAGTCCCCTCTAGGCTTTCGTGGCCGGCAGAAACTTTCCATCCGCCCCCTTCAATCTCTGCGCCCCTCCCCTCTTCTTCCACGCTCGCCTCCTCCTCTCACTCCCCACCCCACCATACAACTGTCTCCTCTTTCTCTTCGCCTTGTCTATCTTCGCCTTCTCCATTCTCCTACATCCTATTATTAGCCAATATCCCCTGCAGCAAAGCCCATCGAGAAAAAGAAAAAGACAAGAGACTTACTCCGGCTCATCCTCCCTAACATAATAATTAATCGTCCCACCCGCCCTCACCTCCACATGAGGAGTCTTCCACATCTCCTTCTGCTCCTCGACCGGAATCATCGGCTCTCCCAAGCCTCCTCCGATCAAGGGCGACACCACCACGTGTGCTTCCTCGAAGGCGGCGTACTCTTCGACCTCCCACCAGAAATCGGGTCGGTACTCTGGCGGGTTGGTGCGCTGCTCGCGCCGCTTGCGGAGGAATGAGAGCTTGCAGTGGATATCTGGATGGTCGCCTGTCTTGCTGGGGATGGAGAGCTTGAGACGCTTGAGGGCGGCTCGGGTCATGACACCGGCTTTCCTGTACTCTGTCTTGACACACGTGCCGGGTGGCGGGCTTGGTAGTATTGTTTTGCGCATCTTGACTCAAGAAGATGATTATGAAAGTAGAGGAAGTTTGCTTGTGGATGATGGAAGGAAGGTATTTGGAAGATTGGATGGAAAGGAAGGAAGAAGTAGTTGGATGGAAAGAGAGGAAGGACTTGAGGATGGAAAGAGAGGAAGAAGGACTTGATATTCCTATGGATGGGAGACAGAATAACTTCCATTGTGAGCTTTCACAATAGCAGGCGAGTTTCCCCAGTTGTAGATACATTCAATTGTGTGTAGTTCCCACAACCTATTATGCGTTGGAGACAATAGGAGATAACAATAAGGGGGGCTCGCTTAATCCGAGCCGATGTTATTGACCGAGTGAATTATTTGACTTGAATAGAACACCAGAATAGAAAATAGAACTGGATGGTCTCCACATGTGGTTTTAAGCGTGGATAAGTATAAGCAGTCAGTTTTAGATGAAAAGGGAGAAGATTCAGTAAGCGGACAACACTAGGTAGTCTAGGTTACAACACTAGGTAGTCTAGGTTACAACATCAGGTAGTCTAGGTTTTGAATCTGAAGGGAAAACTCGAGGTCGCATCATGCATAGAAGGAGGAGCAAAATTAGAGTAAAATGGTGCCGGATTCTATGGAATATCTAAGTTAACGTCAAAAAAGATCTGCAGGGAGAGATTTACTTACACGAACCTATCTCAGATTGTAGCGGAAGCCTTGTCTGCAACAACTCAAACACCCTTCGCGAGCTTCACGGATGGATGGATAACTATGTTAGCTGGAAAAATCACGTCGTTGGTCTCGCAGATATGATAACCCGTATTTATTCCTATTTATGTTAACTCATTGCCTGCAATGGTCATTTTTGAAATCAAATTCAAAACGCCTAAATTTCCCTTCCTTTTTCTCTGGTTGACCACCAGGACCAGTTGGCCTACCTAAACCCAAGCCGCCACCCGGACCAAGGAAAAAAAAAAAAAAAGAAAAAAGATATTTCTTCTGTACTAGTCCTAGTACTCATCGATATCAACCCTAGTTGCAGAAATCTCGCATACCAGCACAAGACAGGGCGTCTTCAAGCGGGCTGATGCCGAGCGCCGCAACGTCGTCCATGAACTTGCAGTAGAAGAGTTTGAAGATGGGTCTGCAACCCTGATATTTCCCACGGCTGAGATCAGGGAGCGGTGAGGGGTTTTTATGCGAGCAGACCGCTTGCAAAAGGTCGGAACAGGCTACTGCATCGCTGGACGGGCTGGATGATACACTTGTGGTATGGGTAATGGTTGAAGTCTTGTGTACCGTCGTAGCTTTGGTCGAGATGTGTGTGTGCGTCGTGGCGAATGATTTTGTTGTCTGCATAGTCGTGCACGATGACGTGGTATTCTGCAGTGCACTGTGTTGATACTTGAAAACTGTCACCGGGAAGGCTATCGCAGCAGCGCATATCGTGATGAATAGAAGGATAAGAAACAGATACTTCCACCGAGACTGCGCCCGGGGCTTAAAGAAGTTGAAGTTAAAAGCTTCATCAGAGCTTGGGTTGTTCCCGGTCGGCTGAGGTTGCATTGGACGATCTCTTATTGGAGAAAGGGGCACTTCATACAGTGGCCACGCGCCAGTGAAGATAGGTGGTGGAATTCTCGGGCTCACAGCCGGACTCATATCTTCTAATTGGAATGCGTCTGCCAATTCAGGGTCAACCCAAAGGCTGTAGCTGGGTGGTGGTATCTCATTCGCTCGGCTTCCCTCCGCCTGGGAGGAAGACTGATATGGGTTGGTATTTGCCCTATTAAAAGGACTGCGCTGTCGCACCGGGGGATATTGAGCAGAGCCACCCATTGTATCGGAGTTGTCTCCGCGGAAGGTAGACATATTTGGAGGAGGCTGGGTAATTGGTTTGATACTTTTGCGTTCAATTCTGTATGGGACGAATGCAAGAGATGTTGAAATGTAGATTGCGTTGACTTCAGGATGATTGTGGATATGGAAAGGAAGACATGAGCAAGGGAACATTGATACCTTTTTATATTGTAACTTGGGTATTGTTCCAGAACATGAGGAGGTACCTCATGAATGAAAAAATGAAGGACAATAGGGCCCCATTGTAGGGTTACTTGACTTCTTCTTTGGAAGATTTGTATCCTTTGATGCCCACAAAGCGGTGTTGAGGACAATCGATCAAAAGAATAGCATTGTTCAGCCAACATAATGAAAGAGTCTATTCGCAGATAATGAGCAGTGGTAGGCTGCTCCACGGCTCTTCTTTGTGATAACCCTTGAAATAAAGCTTGCCAATCGGCTGCTTTCAATTCTTCAAAGGACGTAAACTCGCAGTTCGGTCAAACAGTTGTAGTATAGTATCCTTCATCCCATTCCTGTTCTGTAACTCTAAACGCCCCATCTTTGAAGATCAAGAACAGTCCTGCAACCTGGTATGAGGTCCACTGGCACCTGATCAGCACGCTACCACGTGCCCAAAGCGGGACACTTTTGGATATAATCGACGAGGAGCAAGGAGTGATTTATCATGTACTGCTCTACATGATGGGTTGCGAGTGCTAAATTGGAAAGAAAGGTGGGATATAAATGAAAATCTAAGGCCTTGTACCACGGGAAAGAAGCGGCTGCTAGGAAAATCTGGCGCTTGCCAATAGACGGGTGTATTATCAACCTTAGCTATGAGTCGAGGGCCTTGGTATTTGACCACGAGCAATTGCAATCGCAATATTTATTTATCAAACCTGACCCTCTGGTCTCGTGCAGTCTAGTTTAACTCCTGCTGCGTATTATGCCTTCCTTTCCAGCCTCCGAACAAGTTTGCAATGTGGCGCCAATGAAGTTCCCTGCCAAACCAGTGGCACTGATAATCACCCATGATTCGCCACTCAGTGCTCCAGAATAGTTTCGCCCAATACACTACCACCGTTCTGAAATCTAACCTGATCACGATCTCTTCTTCCCTTGCTTCGCTGTCATCTTCCTAAACGCCTCGATACCGCCCGCACCAATTGGTCTCGCAGCAGGATCGATGCCTTTACTAGCATCGAACGTACTCTTTGGAGCAATGGTGTAACTGGCATTGGAAGACTCCATTCTAGCCCGGTTGCTCCTGATAGGCTGGGCAAGAAGGCGCTCTCTTTCAATATCCCGCTGTGACAGGCCGCTACGCTGGGAGGACGGAACCTGCGACGACTGGGTACCGGAGGGGCGAAGCGCGAGTTGCGCGGCTCTGAAGGGAGGTTAGCAAGGAATCTTTTACAGGAATCGCGAGGAACATACTGATGATCGTACTCCTTCGTTATAACCTTGCGCTTCTTGTAGTCATCACTCCGTTTCAAGATTGGTCTTGACCATTCTCCCAACAGCCGCTCAGCAATTCTCTTGATGCCGATCTCTGGCTTCTGGCTCTTGGTGTAATATAGCACAACTTTGCCAATACCACTGCTGAGTAAAGCCTCCTTCTCAATTGGTAAACGTGTAAGAGCGGTGAATAGATCCCGCTGGATATTATAGGCAGGAAGACTTCCATCGTTCAATGGCTCGAGGAAGAATTTGACAGACTGAAGGAAGTTGGTGTCGGGATCAACGATGGAGTGTTGGACTGTGTTTCGATTAAGCAGAGCCACGACTTCGGGAAGCATCTTGAGCTTGTGGATTGCCGGTTGGCCCTTCTCTCTGGCAGAATTGTCCGCCTCACAAGCTTGTTCCATTCGGATCTTGAGAGCTGCGATCTCATCGTCGAAAGCCTCTTCGAGATCCTGGTGGAGAGTTAGAACCTAAGCCACATCGTGATCGATCAGACTTACCACTTCATCCTTCTTCCGTCTTCTCTTGTTAGGATTCTTCAAGGCTGCATCCATCGCCTTATCCAAAGCCCTCCGCCTTCTCTCCTCCGGCGTCAAATTCTCCTCATTTTCTGGTGATGGCTTCCTTTCCTTTGCGCGTTCCCGTTCCTTCCTGTCGCCTTCACTTCTGGCACTCTTCTGTTTTCTGACCCTCTTCCCCTCTATCTCTTCTCCATCCGGAGCCTCGTCCTCATCTCTGAGGCGCTTCTTCTTCTCCCGTTTGCCTTCCTTCTTCTTTCCCTCGCCGTCAGCAGCGCGCTTCCTCTTGCCCGCCTTGAGAGTTCGTGCAATATCCTCATCTATGTCGACCAAGGGCCTATCCTCTAAAGCGACGGTTGTGGGATCGAAGTCTGCGAATTCACCCTCGTCGACTTCAGACAGCTCGGATTCGTTGTCGGATTGGTCGTTGTCCTCCTTGGTCTCCTCTTGGTTCTCCTCGTTGTCCATGTCTAAATCAGGGTTCGCAGCAGGGGGAGGAGGAGTGTCGCGTTCCTCTGACATAGGTCTATTTGGGTCTCCAGAATCGTGGCCAGCTTCTGGAAGTGGCGTGGCCGGCCGAGAATCAGGGTTGGAGTCTGACATGCTGCCGAATTTGGATGGCGAGAATCAGGTATTCGAGATAGGAGAAGGATGGTGGGCGGGATCTTGTGGTAGAAGTATTGTATGGGAAAGCTGTCAATATGGAATTAGAAGTTGACCTCACCCTTGAGATATTGAGAAGGGGAGAGGATGGGTTGATTGAATATGTTCGCAAGTTGTAAGTTGTCGCTGGAGCTTGATATTTCGAATGCGGGAGCTAGCGGGTTTGGCCTGAGGCAGAACGCATCTTCTTTAATGTTTGTTTACTTCGCATTTATGCTTTCTCCAGACGTCGTTCCAAGCGCTCTCTTTCCCACGTATTCCAAAATGTTCAATAATTCGCAGAAGCGGTCTACTGAGAGTCCCATGGACTGGGAATGGCAGACTCAAGGTCCAACTGATCCCAACTCTCCATTTATGACCCAAACACCAAAGCGTAGGTTCTGGGCAGCATCTTGAAAAGAAAACAAATTAACTGTCTGCAGGAGGATTCGAATCGCGCCCCCAGAGCTCCTTCATAACTGCCTCTTCTAACCCAGCGCCTCCATTCCGAAACCCATCCTTTACCACCCCGCGAAAACCCTTCGACCAAGACCTCTTCTCCGAAGTCTCGGGTGCTGAATCTTCCCCAGCGGACAACGCAGATGCAGAGGATACCCCCGAGCCCAAGTCCTCGAGAGCCATGACGGCCTTTACGAGTGCGAATTCCGAGAAGCAGCCCATCTTTGGCCGGTACGGGGCCTCATTCACTGGCTACAGTCCAGGAAGAGCCGAGCAGCGACGGAGCAGATTCGGGAGCTCCATCGCACACAAAGTACGGAAGCGCAAACGGGTCGAGAGGGACCACGCGGCGCTCGTAGGACTACGAGGCTCCGACTCGGACTCAGAGGAGGATTCCAGACCCAAGAGTCGCGAGCAGAAGGCGACGGACGAGAAAGCTCAAGGATGGCTCGCGCAACTGTTGACAGGGATCGAATCGCATCCCAACCTTCCCAACGTGCTCTCATTCTACGCCCAACTCACGCTGAATTTCTTCTTCGTTGGCCTCGCTATCTTCGGCGTCTGGACCTTCTGGTCGACGATCAAGGGCGACGTGGATAAGGCGTCGGAAGAAGCGACGGCAGCGGTCGTGGCCGAGATGGCCAAGTGCGCTCGCGACTACGTTGACAACGGGTGCGCGAAACCCAACCGGCCACCGGCGCTCGAAGCTGTGTGTGAGAACTGGGAGCATTGCATGAACCGGGATCCTAATTCTGTCGGACGGGCCAAGATCAGCGCGCACACGTTTGCCCAGATCTTCAACAGCTTCATCGAGCCGATCAGCTACAAAGCCATGGTATGTTCTTTTTGTCTCTAACCTTTGACATTCCCTCTTGACAACCCCTAACATCCCCTCTTAACAACCCATCTAACATCCCCTCAGATCTTCGTCGTCCTCATCGTCACCGTCTGCATCCTCGTCAACAACCTCGCCTTCGGCATGTTCCGATCCAAATCCCATCCCCACCACCCATCGCAACCCTACTTCCCCCCTCCTCCCTCAGCCGCCGCGCCCTACCAATGGACCGCCGCCCCTCCACCACCTCAGACGCCCATGCACACACAAACCTACGATCTCTACTCGAACACGCCCTTCCCGCAGATCATGCCGAGTCAGACCCCGATGATGAGGAGTCCGAGTAAAAGAAGGAGAAGCACGAGTAGAGGCAGGAGAAGCCCTAGTAAAGGGGAGAGGACGTTTTAGATTTTGCCCTCCCTCTTTTTTTTGATTTGTTTGAGGGTTGAAAAGGTCTGGGCTGGTGTTTGGTGTTTTAAGGGATGGGATGGGAGGGGAGGGGATGGGAGGGGATAGGATGGATAGGTAGGATAGGTAGGATATGAATATCCACAAAACAAAATAGCATCATCGATTGGTACATGTACGTATATATGTATATGTCTTTATATAATATTTCTTTCATACCCGACTTTTAAAAGCAAACAAATATCTCTATCCTCAAACTCAAGCTCAAGCTAGATAAGGTAAAGTAGGTGTTGAATAATTGATGATTGATTGATTGATTGATTGATTGATTGAATGATATCCATTCCATTCCATTCCAGTTATGGCCACTACTAGTTTCACTATGCGCTACCTATCTTATCTTATTCATTCATCAATTGTATGTATGTTATCTATTCGCATCCCATCCATCCCTTCATCCATCCTTTCATCCATCCTTTCATCCATCCTTCATCCCATCATCCCATCCCCGCAGACGTGTAATACAAAAAAAAAAAACCACCAAATCACCTCTTCTTCGCCTCACACGCCCAGCCCTCAATACCCTCCCCTCTACTCCCCACCTCCAGTCCTTCAATCCTAACATCCTGCATCCCAATCGTATCAGCCAACCACTCATGGCCCGCCATCCCCCCGGCATTAGCCCTCTTCTCCGGGACGAGTTCCAGCATCGGGGTCAAGAAATCCGCAACACGCTGCGCTTCGCGGGCGTCGAAGTGGTATTTCTCCCGTAGGACGTCCGGGAGCGCCCAGTGACGCAGCCGGTGGATGTTGCGCAGCTCGCCTTTGCGGTTGAAGATCTCTTGGCTCCATTTTCCTGAGAGGCAGAGCGATTTGGGGAATGGGCCGAGCAGTTCGATGATTTGCGCGATGTGGTCGTCGTCTTTGCCGTATTTGGTGCCTGATTGGGGGTCGAAGAGGTAGTCGCCTGTGATGAGCTCGAAGACCTGTGGGGGGTTAGCTGGGTATAGAGGCAGAGTAGCAGTATAGAGGCAGAGGAGTATAGAAGCAAAGAAGCAAAGAAGCAAAATAAACACACCATAGCAGCCATACTCCAAACATCTGTACTCGCTCCCCACTTCGCTCCCAAGATCACTTCCGGCGACCGGTACTGTCTCGTCTGGATATCATTCGTGAAGTGGTGACCCGTCCAACACGCATTCCCCAGATCCGCTATCTTGACCGATATCATATCGAACGCCCCCGCATCCTCGGCCTTCTTCTTCTCGCTCGACGACTGGTCCAGGGAGATGCCCGACACTTCACGGCTCAGGAGATCCCTGCCATCCCTAGTTAGCAATTGCACAACTCATAACAGATCTCGGAAGAGAGAGGCGTACGCTGACTTCTCCCGCTGCTGCTGCTGCTCCTCGTCCTCCTTGTCCGCCTTCAGACTGTGTTCTTGTGATTTCGAACCGCCTATAGCACCACTCATTACGACGGGCCCCAAAGAAGAAGGGGTGCCATCGTGGGCAGGGGATTCATTACCTTGCAGCATCTGATTCAGACTCGTGTGGCTCCCTGGAAACCTCCCCAGATCCGAATGGTTGAAGCTAGCGTTGAGCGGGGACGGCAGTGGCTGCGAGCCTGTGATCAGGGTCCGGCGGCGCCGCCTCCCATTCCGATTGTCTTCCTTGTCGGGGACCTCCTCCTTAACAAACTTCTTCACGATCTGCTCGACGTCGCCAATCTCGATCAGCACGTTCTCCGGCTTGAGATCCGTGTGGATGATGCCGCACTCCCGATGGAGGTAGTCCAGCCCCAGGAGGACCTGCTTCGTGATCTGCTTGACGAGTGCCATGGGGATGCCGCGGTGGTTCCAGCGTTTGATCAGGCCCAGGAGGTTCTCGCCTAGGACCTCAAACACCATGCACACATGCGTGCCGTTCGGCCCCTTGTGCTCAAAGGAATCCAGGAGGCTCACGACGTGCTTTCTGCCTGGGTGGTCGGGCTTGGCCTGCACAATACGGTTGAGCAGCTTGATCTCGTCGATGGCCGTCTCAGTGTAATGCGCTGCTGAGCGCACGACCTTTAACGCGACGTGCTTCTTGGTGACATTGTCCTTGGATAGCCACACCGTGCTAAAGTGACCCCAGCCCAGCTTGCGCACCACTGTGTACTTGCCATCCTTGAACTGCTCGCCCACCGTCACGGGGTGGTAGCCGCCCTTGCAGTAATCCTCCGAGTCCTCTTCGTCAGCGGTCGTCTCGGCGGCGTCCTCGCGCGATGAGCTAGACGAGGGCGACCGGTTTGCCGTACTGCTCTTGGATGATGCGCCGCCGGGCCTGTGAGAACGATGGTTAGGACTGAGCAGATCCCGTAGCAGCGAGGACATGATGAGAGGGGGATGGAGATGGAGGGTGAGGGAGGAGATTGTGCAGGGGGGGGGCACAGGGCATCTCTGGGGAGCAGAGATAGATAGATTAGATAGGTGCACTGTGCACAGCACGCGCAGCGACAGCACAGTAGAAGAAGAAGAAGAAGAAAAAGAAAAGAAAAAAAAAAGTAGAAAAATAGAACTCACGCTGCAGTACTGTTGGCCGTATCGGACAGCGGGTTGGAGGAGGGATCGGCCTCCTGGCCCTCGGTGGTGATGATGGGCTTCAACTCCTTCTTTCTCTTCTTGCTCGCATTTCCATTGGAAACGTTGGCGACCTGCTTAGCCTTCTGGATCGCCGCTTGCTTGATGTGAGAACCATTCATGATCCGCGAGGCTGAGGGAGGAGGGAGAGGGGAGGAAGCAGAGGCAGAAGACGACGACGAGGCCGACGATAGGATCGTGGGGTTGTGGGTTGAGGGATGAGTGAGGGATGAGGGACGATGTATGACGACGGCGGCGGGCGCTCTGTCAGAGCTGGGCGGTCGACACGGCGGGCTGAATCGATGCGATCAGCGATCAGATCAGATCAGCGTCCGCATCAACACGGCGGGAACAGCGAGAGAGAGATGCACACACAGGATGTGGCGAGGTCTCTGGAGTAGCGACGGAGAGGGGCGATGTATTCGCAGCAGCAGTCGAGTTGCAAGATGGACGGGGTTGTGAACGGGGGGGGAGTCGAGTCGAGTCGATGAAACGGAGAAGACGGAATGTCTCTCTCTCTTTCGGCGCAAGCTTTCAATGGTGCGAAGAGAGGAAGAAAAGAGCGCGGCGGAGGGAATGGCAATTGTGAATGGATGAGATGGATTGGAGGGATTGGATTTCAGGTTTCCAGGTTCGACGTGCGTTGGGCTGGGCGGGATAGAGTTTAGAGTGTAGATATTTAAGGTATCAATCAACGTATCTTTATAACTCTTGTGTCTCTCTATCTAATCCATATTCTCTGCCTTGATATCTGTTTATTCTATTTACCTTACTCTACGGGATCTAAACCGGATATATAATCATCTAATCTTTCTTCTCTCTCTCTAATATATCCCTGGTTATAATATTATATCCCATCATCGCTCTCCCCTCACCCTCCCCTCCCCTCCTCTCCCCTCTCCTCGTGCGCGAGAACGTGATGCCCTAAGGCCCCAGACGCCAGAGAAAACAAGTTGCTCCACCGCCATGACAACAACATCAACAGAAACAAAACCCTCCCATCAACACCATCAACATTCATAATCCCAATAATCCCATCAACTAACCTCCAGAATAATCTACATCCAAAATTCCTCCCAGCAAATCCATTCCATCCCTGATGATCTCTCTCTCTCCCCCAACCAACCAACCTCCCGAACCCCACCAACCCCTCCATCCGATCGATAAAGTCCCGCGCTGAGGGATTTACTGACTGTACTTACTGTACTTACTGTTCGTCCATGTCCATACCACATCATTTCATCTATACAATCTACACGCAAACCTCACCTTCACTTCCCTCTCCTCATAAACCCCCTCCTTTTTATTTCTTTTTCTTTTATCCAATCCATCCGCACACACACACATATATCTATCTATATCTATACCATAAAACCAACATCTCTCTCCTCAACTCCAAACCCCGTTCCCTTCTCCTTTCCCACGCCTTGGAGCTGCATAAACCCCTGTCTGTCCGTCCGCAACTAGCTACCTAGTTACTGTAGATATCTTCTTGCTCGGGGTGATTTTTTTTTTCTTTTGATTTTCTTGGGCTTTTGAGGTTGCCTACCTATCTACCTACGTACGAGAGGGAGGGAGGTGCGGTAGGTAGGTAAGGAAGGAGATGAGAGAAATGTGAAATACAGGGGGAAGGAGAATAGAAGACGGTATAGATAGAGAGCGGAATGGTGACTAGACTACGAGTTTCATCATCGCATGCGAAAAAAAGGGTTCCTTGGACGTGCCATCATCATCATCACGTATATTTCCTTTGATCAAAAAAGGGGGAGAGCAGAATCAAGAAAATATGTCGTGAATACATGTGGGAAATGTATGTATGATACTGTAGCGTACAAGAGGGATGCGCAGCGCGCCCGACGATTCCCTATGCATGCGTGATCCATCCGACCGCCCGCTGTCTCAGCCTCCCTCCAGCATAGAAATACAAGATAGCCGCGCCATCGCCATCGCCATCGCCATCCCCCTTCGATTCGAGGCGTTCAAGCTCACCTGGCCGAGATGGCCGCGATCCACTTCTCCTGATCCTTTCTGCCATGGGGGTTAGAGAAACATGTCATGCATGAAAAGGGGATGGAAGAAAAAAAACTCACTTGTCGAAATGGAGCAGCTGGCCAAGCACCGTGTTCACTAGATCCGCCTGCCGCTTCTTATCCCGCTGCTCCAGGAACTGCAGCAGGATGGTCTTGAGGTATACATAATCCATCTTCCCCGGCCCCACTGCGCCGCCATTCGCCGGCCCCGGGCTGCCCGTCCGCCCAGAATCCAGCGAGCCGCGCGACGGCACGTCGTGGAGCCGGATCTGCTTGGCTTGGAGCGCTTTGTACTCTTTCTGCAGCTTCTCGTACCGCTGGTTGGCGTCGTCCAGGAGCTTTCGCAGGTTCGTGCGTTGCTTTTCCGCATCCCGGACCTGCTTCTCGCTGCCATCGAGGGCCGAACGAAGCTCGCCCATCGCCGAGCGGATCTCGTTGACTTCTTGCGATGCCCTCTCAGAGACGCCTTCCAGCTCGTCGCGTCGCCGCTTCCACTCTTTCTCCGACTGGAGAAGCTCGTCTCGATCGTCCGTGGCGCGCTTGAGATCTCGTTCAAAGTCCCGGATTTTGGTCTTCAGCTCCTCCACTTCGCGAGCACGGCGCCGTGCGTTGGTGCTTGCTTCGTCTTCTGCGCGATCGCGTTCCTCGATGGCCGTTTCCATCCGTTCTCGCATCTCACGCACCTTGGCATCAGCTCGGTCGTCCACATCGGCGAGGAGACGTCGCATCGTCTCCCCTTCCCGGGTACGTTCACTTAGTAGTCTCTGCACCTCCCCGAGTTCCTCTTCGAGACTTTCGGCTTGCTCTTTTGCTTCCTTCAGCTGCATCGCCATCTCAGCGGTCTGATCTCTCATGCTACCAAGCAACCCTTGCGCATTGTTGTACTGTGATCCCCGGAGCTCAATTTCCTCGCGGAGCCCCTTGGTCTCCGTGGTAAGCTTCGATACCTGATCCTCCAGGTCTCTGACCCTCGTCCGCAACCTTGCCGCTTCTTCTTGGACCTTGGCCAGTTCCGCCGCGGTCTTCTCCCCCGAAGCCGCGAGTTGAATCTTCTCGGCCTCGGACTTCCTCAGATCACGCTGTGCCACACGGGTTTGCTCTTCGAATCGAACCCGACCATTCGTCTCCTGCGTCAGCTTCTCGTTCAACATCCTAACCTCATTCTCCCTGTCTGTGGCCTGCTTCTTGAAGCTGGCTATGTCGGCCTTCAGATCTTTCTCTCGGGCCTCTAATCGTTTCAATTCAGAGGTGCGCGCTGCCAGCTCGTTCTTGGTAGCTTTTAGACTTTCGTTTTCCGCGCGAAGGCTCTTGAGCTCCGGCTGGGCTTTTTGCAACACGTCGCGTAGATTCGTGAGGTCCTTGTAACGTGATGTAGCTAACTGCTGGGCAGCTCCAAGATCCGTTTGCAAGGTGGCTGACTTGGACTTGAGATCTTCATACTCTGCAGTTAAGGCCTTGAGTTCAGCATCGATCTTTTCGGACGCCTTCGATTGATCTTTGTAGCCCTCGACCTCCTCTTCCAACTTGGCGATTCGTTCTTGGAGTGTAGTTTTCTCGGCTTCGAGTTCTTTGATCTTGTCCTTGGCTTCCACATGCTCCTGGCCGATGTTGATGAGATTCTCTTGCATATTCTCAAGCTCCTCCCGTAGATCCTCTTCCGTCTTTCTCTTGGTTTGGAGCTTGGCAATCTGTGCATCCTTTTCAGTGATCTCAGCCTTTAGTTTGATTATCTCGCTTTGCAGATCATTTGTTGCTGGCGCTGTCGAGACTACCGATTCAGCTACTTTTTCTGTCGACTGAGCTGGAATATCCACCGAGGCCGTTGCCGCATTGCCTCCCTTCTTCTTTTTCTTGTTCTTCTTTTTGGCAGCTCCTGAGGGGGGAGGTGCTGCCGCCGTCTCGGTAGCCTGCGAAGCCTTTGGCATTTGATCAATCTCGTGGACTGTAGCTTCGATATGATGATGTAACGAGTCGACAGTCTTCGACATTTCTTCAAGCCGTTTGCTGTCGGCGGCTTTCGATTCTTCCAAATCCTTGATCTGAGCATCGAGTTTCTCTTTGACTGTCTCCAATATTTGGTGATCCTTCTTCAGTGATTCGAGCTCATCCTCGACGGTCTTCTTCTGCGTAGCATGTTCTGTCTCCAGAGTAACGACCTTCTCGTCAGCTTCCTTCTTTTGCCTTTCCAGATCAGATTCGAGGGCAGCGATCTGTGATTCTGTAGCCTGTAGCTTGTCTTTCAGGGTTTGAATCTCTTCTGTTTGGGCGTTTATTTGTTCCTGGAGAGCTTGACCAGCGGCTGCAGCCTCTTTTGACTCGCTCAACTCACGTGTAGCTTTCTCCAGGTCGCTAACTAATCTGGAGCTTGTTTCTTGAGCCACAGATAAATCATTTTCCAAAGTAGAAACCTTCGACTTGAGATCCTCAGCTTCAGCTGTCTTCTCCTTGAGTTCTGTTTGCAATTTTGGTATCTCATCATCATAGGAGAAGAATTCCTCGTTTTCTGTCGTCTCGAGAGTTGATTGTGGTTTCTGCTTTGGCGAAAATATTCCCATGACTGATGATACGGGAGACTTGACAGATGGCGATGTTGTGTCCACACTACCCGTGTCAGCTTTCTCGTTCGTAGCTACACTTTCCTCTGTTGTTGCTGCCTGCAGTGATGCCAATTCTTCCCGAGCAGACACAGTCTGTTTCTCCGCCTCTTCAAACTTCTTCTTGTAGCTATCTCGCTCGGCTGACACGCGCTTCAGTTCGTCCATCACCATATCCCCCTTTAGATTCAGTTGATTGAGGTATTCCACCAATGCGCCTGGATCGTTAATGCCACTGACGGGTGTATGTTCTTTGAGGACCTTCTCGAATGGCTCAACTGCTATGGCGCGGCCGTGTGCAATACGGTAGGATCGCAGAAGCTCTGAAAGAAAATTAGCCAGGCAGGATTGCCCGTTTGAGTAACAACACACCCTTATACTTGGATTCTAATGTCTCCAGCTTTCGTAACTTCGCGCGAACATCTGCCGGCAGTTCATTGGAGGGTCGAGGCATGGAGTCCGCCCTCTCCCCCCCTTTCTGCCCCCCATCTGTAGTCCCAGCGGCTGTGGTCACATTGCTTTCCCCCATCGCAGTTCTCTCGCCCATTATAGAAGGTGTTCTACTCCTCGAAGCCTCCTCCGATTCGTCCTCTATAACGAAAGCGTTCTCGAATTCTGTGGGATCAGGACTTCTCGGATTCGCGCCATCCTCCTCCCTCGGTCTCTGTCTCCGCGGCGGCCTGGACGAGTTCTCGTTTTGATCGGATCGCGAGATAGATCTTGTAGAATTGGACCGTGATACCGGTGACACGCTGTTTCTTTGACGGGCTTGTTCTTCAGCAATTCGGGAGTCTATTGCGCCCTTGAGTCGCTTTGGGACAGGTCAGCCACTGATCAACGAGGCTGTCATGTTGGGATTGGGACTTACCTGGAACATCGTAACCGCGTCTCCTTATGAATTTGATACAGAGCTCTGGACCAGAAGTCCGTCAATGAAAAACTACCATTCCTGCGATCCGGATGATCGTATTTCTCTCCAGGAAATAAAAAGTTGGTGGAATCCTTGCTGGAGGGCTGAGACTGGTCGATACGTTGAGTCGGAAACTTCTACGGTGGCCGGGGAGCTTTTGCATCCCTGGAACTGCTCCCCTGGAGCTCACGGAATTGTATACCTTACCTCATAGGAATTGTATACTTCACAGATCAGTACAACTACTTAGTATTACGACAATATGAAAAGTTGACCAGGCATAGAGCACAAGGGCAACCCAATATGGTATCCCTTTGGCCTTTCAAGGTATGTATAATCTAGACCTCTTCTGCTGTCACTCCTAACATTCCCAGGGCGAGGACAACTCCCCAGCCTCATTCGAAAAGGCCTTGTCTGCGTTGGCAGCCAAGATATCAAAGTCGCAGACCCAGCTCAGCTCTCTACAGCAGCGAGGGCGTCGTCTAAAGGCATTGTGGACTCTCTACAGCAGCTTCGCCTACCTTCTTTGCTTCATCATTCTGTTTCTGGTGGTGGGCTGGCGGAACTGGACTGCCTTGGAATATACCGCTGTTGCTGGAAGCCCATTGGCGTAAGTGTTCCCAGGTATTTAACATGATCAGCTAGTTCTAACATGCCGGTAGCATCTGGCTTATTCGCAGTGGGATTACTGCATACTATAACCTCCGGGTGGACATCATCACGCAGAGACTAGAGGATCAGCGAGCAGAACGCGCGAAGACAATTGAGAAACTGAAGGCGGCAACAAAGTACGATTCTACTCAGGAATTGCTTGAGAAGTATGGGGGCGCACCGCCCAAACCTAAGCCCAAGCCAGAAAGGAAAAGCACACCTTCGACGAGTTCAAAACAAGCACAGAAGCAGCCACAAAGAACATCTCTGGGACCCCCTCCACCGACTGCCAATATTCCAAGACCTGATAATATGCCACCACCCAATCAGATCATAAGCCAGCCTTCAACTCCCCAGCCGTTTCGGAGACAGTTTGATCCCTACGCCGCTCCACCTCCCGCGTTCGCCAGTCCACAAGCCGAATTTGCACCCAACGCTTTCCCGGCCCCTCCACAATACGCTCTTGGTGATTCTACGAATCTCGACGGACACTGGTACGACAGGGTACTGGATTTACTCCTAGGTGAAGATGAGACGTCGCCGAAAAACCGCCTGGTGTTGATATGCCAGAACTGTCGCCTCGTCAACGGCCAAGCTCCTCCGGGAACCAAAACCCTTTCAGATCTAGGAAAATGGAGGTGTTTTGGCTGTGGTACGCTCAATGGCGAGGAGGACGAGGCCGTGAAAGCAGTCAAGGAAATGAAAGAAAGGATCACGGAGACGCATGATGAGTCGACATCAGCACCGGAAAGTAAAAGCGAGTTGGGATCAGATGCTGCGGAAAGCGGCGATGTGAAAGAAGGCGAGGACGGGGTTGATAAGGAAGCTGTTGAACAAAATGATGATTCTGGATCGGATACTATCGAAGTCAAACCGAGAAAGGGAAAATCAAAAGGCAGTCGCAAGAAAGCATAGTAGCTAGCAAGCAATAAAAGTTTCATTCTCAATGCGTAAGTACCACCCAAATCAATGCCCACAGGATGGGCCTGTGACGAATCTTAATCCACAGAATCGGATCCTGCATGCGTTCCAAGAACAGTACACGAACAGCCTTGGAGAATGGGAATGAACGAGACCGAGGGAGACAGTGAGGTTGAGAGTGCCTTTTGTGCTAGAGAAATCGGCTGAAAGCCTCAGTTGGAGATCTCACGTTATCTAAGGTACCTTAGATAAGTTTGGCAGCAGATGAAAGTGATGTTATCCGAAGTCTAACCCCTCTGACGAATGTAATAGACAGACAGCAGGGTAACTGCCGGCCTGAAGTCAGGCTGATGATAATTACGCATCTGGGTTTCTTTGATACTTTGATTTCCCTCAGACTTAGACATCCTGGATTCAACCAAGTGGTGAGGCTTGCTTGTCCTCGTCTAGGCTTATTTCAGTAAGCTGAACTGGTGTTTGACCTGCTTCTCAACATTCAAGTCGGATCCAAAGCTTCAAAGTGTTTGGATCTGCCTCTCAGCAAAGGGCACTTCAGTTTTGTTTGAGGGACACGGGCTTGTGCCTTGCTTTCAAGATCTCACGATACAGAGAATGATTTGCGGCTTGGCTTGATCAGTCTGTTGATGACCAAAACATCTCAGAATCTAAGACCTCAAAGCTACCGCCAAGGCTGGTCCTGACCAAGAATGTTCAATATGACTTCTACGGTATAACTGAGAAGATGGAATAGTCAATCTGACGCAAGCCCAAGGAGGTCGAGAATTGGGTATTTCCTCCTTCATTGATGAAATCCTGGAATTATTCAAGAGCATTACTTTGACTCACAATCATTCTCTTCTTTTTATAGTCGAGATCTCAAAAAGAAGAGGTAGCATTTGCATGTCTCAGAGGTAAGATCACGTGCGGATTACAAGGCCCGGGGGAAACTGGAAGTGGAGGTGCAATGAGGGCAGCGCTAGTCTGCTTCTGGAAAGATATCACCAGTGATCCGCGACACGCGGATACGCGATACGTCGTCAGCCTCGTATTTCGTATGTGACCACAGGTTCTGTTCTTGCCCACGCATTTACATCGCTCACATTGGTGCTCTATCCGCATCGCATTCGTGCAGTCCTCCATCGTCCGACGCGCCGTGGGCGATAGTGTTGGGTTGCATCCTCGGACGGGGGTCTCAGTAATCCACAGCTATACCTGGACTACTCTGCTTCGCCTGCAATGGAAGACCCGGCACCTCGGGTGGAGAGGCCGCCAACCATAAAGGGGAGCAGGCGGACGCATACCAAGTCACGACAGGGCTGCTTCGAATGCAAACGACGAAAAGTCAAGGTACACCCTCCCCCTCCGTAGTGACGAACACAAAGCTGATCGTCCCAGTGTGACGAGGAAAAGCCGCACTGCAGCGGATGTGCAAAACGCTTAATTCCTTGCCAGTACCCCGTTGCAGGTCAAGTCTCACGCGAGAGAGACGCTCCAGCACCGGTATTGAGGCCTGAGTGGTCTCACCACTTAAGCATTTCGTCGCCGTACCCAGCCGGTATCTCTCCTCGGGATCATGGCGCAGTCCCCTCGTCGGCAGCGTCCTCTAGATCTTTGCCTGATGTTAGCAAGTCCCCTGTTCTCCCCCTTCCAACCCGAGGCGTCGGGAATTTTGGCATGGAAGATATGGCACTGTGGCACCAATTTGTTACAGCCACAGCCGCAACCGTAGCAAAGGCTGGGGAGAAAGAGCTTCCTCTCCAAGCTTTGGGCTGCGACTATCTTATGCACGGTATCTTGGCAACAGCTGCTTTGCATCTTGCATATCTAGATCCGGCGCAGCAAGATAAATACAACTATCTAGCAGCCCACCATCAAGATCTGGCCCTTGGACCCTTTCGACAAGCCATGTCCAATATAACTCCGGAGAACTGCAACCAGGTCTTCGCATTTTCAATACTGATGGTAGTCTTCAACTACGCATCATTTCGGTCCCCGGAACACCTCCTCCCGTTCTCAAATGCTTCTTCGTATAAGGGGCTTTCAAGCTGGGTCGTCTGTCTTCGCGGATGCGCATCCATCTTCCAACAGGCCGGGTCTCATATCATGTCCGGTCCTCTTAGGTTTCTGATCGCACAAGAGGACTGGACGTCAAGTTTTACGGCACCACCCCCTCGAACTCCGCCAACTGAAGACGACGAAAGTCTGCAATATCTGTCGGATAATCTCCTCGGCTTGCCGTCTGTCAAAAGCTCTACGACTGTTGAAGCCATGGAAGCTTATACGGATGCGATATTTCGGCTTCGCCGATTGCTTGCGGCGTCCTCTCAGACGACCGACATTGTGAGCAGACGTGCTATGAGTTCAGTCTGGGCTGCGACTGTTCCTGACACCTTCGTTTGGCTCCTGAATGAGCAGAGACCGCCGGCGCTCATCATCATGGGTCATTATTGTTTACTACTCAAGAAATGCGACGCATGCTGGTATATGGAACATCGCGCGTACGACTTGTTTGAGGCTGTTCGGCAGAGCCTAGCTGAGGAATGGCTGCCGTATCTCGAACATCCACTGCGAGTTTTCAAAGGACGATCTTGAGTACTCGTTGATCAATTTTCAGATGGTGGAACGCCCATCGCTGACGTCGCATGCATCAAATTCAATGCGCACGTGAGTACATGCCGCATCGATCCGAACCCACTCTACGCTAGTCTTGACTAATGCTATTGCATCTAGATACCGTGAGCATTTCAGTTTCCGTTATTCCCACGCGGCACAAGATGAAGGATATTTTATCTTTACAGCAAGCCCGGAGTCTGGGAGAATTGCCAGACTTTTTGCATTGACTCATTGTCGATCTTGAGTGTGGAATAATTGAGTCTTAGAGCAACTAGGATGAGATTGATCATGGGCAGAAGCATGCGGGCTATTACTTCCAGCTTTTTACCTTTGGATCCACTTAGCGCTCGCTTTGGACAACGGGACCACCCATAAAGCTTGGGCGCTTGGCATAGCTTTGAAAAGATGCATGAGCTTTGAAGACGCAATAATCAAAGGGCTTCGGTGAACGGATGAATGGCGAACGGCGACCGGATTGGGAGCCCTGATCGACCAAGACGTTCTCGAGAAAATTTTGACCGCCGCTGGTTGGCAATTATTTGGCAAACCGAGAGCTCTGCATACCCCTGCATTCAGCAAGTTGCTATTTAAAGCAAGGACCAAGTAGTAGCCTGAGAGCACCATGCCACGTACAGTATTACTTACTCTGTAAGTCAGCGTGCTATTCCTAAAGGGCTCAGGCTTAATTAAGCTTAATTAATGTTTTCAAATCCGCCAGTCCCTGACTGCTAAATTAATGCTCTACATGCTCGAATACGAAGTACCTAAGAACATCTCTGTTCAGCCTCCCCTAGACCCCGAATTGTACATTCTTGAATTTATACCCTCCCAGCATGGGACATTCGACAACGATCCAGCCAAATTGAAGGCGCGGCATACTCCGTAGGTGTACAAAAGGCTGTACGTAGAGTGGGGGCAGATATATGCAAAGCGTCGGGGCAACAGTCCATTCATTTGCGCGCAACAGCGGACAAGGCTGAACGGAGCCTACTTGTCCGCACTGAGTCTCCCTGCAGGTCGCCCATACAAGTTGCAATGCTGACTTTTACATATTAATAAACTCTTCTCGCTTCGTTGCTTCTTTCTATTGGTTTCAATCTCAGCATCTGGGTCCTGTGTTTTCTTATTTTAGAGCTCAGCCGCACTCGGTATGAGCCGTGATCAGAACCACAGCACCCACCATTGGCCACTCAATCCATACGGTAGGAAGAGCATCAATAGTCCCCGGTCATGGCTTTTATGGGACCAGTAGCCATTGACCGCCATGATCAGCCTTGAAAAGCCTCAAGTTCAGTGACTTGTGGACTTTGTTCAGCTGGAGCTCCCCGCCTAATCTCATTGTCTTTATCTTCACTCTTATTCCTCCTCCAAATTCCCACGTCTGCATGGATTCCTGCGCTCTATACATCGTCCCGCATCTTAATCTCAAATTTTGGGCTATTCCTTCAGGAATCCGTCTTGGATAACGTACTTGAGCTTCTAGCACCGGAAAGGAAGAGCTTTGAAATATCTGGCCATAATGAGGTCGCCGCTGGCTTCTGTCCTGCTTTGCACATCGCTACTGTCGTCTCTAACTGCTGCAGCTGGTACAGTGCATCTCGGTATCAAAGGCAGGCGCGATGTGGCTGGGCCCCAGCGATTACGAAGACGTGCAGGTAGCAGCAGCACTCCCCTGGCTACCCTGACGGAAAATCCCAACTTCTCGCAGTACTTCGCAGAGGTTGAGATAGGGACACCCCCTCAGAAGCTCTCGTTGGTTGTCGACACTGGCAGTAGCGATGTCTGGGCAGTTGCTTCATCTGCTCCAATCTGTGAAACAAAGGGCACCTGCTCTCTTGGAACCTGTCAGTTGATCTGTTCTTATATCTCTCATCGGGAAATTTTTTCTGCTTTATTCTTGTTCTTATACCTGGATTGTTGACGCCTTCTGTAGTTGATTCCTCTTCGTCCTCGACATTCGACGACAATGGACCAGGTCTGTTCCAGGACCAGTATGCTGACGGAACTTCAACCACTGGTGACTTTTTCCTTGATACTTTCAGCATTGGGGGTGCAACCGTAGAGCAATTTCAGATGGGCATTGCCTTGAATACAAGTATTCCCAAGGGGATAATGGGCATCGGCTTTAATAATGCGGAGGCGGGTGGCAGCGTTCAGTACCCTAACTTGGTCGACACAATGGTGAACCAGAGTGTTATTGCTACCCAGGCGTACAGTCTCTGGCTGGATGATTACGGTGAGTATCTAAAGCATCTGCTAATTTACTGGGTATAGCTAACAACGGTATAGCTGCAAAAACCGGGTCCCTCTTATTTGGCGGAATTGATACCGAAAAGTACAGCGGGGATCTTGCTAACATCGCGATGTACCCCTCCGCCCAGACAGGGGTCATAGATGCATTTACAGTTGCCTTCACTTCTCTCACCATCTCTAGTTCTTCTGGGAGTGATACCCTGACACCGCCCGGCTATGCTGAAGCCGTCATCCTCGATTCGGGGACCACTTTCACTTATGTGCCCGACGACCTAGCTGAAGCAATCTACAACGTAGTTGGTGCACAATTCAACAGCGAGGCCGGGCTCGCCCTCTGTGTATGCTCCACCGGATCCGTAGAAGGAACCATCGATTTCGGATTCGCCGGTGCTGACGGTCCCGTAATCAAAGTTCCTATCTCCGAGCTCGTCTACCCAGTCTACGACAACGAGGGGAACCAACCCACTCTGCAGAATGGCGATACGGTATGCTCCTTCGGCATCGAGCCCTCCTCCAGCCTTGGTTCCGACGTAGCCCTCCTCTTTGGTGACACGATTCTCCGCTCCGCCTACGTGGTCTACGACCTCTACAACGCCCGCATTGGCCTCGCGCAGACGGTCTTCAACAGCACGAAATCGAACATCATCGCATTTGAGAGCGCCGGTGCCCAGATTCCCAGCGCCACAACTGTCACTAACGAGAACGCTGTCACGCAGACGGCAAGTGCGGACAATTTCGGCGGTGGCGGAGCGGACCCTACGGCTCTGCCAACTTCGGTTGACGCCGGGACTGAAATAGCTGGAACGTCGACAGCGGAATTTACGGGGAATGCGGGCCCGGCTTTCTCAACGGCATTCTTTGACACTGCCACTTCAACATCTAAATCTAACCCTACGGGTAGTGGTTCAGGGGGCAGCTCGCCGACGGGCAAGAAGAGTGCTGCGGTTCCTGGTGTCAAGCCTGTTGCGTGGGTGCACATTGCTCTTGTAGGAGCTACATTGACGTTTATGGCTGTTGGTGGTGGGCTCTTGCTATGAACAGACCAGGTTAATGAGTTGTTGGGGCAGTTAATGATGGATTTCCGAGAAGTATCTTCAAGTATGTTTTATGAATGAGCACCACCCATTATTTAGTATCTAATATATTCACATCCCTAGGATCTAGAGCTTGTTGAATGTGTCACAAGAAATGCTAACTTCTATGGAGCACAGCATTGTCGATCTTTGTGATAAGATCAGTATCCCCTGATTCCCCTTGGTAGCCCCTTTTTGGCCCCCCCGCCCCTTTCGTTAACCTGAAGATATCCGTGGATGGCAAGAAAAAAGTCCAAGGGTTTTCATGAAAAATCCAACCTCTATTTCAGCTGGTAGAGAGAGATAGACTTGAATATATGAAATACTTACAGATACATTGAAAATCCGCATGGAAGATATGACTGGGCTTTTTCGCCCCCCTTTTATTCCGAATTGACATATGTGGCACGAACTTTTGGCTCTTGTCTCAATTTTAGGCCTTGGAACAAACCCTAAAGGATTATTAAAGGCAATCCTTCTGTCATTCCAGTACCAGATACGGTGTATTACAATCGATTACTCTGTTACGTGGAGTGCAAGGGGGTAGTTGGATGACTGCGATTACTAATCATTCCCCTGGACCCCTTGACCGGGGGGAATGGAAAAACGTTCTTGCTAGAACCGCGTTTTATTAGCGTCATCGACCTCATGTCTCTTTTATATCAGAAAAAAGACTAAAACAAAAGGAAATTCCAGTGGGCATCTCATATTAGTCGGACAGTCGCTTTTCTCTCTTGTCACTCATTGATTTCCACAAGTTCACGCTATACCTGGACGCGACTGTTTAAGACAAGGCTCTGCAGGACGTATAGGTTTAAACACGGAGTAACGCGCCATTTGTCTGCGGTGTCTGATCATCCAACTCTTCCTGCCGTGGAACACGCTTGTTAGATGCTCACGAGGCCTGTGGCATTGTGAAGTTTCACTCTGTTGGCTGCATGATTTCCTATTCTTTTGCTGGACCATAGCAGTGCCCAGAAATCTATGTTTCAAGTTACTTCTCACATCACATCCCAGAGGCTGTTGGTCAGTTAACATGCGAATTCTCGGTCTTAACCGGATGACTCCGGAGGCACTTCCCAATCTGAGCTGTCAGATATCCGTCTCGGTCCAGACCCCATGGAGGCTGGCGGCATGTGCCTGTGCGACGGCACGGAAACTTCGCGGTCAGGTGAGGTTGAATCTCTACCTATGGAATAGCTCTTAGTGGAGGTCAACTCGGTTCCTCAACATATATCCTCGGTATTCTATCCTAGATCCAGTTCCTTCTACATGATGAGAGTAAGACATCCATTGGCCCAAATAGATTACTTGCAGCTGAATGCACTCCTGCTGGGCTGGGTAGAGGGCATATAAGGTCTGGCTTGTGCCGGTAATTGTCATTGTCGTTGTGATTCGACTCTGCTACGCGATCTCAATCACGCCAAGCTACTCATACTGAAGCCAGAGTCTGGAAAAACGAGTCGCATCAGGAATGTCGAACCTGCCCTTTGGTTTTGTACTGGCCTATCTTCCCGCCTTGTTATCATGTCAGTCTGCATTGCGCAGCCAAGGATTGCAATCATCTCAGTACCATAGTCGGCATCAGAAACAAGAGAACTGACGATCCCTGTCGCGTACTCACCCTTAGCGGCAGAACATCCCCAATACCATATTCTGCCACCAACGAAAGATCATCGCGAGAAGCGTAAGTTGAAAACTTTTGAATTCCAAGTTGTTTTCCTCCTAACCTTGTTGAAGCTAGACACACACCGCAAATGCTTTTCCCAGTCCTTGAAAAATCATAACTCCGAGTCTCCGAAGTAAGAATGCCCGAAACACCACATTCTCTGACTCCTCGATTCCCATTCCCTAATCTATGGACTTCCCAGCAATCGAATTGAATTGGTACTGTATTGCCCATCGGGGATTGATGCGGATCTTGTGTTCATTTCCTCTAGTTCATCAATCCCCCAGTGCGGGAACCTGGCACAATTGTCAGATTTCAGTTTTATATCTCGAGAAAGTCGGTATCATACTAGTTCTTTCCACTAGCAGTTCGTACCACAGTACGGGCAAGCTTTTCCAGGAATGACCCAGACCTCCTGCCCATTGGCAGCGCAAGTGGGACATCTCACTCCAGTCATCTGTCTCTGGTCAATATCATGTGATTTCAGGGTCAGACGGGTTAGAACTCGGTACCGGAACAACTCTCACGCCCATATCAGGGCTCGGTGGTGCTGGGTTGTAATAAATCGAAGGCTCATCAGTTGGAACCTCGAAGATGACATTTGCAACTGAAGGAAGCGTCATTGTCGTGATTTTGTTGTGAAGCGCTTTGCCGAGATTCAGTAATATCAGGAGAGCGATTTGAGGTTTGCGACTTGGGAGTTTCGATGGGTCGACAATGGCCGAGAGACTTATTCCAACCCCAGGCTGGCGAGGGTGTTGGCGTCTTTATACCTTTCAAACAATATTCAGATCTCTCACGACTTCGCAGTGCTGCAGCAAACTAGCCTCTTCCGTCTACCCGGTGATATAGGAGATTGCTCAAGTGATGTTGCGGAATTCTGCACAAGTGTGTAAAGTGGACATTGAGTTGCTGCAGTCGTCTGCAAGTAAGCACTCCGCCGAACTATTGGCGCCCCAACGCTATATTGGATTGCCTACTTGTGAAACGTTCTGATGGAGAACGTCATTGATCCATGGCTCAAACTTGATGCTGGAGGAGGGGACGATATTATTCATGTGCGCGAGTTTGTTGCGGCTGTCAAGGGCCAGAAAAGAAAGCTGGGCTGGCTGGGAATGCAATTGGGTGGATCCTTGGCACTGGCGATCAGGATAGGTGCGGAATTCGGACGCAGATAACCGGCACTCAGATCACAAGGATTAATTTGATTCGAAAAACCCACGGATTCGAAAACCCCGGTCTCCCAGAAATCCTCCTAGTGTGTTTTCCTACGGGGCGGTATGGGTCTAAGGCAGCGAATCGTCGGTGAGGAGACGGTCTGATACATCATATACACCACATACATCACATAGTATTCAGGCGGCTATTCCGAGACCGTGGAAGCTTTGTGAAGTGACAAGTTACAACTCTGGTTTTTCGGGCCAGGGGTCATCTGACTTGAATTATTTCCGCCGCCGAGAATTTTACTCTGTACAGAGTAGGGGCCGGCGAAGCTGCAGGAGAGCTGCAGAGCGATCGATCAGCGGTCGTGTACCGCGCACACAGATCGTGGTTCGAGAAGCCAACGAATGATAGTGGAAGGTTCAGAGCCAGTCGGGTCTCGAGACTGGCACTTTGCGTGCTGCGATACTTCGGGGCACTCGTACGGAGTATAACTCCTTTTGCCGGGGGACAAGGCTTGCCGCTATGTGCTCACGCTATTGTGAGAGTTGGCGACTCTCTGACAATACTAAGACGATACTACTCGTCGCACGGCTTCTTTTCTCAACCCTGCGCGCGGCCCAGAACCCTACACCAAACCCTTGAGTCTAGATCTCCCCGCAATTGACCATTGGGCAGAGTGGACAGGCCTAAGCTGCACCGCAACATGCTAAGATTCCCAGGATTGGACTCTTGTGTTACCATACTAAGCATTACTAAAACAGTTCTAAACAGACGGAACTGCTCGATAATTCTATCATATGTGGGACAGTAGGTGGATATTTGGAAATCTGACAGAAGCTCCAACCTTTAAGGGATGATCCTTATAGACTATTTCTCCACATTTCCCTCGGCTAGAGCTCATCCACAAGAGCCAGGGACCCAGGGCGGATTTGCGCAGCGATCTACCTTAAGGCCAGGGTTAGCTGGCCTCTTCAGCTCGTGGTACTGGGACGGTTGCGTGCCCGTCCCGAGTCAAAATAAGGGGGTGGTTCGTGCGACGAATGGGAAAGAAAAGAGAACACCCTCCTCTGCCAACACAGCACAAATGATAACACTGTGTAAAGTACCTTTCGTCGTCGCATCACGCCTCAAGGCGGATAGTCATTGCGAAGGCAGAATATCAAATCATTATCAGACGCCCAGATACGGGGCCCGTGGCTCACAACAGGGAACATCTTTGCGCCGGGTAGCGTCTAGGGGTGGCCAGGATAATGGCCTATGAATTGATGCGTCCCCATCTCCCATTTTCCTCTTCATACCCGCGTGACTAGTACTCACGCATGCCTCGCTGTGGGATAAGCGCAAACCTCGAGCCGCATTGCAGTCTCCTAGTTACATCTGGCTGGCTGGCCCTGACTTCTGCAGTGTTTATGTCCGTTTGTTGCGACGGCGCCTTGCAATTGTCCCAAGAGGCCATGCATATCGGGTCGAGCGACGACGGTTCATCTGTTGGGGACTGAAAACGCAGGTCCGAAAGTTTAACCCACAGCCCTCCAGGGCCCCCAATTTTCCCTACAGCTGCTTCTATGTCGCGCATAGGAGTGTCAAGCAGGACAGGAGGACTACTGCGTATACTACCACCGGGTTGCAAAGTATAGGTTCCCAGGCACGGACTCGGGGAGTCTAAAAACAGACAGTGGAAAAAGGGGGGTGGGGAAAGGGGATTAGGAAAGAAAAGATAGGAAAGAAATCAAGGACAACCCGGCCGGCTCGGCTTCCGAGAAATGACCTGTACTGGCCCGCGGGCAAAAACGGCTCGAGGCGCCAGTGGAGCATTCCCGACAATGTTTTCCCCTGTCCAAAGTTCAGCAGCTCTTTCAAAATCTTCACATATCCCGCAGCACCAGACGGGAACGCTCCAAGGTTTCGGGCAAAAACCGACTTCCCTCGGGCCTGCCGAGCTGTCCCCAGCAGCCCCTGTACATGAGCTTCTGCATGTTCGCATTGCCGGAAACCACGTTGTATGCAATAGTCTGCAAGATCTTGTGTTACAGTAACTAACAGAGAGCATTCTCCGGCGCCAGCCAGAAACGCTCTGCGCCTCCCCCATCTTTTCTTATAGGGACTAACAAATCTCGTGCGTCACTTGTCACTTGCACCAAACTCTGCACTGTGCAACCTCTTCTCCATCATGACACCTGTTCTTTCTTCCGCAGTCTTGCGGCGTCCGGCGTCCCACGAGGACAACAATGACAACATCACCACCTCCACTTCAAACCCATGCTCACAAGCGGATACTGGCGTCTCCCGCCCATCGTGTCGGAACGCTTTCCTTTCGATGCCCCGCTCGAGAAGCATGACTAGAGGTCGTGGAGTGCTTATAATGAGAGCCAGGAACACAGACATGCATGGAGGCTTCACTACCAGCGGGAGGCTGCTTCGTTGACCGCTGAAAGGCGGCGCTTCAACAGACCCCGTGACGGAGATTCAAGTGGGCAAACATCAATATTTGCTCAAGGTCAGATGATCCAAGGAAACCGACGCATCTATGCACCGAGTTGATGGTCACACGGTCCACACCAATTTTCCGCATCCCAATCTTCAAGTCGGGTTAGAAGCGACCGAAGCAGTAGCTACGACTCGAGGGATAAACTGGAGAAGAGACGTTCGTGAAACCATGATGTCCGCGCCAGATCGACTGTCCCCCCGCCGTGGCTCAACCCGGGACGTGAAAGCTGGGAAGCACCCCGGCCCATAGGTCCATTGTCCGCACGGCGTCTGGCGGACGGTTGACCCGAAGTGTCGGGTCTCGAGATGAATCCCTCACAGCCTATCATCGCCACCTCTCTTGCATCTCTGATCAAGCAAGCAAGAAATTGCAAATCATACTGCAGCCCAACGGGCTCCTGTGGCCTCCAATGAGGACGGGAATCGCCTCTTTGCTCTTCATAACTTCAGCTTGTGTTGTAAAGATGCGATATTGAAGGTAAAGGGGATGCAAACACACGACTCGGAGGGGGACAGTTTGCAAACATTGAGGGTTTTTCAGGTCACCACTTTCTTCAGGTCACCACTTTGTCTGTATTGCTTTGTTTCTTTTTCTTCCGGGTTTTTTATTTTGAAACTTGTTTTTGTTTTATTTTTAACTTGGGCTTTTGTTAAAGAAAATCTCCTTCCCCGTGCTTACCGAAAGGCAAAAAAAAGTAAAAAGAAAAAAAGGGGGAAAAGAAAAAACACTTAATCTCCTACAAGCAAACCTCCCAACTAGACAACAAACACAACACAACCTACTCTATCCGCAGCTCCACAGCTCTACAGCTCCATGGCTCTCCGTTGTTTGCTTGTTTGTACATAGCCATCGGCTTTGTATCCTCTTTCTGGAATAGTTCCCCCCTTTATTTTTTATTTTGTTTCTGATTTTTGTCAAAGAGGGAGAAACCTCCTCTCAACCTGAGCATATAAAAATGCAAAAAAAGGAAAAAGGAAACACACTCAATCTCCTACAAGCAAACCTCCTAAACAGACAACAAACACAACAAACACAACACAGTCCGCTGCATCCGCAGCTCCACAGCTTTCCATTGTTTGCTTGTTTGTACATAGCTATCGGCTTTGTATCCTCTTTCTGGGATAGTCCCCGATGAGGGAGGGTATGGGGGATGAAATTTCAAATCTTTTACAGTAAGGTAAGTACAGTTTAATTTTCTTTTATCTGTGGCAGGTAGGAGACGGAAAGGGAGAGAGAGGGATAACGCTATTCCCTAGGTACGTACGATTGCTATACAAACCCTTCCCTATACACGCACATATAGAGAACTTTCTAGTTCCTTCGCTCTCTTCTCTCGCTCTCGAATATTTGGAAATTGCTAATTGTCTAGTTACTATGATTTTGGCTTGCTTGTTTGTTTGTTTGGAGATTGAGATTGAGATTGAAGATCTAAGGGCTTGGATGTTGTGGGAAGGAAGGGTGTGTCTGTGAGTGGGCGGGTGGTGGATGGTGGATGGTGGATGGTGGATGGTATACAATGTATCTATCTATCTATCCTATTTCTATTTTCTCTATACACCATCTACCTCTCCCTCTCCACCCCTCTCTCCCTTTCCCTCTCTATCTCTCCGCCCACCTCTCTCTCTCATCCCCTCTATACCCTAAAATACAATACATAAATCAACCAATCAACCAACAAAACCACAAACACAAATACAAACACAACCCCCCCCCCCAAATTAAATGAAGAATAAAAAGATAAACAAGCAATAGACCCATATCCCATACAAACACAGCACTTTACCCTCCGCACTAAAAGATGAAATGAAGATCAGGCTTGTTTGTTTATGTTCTGATATCTATCATTTTTCTAGTGAGTAAGTAAGCCGGAGTGGAAGTGAAAGTGGAAGTGAAAGTTATTATGATGAAATCGCGGGCTAGAAAAGAAAAGAAAATGCGAATCAACTAAGGAAATAATCACTAAATAGAAAACTACAACACAAGACCTTGCGCAGATTCAGATTCAGATTCGGATTCAGATTCGGATTCGGATTCGGATTCGGAATTCTGTTCTATGGTGAATGAATGAATGATAGTGATGATATTGATGATAGTGATGATGATGATAACAATACATATTTATATATATTGAGCATATATCGATTTTTGCTCCCCCCAAAAAACGCCAGCGCCGTCGGGTATCGATCATTTATACAGAAGAGCCCCATCTTTTCTGGGCCGAACAAATTTCGGATATGTGGTATATAGATATACCTCTGTGTCTGGGATACTTCCAAGAGCAAGGGGGTGGTTTTTCGAATAAGGAGAAGGAAGGAAAGAAAGAAAGAAAGGAGGAGGATTATCTAACGCCTACGCCCTATAAATCTCGTCTAGCCTTCAGTGTGTGCCCACTTCCCACTCCTCGAACTCCATCCTCCAGACCTGATTGCGAACCTAGTTAAGATACCGTCTTTTCAACCTTGATCAGGATCAAGCCTCGGGTCGCCGCGCCCTTCACATCGAATAATCGCAAGAAGCGGTATCCATGCTGCAGGCGGTCGAGTCGGACGCAGGCCCACGCGGCCAGCGAGTCCATGGTGTACTTTGCGTTTTCGACTTTGAACCTGCACAGCTCTCGTTAGCTTTCTGTGTTCTACAAAAGGAGAAGCGTCACGCGACGTTATGAGACATGCATGCTACGTCCTGTGCTCTAACCACGGGTCGTGCCGCATGGAAATGCAAAGCGGCACCCTGCCGGAAGGGACGTGGCTAGAATGGAGGGAGAAGAATGGAAGGAGAGTGAGATCGGGTCGCAGATGGGACGCAAGGAGCCGACGGGAGCGGATCCCGGGCCATGCCAGCGCATCTGGGTCACACCGCCTCAAGACCTGAGGCCCTGAATCTTCGGCATGCTTCATACTGAGCGAAGGCTCTGATTGACTGGGTAATCTCCATCTGGCCACTGCGCCCGTCATGTCCTCCCAATCCGGAACGCTATGTCTTCATTGGGAGCTAGGATAGAGCCCCCACATGACCCTGAACTTCATCTCCGGGGATGGCAAAGGGATCATATGAACAATAGAGAGCAAATGGAACAGAGAGAGACTAACCTGACAAAACTCAACTCTTCCAGCACGCCAGTCACCACGGGGAAATCCAACAGGATGCCGTCATTTCCAAAAACAGGGTGGTCCCCTTTCCCATACGGCGTCTTCTGCTTATACTCTCCACCTTTTGCTCGTCCATTCCCTTCAACCATCTCGACTGTCTTAGACTCATCCGGTTTCTCCACATGCAATTCACACCTGACATATGGATGGAATCCGTGTTCCTGATTTTGCGGTATAGGGATATTCTGTCCCGCATATATCGTGATCTTTAGATGGAGCGTCTTGTAGGCGATGGTCTCAGACGTATCGGAGCGGTACCCGGGTGGTTTGAGGACCCAGCCTTTCTCGCCGGCGAACATGGCTTCGTTAAGCATCATGCCTTCGTCAATGTTCTGCCAGTTTAACGCTACCATCTGCACCCCTTTCCTCCAGAAGAGTGAAGGGTCGAGGTTGGAAGAGTCGAAGCGGAAGCCAGCGGGATAGGCGCGCATGAAGTAGTCGCGATTGTGGGCGAACATCTCCTCTCTTTTCTTTTCATGGAGTTCTAGAATCTGGTTCTCAGAAATGGAGAAGATATGTGACGGTTTCATGCAATTTTTTGCAGTGAAGTCAATGAAGTGTTCGGAATGGGTGTAGATCCCTAGGTTTGAGAGGGCTTCACAGATTTTGGTTTTCTTCTTGCTGGACCGTTCGTCTTCGGAGCCAGAGCAGGAGTCGCCTTCATGGCGGGAGTTAACAGGCGCGAGGGAGTTGCTGCTTGATGAAAAGGGTTTGGAGGAGGGCCCCAGAGAGTTGTTGCTCGGGTTGCGGTAGTGGAGTGGGCCTAGGGTGCTGGTAGAAAGGACTTCTGGAGTCGGGGAGGTTGACTTTTTGACTTTGACGAGGATCTTGCCCAGCAATTCGTCAAGCCTGGGAACTCGTTCATCGGGATTGCACGTCTCGTGCGCTACGTCAATGAGTATCCCTTTCCATTCTTCTTTCATGATATCAACCATGATCTGCTGTTGCTCCAGGTTGGCATGAACTTCCAAGCTAACGATAATCGGAAGCTCGCTCGTCTTGAAGGCTGTTTCTCGAATAGTTTGAGAGACATCTCTGAAGCCAACTGGTGCTGTCAGGGTCCATCCATGTAGAACGATTGGCTCGCCATTTCTTATCGGTTTTGTTGACGGAGGGCGTTCGATCAAATCCCCTTCTGCTAGAGACTCTGAGGATTTGTTGCCCTTTTCCATCCCGAGCAGATGTATACCAAGACCCTTTCTATCCTTGACTGCGTCCTTTACACTCTTGTACGTAGCGCTAAATTTTCCAGCTGCCTCAGCTGCTAGACTAGGGAGGTTGGTCGCAGAAAGGTGTCGTTTGTGCTCCGGCTTAGGTGATGTAGACAAGTTCGATACGTCTGATGCAATGGGTTCGGCGGCATCACCATCCCATACATCAATCTCAATGCAGCGACATCCACCAAGGAGGACCTGATAGATACAATTATTAGAGACGGATGAAGAGAGCTACTCGGCAATGCTACTCACAGTCTTATAGGAATCCACACTGCTTTTCGAAGACAACTGGTTCCCCGACAAGTACGTATTGTGACTGCTGCTGATGAAATAGTTGCTGATGGGTTTGGACAAGTCCTTCGGCATAGCCTCCTTGACTGCCTCGAATCCATCATTGTAATACAGCACAGCCAAAAACTCTTCAAACAGGTATGATTCTTTGCGTGGTACCTCCATCAGTTGACCTTGTGTGCTCTCCAGCCAGGAGACAAAATTATCGTAGGTGAGGCTTCGTTCTCGATCGCACAGCGTGTCGTATACTCGTCTCAGATGGTCTTGAATTGGCTGGGAGAGGTACAACTGATGGGCCGCGACATCAGATGTTCCTTCTCCTCCGCCAGTCGGTATGAGAAGTTGCACATGTTTGCTATGGGCCGGGAGGGACATCATTGTCGACATTGCCATGAGTTGATGGAGGGAGAGATGTTTGCCGGAGGGACTGAGGAGAGGCATCTTGATAAATATCTGGCTGTCCTTAAATGACTGTGCCGCGGTTAGTAATGTTCTCCTTTCCTCCAAAACAAGCACCCAATCCTATGGCTTGTAGGCCCTTTCAACGGTTGCAATAACTGCATATCTATGTTGGTACCACGGGCTGTGCCGGGCTGAAGACCAGGCAGGAGAGGAAAACCGACCTTCGTGATTGGCCGCAGAGCAAAGCCATGAGGGGGACCGTCTGAGGGGAGTCTGCAGAGTGAGATTGGTCAAGAAAGGAGAAAGGGAGGGTGTCAGACGTCGTTGATGTAGTTGGAGGAGACTTTCAGCTCCTTGCCTAGGATGCTGGCAAGGACAAGGCTTGGGTGGGGGCCGTCATTGGTATGCCAAGAGAGCTGGGGAAACGGGCAGACATCGAGGGGAAGGGGATATATATGAACACAAAAGAGCCGGTCAAAGGACTGAGGCAATGATGTGCAGATATCTGGAGCTGACATCTGCGTATGGAGGAGAGACAAGAGGCTGAATGCGATGTTTTGTGTTTCTGGCCCCTTGGAATGTTGACTTTCCCCAGCGGCCCGTGCCTGGATGCCGGGGCTTAGCCGGAGGGAGTGTCGCTATAAATAAACGTTCTATTATTAGCGCTGAGCCTCCGAGCTTATCTTTATCTCCGATCGACCTTATCTTATCCCTCCAGCCGGCCTCGACCTCGGGAAAACCATTCTACATCACCATCACCTCACATCGCCTCTCCTACTCTCCTACCCATCCTTCCAGCTATCCTATCTTAGCCCAGCCTCCACAAAACACCGCAACCATGGCAACCAAGTCGCATCAGGTTTCTGAAGCTGAAGTGCGCTCGTGGGGATTTCCCACCGCCTTCACGTGGACCGATGGCCCGTAAGTTATGCCAAGAAACATGTCCCCTCCCCCCCGCATGCATAGCTCATAGGGCTGATCCCTTTGCTACAGTAATGCTCATTATCCCCCGCATACCCACACCGAAACGACGACCCATCTCATCCTGAGGGGGGAATTCATCATTGCATTTCCAGAAGAGGAAGATACAGAAAAGAAAACATACACTGTTGGGGACAGAGTCGATGTTGCGGCCCACAGAACACATGAGGTCTGGATCGGACCAGCAGGGTGTACATACGTCATTGGACAATAATCATGTTCTTCTGAGACTCGATCTATCTCTCAAGACGTGTGCTAAGTTTGACATGTGAGCTATCCCAGTGTGTCCCTTGAACTGTCCTCCAAACTGTCGGTCCTTGTCGGGCCTCCTTCGATCACCCAATTTGAAGGAAGAGGCTACGGGAGATCCCTCGTGGATCCCGACTCCCGAGGTAGTTGATTTTTGCAATTGTCCATTAAATATCGGGAATAGGTTCAACATTCAGCCTGGTGGAATGTCTTCGCTGCAGTCTACTACAAATGGCAATCTTTGTGGCAACGGCAGTTCCCACGTTCCTCGAATATTCCTCGACCTGCAACTTTAGAACGTCCCAAACAGACCGGCGAAGCTAACACAGCGAGACTCGGTTCAAAAGAACCATTTCCGCAGAAGAGGCCCTAGCCATGAAGAAGGGGCTCTCGCCTTACGTGACTTTCCCTTGAATTGGGACTCAGACCCAATATTACAAAATTGTGTAAGTCATTCCGTACCTTGTAGGTAATGCTGGAGGGTACAGAGTCAGGCAGTTTGTGTATTGCAGTGTTCCGTAGTCTTTTCTTCCACTTCAGCTTTCAGCTCGCCTCAATTATTTCGCCGTATATCTATCAACCTTAATCGACGACATAGCCACCAGTGCTTTTCCGCATCGTTAAACTACCTCCACCCAATCAGATAGCAGGCTGGGTTCTATGGATCATGCTCGCATTCAACACAGTCGAGATTTTTCACGATGATGATCTGGGCAGTAATGACAAACCAGCGTGTTCGCAAACACAAATCGCGCAAACCGCCAGCATCAGGTTGGTCGTCAGCAAATCATTTGCTTTTCCAATTTGGAACCAATACTGGGTTCGCTATGCTCTTGTATGACCGTCTCGTATACATCTCTATTCCTTGTACACACATCTGTCATAAACTTTGATCATCGAATAGCTTCGATGACTGATGAATTCAACTAAGAAGCGTTCACTCATTTACACTGAGACTTTCTGCCCAGATTCAGTATCATTTGGATCGCTTGAGGGTCGATCCAAGGATGGCAGAGAGCACATATTTGGGTCTTAATCCTCCCTGCAGAGACTTCACGACATTAGTCGGCTATCATGATTATCACGTTTCCTTCCTACAGTTATTCTGTAGATATTGGTGTGCCAATATCACAGCCTTTTTGGGAAAAGTTTCATCACTGAATATGGGAGATCACGAATTTATGACAGTTCATTCCCTCGTCTATCCTAAACTCTATCACTGCTATCTAAAGGCATCTCGATTGTGTGTATATCGTCTTTCCCCCTTCGATTCAACCTTCGAATTCCACTACGGTGTTCCAGGAACTATTTGGTTCCGGGAGCATTGGGATCTCTAGCTCTGCCGGACATCACGAAGGATATATTACCCCTTCTAGCAATATCCCGGGCCATTTCGTGGCTTCATTCAACACCCCACTCTGGCAGAGTGGCAGGTATGGCTGAAGGGTCGTACACAGCTAGTGGTCATTCAGCTGTAACAGAGGCATGATACTTGACAAGTCCCATTCTGCTCGCCATTGAAAATAATGAGGTGAGCGGTTTCTCAACCTTTCTTACAAGGGTTTATCTTCTATTTCTCCCGTGTTTTATTATGAGTATTTAAGTCTTACAGTTCACCATCTCGCATTAAAATAAGGGTTTGCTTCAATGCTTATATTGCCTTTTTTACCAAAAAAAAACCCGTAATTTGTTTTGTCTTTTCCTTGTAGATATCTTAACTTACCAGTTCCAAAAACCCCAAAATCCACACCAACGAGAAAACAAGAGACCAAAGAAAACACTTCCCTCAGCCTCTCACAAAAAGCGGGGAATCAAAGGGCGAGGAAACTCACAGGTTACATACTCACAGACCAAACATATCCTCCTCATCCCTTTCCCTACCCGGCGTATACCTATACCGATACCCATCTCTCTCCTCCCAACCCGTCGGGCGCCTCTCACCCATCTCCTCATCCACAATACTCAGGGCCTCCATCCGCGAAAGCCCAATTCTCAACAAATGCTCGAAGAGGTCCTGGCGACGCGCCGATAAAGTCGAAGACCGCGGCATCCTCGGCATCCTCCCTTCCCCAGAAGCGAACGTGGGGCGAGGCTCCGTGAACGGTCTCCTGGGCCAAACCCCCCGCTCGATCTCACGCTCGATGATTGACCACGCCGCGCGAGCGGAGTAGCCAGACTCTATGAGCATGATGAGCCGCGCTGCGAGCTCGGGTGAGAGATCGCGCGGGATGAAAGAGGGGCGAGAAGGCTCGGGCTCGGGGCGTCGTTGGGTAAAGGAGGGCATGGCGCCGTGCGGCTCAGGGGGTCTTCGAGATGGGAAGGGAGCGCTTCCTCTTCTAGTTCTTGGGGGCGGGCGGGAGCGGGAGCGGAAGAAGAATGGATCGGGGGGAGAGGAGAATGATGCGCCTCCTCTGCCTCTTGAAGGCTCTTCCCGTGCGGCGAAGGATGGCATGGCGCCGTGTGGCTCAGGGGGTCCTCGAGACGAGAAGGGGGGTTCTTCTCTTCTAGTTCTTGGGGGTGGGCGGGGGCGGGAGTGGAAGAAGAATGGATTGGGGGAAGGGGAGAATGATGCGCCTCCCCTGCTTCTTGAAGGCTCTTCCCGTGCTGTGAAGGATGGCATGGCGCCTCTCATCCGAGGCTCTTCGTCTTCTCGGAAAGAAGATGGGAAGGACGGATTTCCTCTTCCTGTTCCTGGCTCCGGGCTCTCTCTTGAGGGCTCGCTTCTTCGAGGTGGATGGAAAGATGAAGATGATTCCTCCCGTGGATACGCTCTCTGTCTCTCCTCTTCATCAGTAGAGGTACTAAAGGATTCATACCTATTATATCCATTCCCGAGATCCTCAGCATCTGCGCCTGCAGCAGGCTGTCCGCTCTCCGCTGGGACAGGGCGCGGATATGCTCTCCGCATCTCTTCCTCATTGGCAAAGCTTTCATACCGGTATTCGTTTCCTTGGGCGTCGAAATCGGAACCTCCTGCCGGTTGGCTGTTTCGAGCTGGATAGGCGGTGCTGCGGCGTGCTTCGGATTGTTCGGGGCGTGGATCGTAGCGTTCATTGCTGGGAGGGCGGTAGTTGTATGCCATTTTGTAGTCTTGTGCTTTTGTTATCAGAGTTGGGATTATTGATGGTCTTGTGTTTTTCTAGTTATAGCTTGGTGATGATTTGAAGAATGTGTGTATTTGATTTGTGCTGAGTGAAGAGAGGAAGGTTAGAGAGAGATTAGGAGAGTTTATATATGCGTGTATAAGATTGTTCCAAGCCAATTCCCCCTAGGTATAGAACAAGGCATTCCAAGATCAAAGAATCTTGTGTTCTATCTTTGTTCTTTTCCTTGTCTCTAATGTATACATTATCTCTGTGAAAGAATCCCTTTGTCAATCAAATCTCTTGTTCATGAGATAAAGACCAAAGGGGCCTTGTTCCTCCTCAATAGAATAGGATCTAGCATGTTTCAGATCAAAGTAAGAGGCCTATACTGAATACTCCGGGTATAATGATTCCATAAATAGGGGTCCCTGATTGCTACGCGAAGCGATAGAAAGGGGGAAAGGGGAAGCGAGAAGCCCTTCATAGAAGTTGGGGACAACCACCTCAAGACTCAGGGAGCTACAATATAATGTTATTTGTCATTTACTTGCTACTCACTATACGTCATGTTGCCGGACATGCATGACTTTTCCGTGGAATTACCGTGGGAGTGAGATGCGGGGAACCCGAGGTTGGAGAGGTGCCCAGGCAAATGGAGAGCGGGGTTGGTCAGACATCCGGCAACCCCAGTTACCTAGGTACCTAACAAAGATTACTTATTGTGTGGAATCCTTTCTGATCTGGAGGATGAACACTTGTCAAGCGATTTCTAAGACAGCATCAAGATGAAGCAGCGAGACTTCGACGCGTTGATCGTAGGGGCCGGCTTTGCTGGCATCTACCAGCTACGTAACCTCCGTGACCTGGGACTGTCGGTGCAGGTCATCGACAATGCTGGCGATGTGGGAGGTACGTGGTATTGGAACAGATACCCGGGGGCAATGAGCGATACAGGTAAGTCTTGCGATGGAACTCAATTTTTGTCCAGACTGTCCTGGCCTCCAGTTCCAACCGAATGCTAATCATACCCTTCCAGAATCATACATCTATCGCTTTTCATGGGACAAGGAAGATCTCCAAACATACCCCTGGGCAAATCACTACTCCAAGCAGGCCGACGTCCTCGCCTACCTCAACCATGTGGCCAACAAGTATGACCTGAAGAAGCATATGCAATTCAATACTGAGCTCCGCTCGGCTGAGTGGGACGAGGAAAAGAACATCTGGCGCATTGAAGTCAGCACAGGTGAAACTTTTACCTCGAGGTACCTGATTACGGCCCTTGGTCTGCTCTCTAAGCAGAACTATCCCGACATCAAAGGTATCGACAAATACAAAGGCGAGATTCACCACACTGCCAAGTGGCCGCAGGGTTATGACTTGACCGGCAAGCGCGCTGGAGTTATTGGCTGCGGTTCCACAGGTGTTCAAGTCATTACGGACATCGCAAAACGGGTTCAGAGCCTGACCTGTTTCCAGCGTCACCCGCAATACAGTGTCCCCAGCGGCGACGGCCCCGTCGACCCTAAGTATAGGGAATACGTCAACAATAATTACGATGCCATTTGGGATCAGGTGCGCAATTCAGCCGTTGCGTTCGGCTTCAAAGAGAGCACAATTCCGGCCATGTCCGTCTCACCCGAGGAGCGGGAGCGGATCTTTGAGGAGAACTGGCAAAAGGGGAATGGTACGTTCTCCACGCGCTGTCATTATAGTACAAGGCAATATATAGAGCTAATTGACTGTGGTAGGGTTTCGATTCATGTTTGGCACCTTCTGTGATATCGCGTACAACGCAGAAGCGAACGAGGAAGCGTGCAAGTTCATCCGCAAGAAGATTGGACAGATTGTGAAAGACCCTGCGAAAGCAAGAAAGCTGCAGCCCACTGATTACTATGCCCGGCGGCCGTTGTGCGATGGCGGGTACTATGAGCAGTTCAATCGGGAAAACGTGAGTATTGTTGATCTCAAGGAGACGCCTATCACCGAGATGACGGAGAGTGGAATCAAGACAAGTGACGGGGTGGAGCATGAACTTGATGTAGTGATCCTCGCAACTGGGTTTGATGCCGTGGATGGTAATTACACACGCGTGCGAATCCGTGGCCGGAACGGCAAGACGTTGAAAGAGCGCTGGGAGAATGGGGCAACGAGCTATCTGGGAGTCTGCGTACCCGGGTTTCCAAACATGTTCATGATCACGGGACCGAATGGACCATTCACAAACATCCCACCCACAATTGAGACACAGGTAGAGTTCATCACAGCTGCAATTGGGGAGGCAGAGAAAAGCAAGAGGTTGCTGGAGGCGGAGGAGCAGGCGGAGGAGGAGTGGGTTCAACTCTGTGAGGAGATTGCGGCGAACAGTTTGTTCAAAACGGCGAATAGCTGGGTATTTGGCGCAAATATTCCAGGGAAGAAAGCTTCGTTAGTCTTCTTCTTTGGCGGCTTGCAGAATTACAGGGCGAGATTAAAGGAGATTATTGAGGGTGAGTGGAAAGGTTTCAAGCAGATTAATGCTGCGGCATGATAGCCCGTTGCGCAAATACCGATCTATGTTGTGCTTGTTGCATATATTGTGTTTTTACTTCTACTATGAAGTAAAGTGATCGCAAGAGATCGAGACCCCGGTCGACCTGGAAATCCCCTCATTTTTCTTATTTCCGACGCGGGGTCGCTCGTAACCCCACGGGGCAGCGGCTGGAGCGAACACTAAGACCCCGCAGATAATAGATAAGTACCTTAGGTACTTTACCTTATACATCCAGACCCCGCAGATATGGACGGCTCGGGGGATGGGATGGCTCCAATGTCCGGCTACTTGAAGGTGCTTCCCCCTCCCCAATCGTAGTGAAATAAGCCGACTGATCAAACAACACAGACTCAGCTGAATATTCAAACGTCGTTCCCCCATGGGCTCGCTGAACACAATGGCTCCCAACGCTCCCCCTACCCTGAGACTACCCGAAGGCTCGCAAACCTGTCGAGTGTCAATCATCAACACTACGTGTGACTTGACCTGCCCGCCTGAGTATCTAGTCGATCCGAAGATCCAAGGTCACGAATGGCTAAATCTACCCACGTACTCGTACCATATCAAACACGATGCGAGCGGGAGGGAGCTTCTGTTCGACCTTGGCTGCCGCAAAGATTGGCCCAATTCGGTTCCCGAAATCTCAAGTATGCTGCGTGCCCGTATGCCTGGATTTCGGGTTGCCAAAAGTGTCCCCAGCATCCTTGCTGAAGGCGGCGTCAATGTCAATAATGTGGAAGCGTTGGTCCTGAGCCATTGGCACTTCGACCATTGCGGCGCCCCGTCCGAACTGCCCAAGTCCGTCAAGATGATCGTGGGTCCAAAATTCAGAGAGACCTTCTTGCCAGGATATCCCGCAAAACCAGACTCGCCCTTTCACGAAGCCGATTTTGAGGGACGGGAGGTAATCGAAGTGCCATTCTCTGATGATTTGAAGATCGGTCAATTTCAAGCTCATGATTATTTTGGAGATGGCAGCTTCTACGTCCTGAATGTTCCCGGTCACGCCGTCGGACACATCTCTGCCCTTGTTAGGACTACCGCTGACACGTTTGTGTTCCTTGGCGGCGATGTATGCCATTTCACGGGCGTCCTGAGACCTACGCAATTCATCCCAATGCCGGATCAGATACCTGACGAGACTCCGCTTGACAAGCGCATCCCGCGGCCTTGCCCATGCTCGGCTTTCCTGTCTTCTCACCCTGACCAAAACAACAGTCGAACGGTACGTACATATTGAATTAACCATTGATCACCTACCTTACCTGCCTGCTGCAACAATTATTCCCATTTCATTTCACTAACCACCAACTAACTAACTATCTCTCCCTCCCCCAGACCCCATTCTACAAAGTCGGTTCCGGGCCCGGCACATTCTACATCAACCCGCCCCTCGCCCAAGAATCCGTACACGCACTCATGTCCTTCGACGCCTCCCCCAACATCCTGATCACGATCGCGCACGACCCTACAAGTCTCGACGTCTTCCCTTTCTTCCCGAATGGCACGCTGAATGATTGGAAAGAGAAGGGTTGGAAACAAGCTGTGCATTGGGGGTTCGTGAATGAGTTGCCGTATTTTGGAAAGACGGTTCGGGAGCAGTTGGTGGATGGTCTGTATATAGATGGTGAGATGGTGAGGGATTTGAGATTACCTGGTGCGTAGGGAGGAGTAGACTATTTCGTTGTTAATGACATCATCTGCTTCGTTATGTACCTACCTACATACCTCACATTACATCAAGACCCGAAAGAAATCCCCCACGCTCTAAAAGAAACAAGGTTACCTTAACCTCGGCCATCTACCCCACGAGTTCCTTTTCCCCGCCCCTGCACCCCGCAGTGCCGCGCTAGTCACCTGATCCCTACCTACTTGTTCTTTTTAACCACGCTTGTCTTGGAATGCTTCGATATATATATATATATATATATATATATATGTATATATATTGATAAGTTTCTTATCTACTATTTTATATTTGCTATCTAAGGTAGGTAGTGTTTAGGCCTTGTTAATTTACAGTAACAATGCATGACTAGCTTATACATTTGCTACTATAATGTCAGTAGGTTCTCGGTCCGAGTCTGATATCTTCTCTGTATTAGGGGTTTTGCGGCTATCTCGAAGTTAGATCTAAACAGTACGAAAGAGTCTGGAGGTATCGATAGACTTACGCATCGCGCCGTTGCAGGAACAACGCCAGTGTCAAAGTCAGCGTAGCGCACACGATCAAAGCCACCGTTACTGAGTTTCCGACCAGGAAGCGCGGCGCCTTGGTAGTGTTATACGTAACCAGCGGGATCCAGGCGTTGAAGGAATACGCGACGGAATTGGTGGTCCCGAGGATGAATTTACGTTCCAGGGTATCGTCGGCGCAGATTTCATTGACCATGGTGAGGAAGATGGGTCCGGAGCCGGGAGCGAAGCCGGTGAGGTAGTAGGAGGCCCATTTTAGGCCGAAGGGCACGCCGTCCCAGATCGCGAGGTTCATGGCGGCGAAGAAGCAGACGATAAGCGAGAAGTAGACGATGGGGCTGCGAAGTTGGAGAGCGTCGGCGGTCCAGCCGTAGGCGAGAGATGTGACGATCGTTATGGCGTTGATGGGTGTAGGATAAGTGTTGATTTCTGACACGGAATACCTACTACGGGTTAGCTAACCAAGACGTCCCCCAAAAAAAAGCGTAGATTGACTCACTTCTTCAAGCTCTTCAGCCAGAGATTCATGTAGGTTCCGATATTCTCGCTGCAGATAAAGAACCTGGCAGACAGTCAGCATATTTCATATCAGGAGGCATTTCGTGCACGTACGTGTAGTAGGCGGTGTACACCCAGAAATGCCACTTGAAGAGTATGCGCTTGATGCCTGTCCATGTAAATGGAACATCTTTACCCTTTCCGGCATCTGCCATGCGCTTCAGAGCCAATGTCTTTTCTTCCGGTTTCAGCCACTTCACCCTCGTGTTAGTAGGGAGGTCTGGAAGAGCATAGTAGCCTTAGACAAAATCAGCCATAGATCCCAGAACATTTGCATCGTGATGACTGACCCCAGAGAGCCATGGGAAGGGTTATAACGCCGTCAAAAATGAAGAGCCACCTCCATCCCGCAAGGCCCGCCGTGCCATTCATGCCCTTGTATAGAGCAGCTTGCAAGTACCCGCTGAACATGGAGCCCACGAATGCAGATGCAAAGAAGATCGATGCTCGCTTGGCCAGCTCGCGTTTAGTATACCATGCCCCGAGGACGGTGTGGACAGCAGGATAGAAGGTGCCCTCCGCCAAACCAACCAGGAAGCGACAGGCGTAGAGTTGGTGAGGGGTCTTCACGGCGGCTGTGCAGAAAGTGACGATAACCCACAGCAATTCCCAGGATGGGCACCAGAGTGAAGGGCGGATGCGGGTACATATCATCTGGGATGGGATCTGACTGATCACATAACCGATAGTCCACATGGTGGTAAAGGTCTGATACTCATTCCCCACCACGTTGAGGTCTTCTTTCATGCCGGAAACGTAGGCATTGGACACATTATTTGAGTTCAGGTTCTTGGAGAAATAGGTGAAGCCGGCCCATGTCCTGTGGGATCATATTAGCAAAAGCCGCTGCCGTTATAGAGAAAGCACTACTGACAGAATGAAAATATCGATTTTGAACAGCAGTTTGCGTTCCTCTGGTGGCCCATCCAGACTGTCCCAAATGATCTCGCGGATTCGACGTCCCCTGGACTTCTTCTCTGGCAAGGAAGATGCACGTGATGGGGAGGGTGAGGGGACCAGTGCCGCCTGAGGCACACTCTTCTCTTTCACAGGGCTGTCCGACATGATGGCTTCGAGACGGAGAGAGCGCACAATGGATGGAGACGCCTGGATGCTTCAAGCAGGGAACCGCATACATATCATCTGCGGGATGCCCTCGAGTGGACCCATCCGCACCCCAAGCCAAGCACGACAGGTACCGCAGACATGGCATCATAACAAAAAGATACAGGACATCGTCGCGGAGGGAGGGCTGTCAAATAGAGGGCAGGATTCGACGATCGTTGATTGGCTGGTCGCGACAGGAGGACAGGATAGGAAGGCAGTCGAGCAGGACGAGACTCACGAGAGTAAAGTGGGCGGCGAGCAGACAGGGAGTAGTTGGAGGCATGATGGGTCTCTTTGATTGACAGATTGATCAACGGGTCGCTTGAAGGTCCAGCCTTGCCGACGAGGTGACCTTGGATAATGTATCAATAGCGGAGGGTCAATCCTAAAATGGACGTCAAAAGCCTCATAAGCGAGCCGCCGTGCCATATCTTATTTTCTGGGGTTAATCGGCCGTATCTTAATTGGCGTCCTTGATAGCAAATAACGATAACTCATGGTAACCCGGGACGGCTGACGAGTCACGTGTGCCAGGGGGACCCCGCGATGATGCCATTCACAGCATGACACGCGTGATGTGGGATCCTGCACACGGCAAATCCGTCTTGTCTCCACGGTAGACGACTGGGGAGAGGGCGGTAGATCAGCAGTGTCCGACGACGTAGAAGATCTGGACATCTGCTGCTCATCCACGGCCAGACTCTTCTTTTCTTCTTTCATCATGGCCGCCCCAGCAACCGTTACGTCTCTGCCAGAATACCACTACCCGGAACAGACCCAGGAGGAGTGTACGCAAGGCACCTAGCCCCGTGGAAACGACTAGCACTGACTTGCCTCGGCGACAGTAGAATGGGCGTCCCTAGAAGCGCTCGACATCTCGCGCCTGGATCAACCAGGAGGCAAGGAGGAGCTGGCGGCCCAGGTCCTGAGTTTCATTGACAAGAACGGTATGCGGTGACCATGAGAGACGCATATGATATCCCACTCTGACCATAGCAGGCTTTTTCTATGTGAAAGGCCACGGTCTCACGGATGCAGAGATCAGAAACCAGTACGCTATCGGGCGGGAATTCTTCAAGCTCCCATTAGAAGAGAAGCAGAAGTATCTGGCTAACACGGCCGCCGGGGACTTTCGCGGCTATAAACCGCAATCAACGGGAGAGCTGGCAGCGAGGGACAATGACGAGAGGTATAACATCCCCAAGTTCACCCCGGAGCACGAGCGGCCGCATCCAGAGATTATCACCCAGCACTTGGAGGAGATCAAGAGGTTCTCGCTGGTTTGTTTGGCCCTTTCCTAGCTCTTCTGGGGGTTTTGAGGACTGATGAATATCCCTAGCACATCCACAACAAGATTCTGCTACCGCTCCTGCGTCTCTTTGCATACGTCTTGGAGGTAGACGAAAACTACTTCGTCAACCGCCATCGGTATGATGCACAGGGCCTGGAGTACCTGAGATATATGCTATACCACCCTCGCACTGCCGAGGAGGACGCAAAACTCAACAACATCTGGGCGCGAGGACACACAGTAAGTGATCTCCTCATCTCACCCCTGAAACCTCCCTTACCAGCGGGCGCAGGACTACAACACCCTGACCTTCCTCTTCCACCAACCCGTCGCCGGGCTCCAGGTCCAAACGAAAGACGGCTGGAAATACGTCCGCTCAAGCCCTGACTCCATCATCGTTAACGTCGCCGACGCCCTCGAGTTCCTAAGCGGCGGCTACCTGAAATCCACCGTCCACCGCGTCGTCCGGCCACCTGAGGACCAAGCCAGCCGACCACGTCTCGGACTGATCTATTTCGCTCGCCCCGAGGCGAACATCGCTCTGGCGCCCGTGCAAAGTCCGCTTTTGCAACGTCTCGGCTTGCAGAAGGGCGTGGATGAGTCGCTTGGGAGCGTCACTGCTGAAGGTCTGATTCCCCTCTCCTAGAGTCCTGGCTGCGAGATCAGGTCTGGCTGACTGAAACGTGTGTTGTAGAGTGGGCGAGGGCGCGCATCGCGAAGGATCATCGCTTCAGGACGGGGATCGCGAAGCAGCGCGAGAGAGAGATCATTGCGGGCGTGAGCGAGAAATATTATGACTAGGTAGATGGCGAACTTGGCCTAGTTGCCAGAGGCATATGTAAGATATAATTCAGCAGCTTGTATGTGGGAAGGTATTTCATTCAGAACATACTGCCTGCAATTGCGCACCAATGATAAGGTACTCTCCAAAAAGCCCAATATGACCTAGGTAGCTAGCTGAGGTCATGTGACGAATCCCGTGTCCTTTTGATCACGTGAAAGCGCACGTCCCTCCCTCTAGGTACATCTTCCTCGCTCTTCAAGTCAACTTCTCAATAGCTCTTGGGAGCTTCCTTCACCAGCATCAAATGGTGTTTCCTACATTCCACACTTTTTCCTACCTGACTTTACCTGGACTCCACGAGGACCTGTTTTCCCCCTGGCAACCAAGATCCCTCCCACACCCAAACCTAGCCATCCTCTTATTCGGCGGTTTTGGGGATACGTTCACCGCTGGCTCAGAGACTTCTCATATTTCTACTACTGTGACTGGGTAGGCATTGAATATGATAATCAGATTATTCCACTTCCATTCGGGCTGCTCTTGAAATGGTCCGATGGGACACGTCTCGAAGAAGTCTTCGCAACCAAGGTATGCCGCGCTGCTGGCTTGCCTACCCCGAAGATCCTCTGTTATGGCGATCACCCCGAGACTCCACACGCGCCAGTATCGATTTTGATGACACGGCTTCCCGGCCGCGAGATTGGACAGGCGTATGAATCACTCCGTCCCGAAGCGCAAGCCACTGCTCTCACGGAACTGAAGACTTACTTGGCCGCCATCCGCCAATGGAAGAGCCCCTGGGGCGACGAACGCATCTGCTCCATTACCGGCGGTCCCATCCGTAGCGTTCGAGTCCCTAACCATACTATTGGTCCTTGCGAGACTCCTCAAGAATTTCATGATTACCTAATTGCACCAGCCTGGAAGTCTCCTGGATTTGCGTCGCAATCAGAATACGAAGAAACTATCCAGCGCGCTCTCAAGCTTCAAGTATTGCAACGCCCTGGCACTAAATTTACCCATGGCGATATAAAGCACCACAATATTCTTGTTGATAACGAAGGTCATATTACCGGCTTGCTGGATTGGGAATCTGCGGGCTGGTACCCTGAGTTTTGGGAGTATACTACTGCTATGCGCTTCCAGAGAAAGGAGTCTTGGTGGCATAGTTTCTTGATGGAATTGGGCGCTAAGGAATACCAGGAGGAGATGGAATGTGAGAGGGCATTGATAAGCTTGACGGCTGATTCCTGGTCTTGGTGATGGCTATTGACTGAACGGAGTTGCGACCACGATGGTAACTAACCCCTCACCCCTCGGCATCGTAGCACCTTGTTTTGACAGGCGATCGGAAGCTGATAGTGATATGACAAAAGGTGAAATACTGTTAATCGGTCGTGGGGATAAAAGATCTCAGAATCGAGAGGTTTTGAAGCGAGGCAAGCACCCGAATTCTGAGGCTGTGCATAATTCAAAGTTGTACACTTTTGGAATTATTTGCGAGTTTTGGCTTTACTGAACCAGTGTTATCCAGAACCAATATGGGCGAATACGAGTGGGTAGTCAAGGAGAAAGGAGGCTTAGATAGGCCTTGAGCTGGTTTTGTCTTTGGTCTCACTGCTTCATTTTGATAACTGCTCTTTCCCTTGCTCTGCCCTCGTTCATGTTCTCAAGAGAGATCGCTGCCTGAGTTCCGGCTATGCCCACCATCTCTTAGTACTCCCTTTGCTTAACTTTGTATCAGTCTTTCGCATCGTTTGGTTGTTTTCCCTAGTTTTTTTCCCCATGTTTTCTACTGGTTTCTCGGAAAGGGTAAAAGGGGTCTAGGACCCTGATTTCGAGCACTACCTACCTTACCTATACAGGTAAGCCCATGAACTTTACATTTTACGGACCGAACCTTATGAATAGCCCAATTGATTAACGAAATATAGTAATATCGCCCCTTTGAACGGTATCAGGCGAATGATTATATAAGACATCTCGATGACATCATTGGATGTGTTTGCGTCGCCTCATATCTCGGATCTCGATGATCGAGTCAACCTTGTACGAAACACGCCTCATCTCTGGCTCTGCTAATATCTTGTATCTTCTACCTTGGATACAGGGTAAAACTCTCACCATTTCCCTTGTCAAGAAATTGGAATTCCGACTATAATTCCAAGCCCTGATTGATCTCAACTCGCTGGTTGTTTCTGCCTCTCCCCGGATTTCGGCTTCCGCAACAACTGCTTTCAAAGCTAAGCTCCTTGACTTCTATACCAGGTTTGCAAACGAGCAACCATGTCGACTTGGGAGAAAACCTGGCACGGAGGTAAAGCCGCCTTCGACAAAGGATGGGCATTGTTCGAGAAACTCGGCGCACCCGTCAACCGACTGACGAACAAAATCGGCTCTGAAGCCTTCTGGCCCTCATCTATGGATCGTGAATGTGACAAATGTGCTCGCATTCTGCAATCTTTCTGCAGTTCGTCCCCTATACCCTATTCATCCACGAAATTCTGGCAAATCGCCTGACAAACCCCTAGAATACGGTTTCTACAAAGAGCAACCCCTCAGCCATAGCTCCTCCGCAGGACCGAAACATAAACCCAAAGTTCTGGTCAAGATCCCGCAACAGGTGATCCAGAACTGTGTTGGCCTGGCCATCTTTAGCGTCATGCGAGCCGGCCTCTGGGTCTCGGGCGCCGGCGGCTCAGGCGTGCTCATCGCGCGCAAAGAGGACGGATCTTGGTCGCCTCCTTCGGGGATTCTCGTCCACACTCTCGGAGTAGGCTTCATGGCTGGGGTCGACATCTACGACTGCGTCCTTGTGATCAACAATCGCGAGGCGCTCGACGCCTTCTCCAAGCTCCGCGTCTCGATCGGCGGCGAGGTGTCGGTCGTCGCGGGTCCACTCGGAGCCGGCGGTGTGACTGATTTGGAGCTCATAAAGAATAGGAGGCCAACGTTCAGTTATATGAAGAGTCGAGGGCTGTATGGAGGAGTGCAGCTCGATGGGACGATTATCATCGAGCGGACTGACTCGAACGCAGACTTCTACTGGGAGAAGGTTGGCGTGAAGCAAATTCTAGCGGGCCATGTGCGGCGGATCCCACCGGAAACGCGGATGCTGATGGAGGTGTTGAAGGAGGCGGACGGGAGAATAGATCTGGATTACGGACTGCTGGGGACGGTCCATGGACCGGCGCCAGGGGACTGCGATATCGAGATGATGAATGAGCCCACAGCGGAGCAGAAAGTTCATTACGCCCCCCCGCCGGGCTATTATGCCCAGTCCTCCCAGCATGCATATCAGCAGCAGCCGCAGGGCTATTATCCTCCGGCATCTGAGGGGGCTTACCAGCAGCCTCAGGACCCGTACGCAGCGGCGGAGGCTTCTCATCCAAATTACCCAGAACAGAGTGCTGGTCAACAGTACTATCCTCCAGCTCCGCCGCAGCAAGGAGCTGCCCAGGTACCTTATCACCCTCCTCCCCCTAGCCATACTCCTGAGGCTCCATACGCACCTTATTACCCACCGCCTCCTGGTCCACCTCCAACTGCCCCACAGACAGCTTCCTACCCACCGGATTCGCAGGATTCCAATCCCAAGGCTCCGACAAAGGCTCCAGACTCCCCCCCTCCCCTTCCGCCTCGTCATTAACACTTCCCTGTTTGTCAATTCCAACAAATAGCACAAAACATTTTAGGACTCAGAAGCAGCTTGGGGGATCGATCATCGAGGATCATCGAAATGAATGTACGAACCCTTACCTATCCCTTAGCGGTTGATGGCGCAAACGGTTTATAAAATGTCACGGGAGAAGGTGGATAACGGAAAGAAAGCACTGCCAGATGCAAGTTCATACCTCTGAAATCCAATATTGCATTCGCACCACAAATCTAAGACTCTTGCGGAAACGAAAATCACTCGCTATTACAAAACAGCAATGGCCTTCCCCTCCTCCATTCCCACCTCCCTCGCTTCAACCTTCACGCTCCCCTTCTCCCTCTCCCGCTTAACCTTATCCCACTCCCCTCTTACCAACGCCCTCACCCTCTGCTGATAAAACGCGACCCCATTCTCCTTTAGCGGGTTCAGGATCCCCTCGCCATACACGCCCCTTTCAAGATTCCTCTGCGCCATCTCGCACAGCTCGAAATCCTCCAACGCCACCTGGCGCACAAAGCGGAAGTACTCCTCGAACTCCTCATCGCTGCCCGAGTGGTAGTAGTCGAACTCCATGCGCGCGACGCCGGGCTCGGTCGTCGGCAGCGTGCGGAACGACGACATCCCGCCCCCGTACACGTTGAGCGTGCAGATCGGGAAGAAATATAGGAAGAGCCCGTCGGATGGCTTTGATGGGTCGGCCATGTGCTGGCTGAAGTTGGCGTGGTTGGTCACGCTGTAGAAGGTGGGCGGGTAGTATTTCGAGAAGGTCGGGTGCGTGTATTGGCAGTGGAGGCACTCCTGGAAGCCATCGATCCTGCGGGTGTTAGTTTCGTCTTTGTGTGTTTCCTTTTTCATTCTTTCTCTTTTCTCGTGCCTTCATCTCGGAGAAGGTGGAGAGTGGAACCAAGTGAACAACAGAGGTGATCTATGAAAAGGGGGCTATACATAGTCTTCCAGTTAAATCGCCCCTCATAAGAAAGGCTTCTTCGATGCGGAAGCTTCGTGAAATCAACTTTATTAACCAGCTCCTCCAAACCGGAAAAGAACTCCTCAAAGCTCGGCGTATCTAGGGACAGCGTCGCGAAGACCAGCCCGCTCGGCGTGATATAGCTCTTGATTTCTCTGCCCTGCCACTCATCAGCCGCTCCTGTCAGACACATTACTCTCTCTCAGTACGCACCTCTTCCTGCGCATACACAACGATGCCATCCCGATCTACTCCCTCGGATTCCGGGCTCCGGTTCTCGACTAGCAGCGTCACCTGCGCGATCTCATAAACGACGGTTTCCGAACGGCTCTGGAATCGCGTCACGGGACCTAGAAGATGCCATGACTGGGCTGGATGATTAGCTATGTGATGAGTGGGCATGGGATCCGATATAATACTATATTACATACCTTGAGGAATACGGCTCGACGCTCTAGTTGGTAGAGTGCGGGACTGCAGAACCAAGATGCGGGCAGTGTTCGGGTCAGAGAATCCATCTTGAATATGGACTGAGCTGTCCAGGAGAACTTGGATTGTTATCAGGAACGGACAAGCTGCACTTGCGGCGCGGGCTCTTCTAGTTGCTCAAGAGTGGAGTGCGAGCTTGAAGATTATGTATGCTAGTCGCTAGAGATCAGTCTGTTGCAAACGGATATCTATAGGAATGTAGTAAGTATGTATATTTGTAGTCAATACTTTCCAAGTAGATATGTCGTTGTCGAATATCGCCAGGACATCAAGAGAGCAGGGGATCGACAATGCATGGGGATGGATGGGATGTCAATCGAGGGGGCCGTGGAGTCATGCCTAAAGCGGTATTCTGATCCTGAGTTCCAGACCACCACGACCATCAACCCATCTATCCACAAACATCCCTTCCCCTCCCCTGCCCCTCCACCCAAACCAAAGCCAAGTAGTTCTTGGTCCCAAAAACCCTAAACCAATGCCCACCCTTCGTGATGCGCCTCTAGAAGCCCACTTGGATCTCGATAACCGGGTATCTGAGCCTGCCACGCACCTTTGCGTAACATCCTTCGCACATAGTTCTGAAGCCACTGCAACGACATTGCTACTCTCCCGTCGGTAGCCCTCGCAGGGGGGATGCGTGAACCGCATTTGGTTGTATATTGTCCTCGTCCCGCTGGAAGCTGACCTGCAAAAATGGGGAGAGGAACATCGCTCGGTCTTTGATATGTCAAGGTTCGGCCGGTGCCATAAACCCAGATAAGGTTGAAGACACCGGGGCTTTAATCTTATGTGCCTGCCTTTGGAGTTTATTATTGGGTCAAACGCAATCGACTGATCACTTCTTCGTTATTGCCTTTTGCCCTTTTTCTTTATTCTTGCATCGCCTTGATTTTTGACATTTTGAAAGTTATAGACTGCACAGTCCTGCAATGGCAAAACTGGATTCTTCGCTGTATTGCTCGGTTGGGCTTGGCATCATACTCGCAATTGTGTATGCCTTCCCATACCTACAGTTTAAGAATAAGAGCGGTAAAGGAGTTTCGGTGCTGTCATCCTGGTTTCGAAAAGATGAATCCCAGGCGTTGGAGGGAGAGAAAGCTACCCCTACGTCAAAATATTTGCCAGGTTGGTGGAATGACGAAGAAGTGTATCAACTCGAGCGACGCGCTATCTTCAGCAAGGTAAAAGTCATTCTCCAGAACACCATGTTTGCGGTAGGGCTGATAAAATTTGCGCAGACATGGCTCTTCGTGACCCACACGTCGAGATTCCAGAAGCCCGGTGATTATCGAACCTTCGATATCACAGGTTTCTCATTCCTCCTCATCCTGGGGAAGGACAGACAGCTCCGCGCCTTCCACAACGTATGCCGGCATCGTGCGTACGCAGTGACGAAGAAAGAATGCGGGAGCTCCATAGTCCTCGGATGTAGGTACCACGGCTGGAGCTACGACACCAGGGGCAAGCTACTCAAAGCCCCGGAATTTGAGAACGTGAAGGGCTTCGAGAAGGACCTGAATGGGCTATGGGAAGTCAAGACCGAGATTCGGGAATCCATGGTCTTTATTAACTTTGATGTTGGCAATGAGGTCACGAGTCAGGTTCTGGGGGGTCTCGAAATGGACCTGAGGCGCTGGAGGACGTGTGAGATGGAGTGGGTCGATGAGTGGAAAGTCGAGGGGAAGTTCAATTGGAAGCTTGCTGGTAGGTGGGGACTAAGAGTTTCAGTGATACTGCGTGCTAACTTTTGAAGCTGGATCCTTGTTGCGCAACTCATCAAGGAGGAAAGGCTTATTCTCATTCCTTCCATTCCCTTCATCTGAAGAATATCTAAGCGTGTTCCACACCACCGTCTTCCGTCGACTCTCATCCAGTGAAGTCCTGACTCTCAGGCTCCTCCCCCTATCAAGAAATACCACCAAAGTAGAGTGCAACCTCTACGTGAAGGATTTCAAAGACACGAAAACGAGCCGTAGGAGAATTGACCATCTTAAAACGAGCATCAAGTTGGAGATCGAACAACTTGAGATCGAGCAGTATAAATTATTAAGCGGCGATGAGGACATGCCAGATTGTAAGAACACCGGATGAATATCAAAAAATACTTCTAGCAGTCATTAACTTCCAAACAGATCAGCAAGACGAACTGAGTGATCTCCTCAAGCAACACAAAGATGCGGAGACCAAGCTAGGAGCAGAGATCCACCCCGCTGCGCGGAAGCAGAGCTTCACTCCCGAAGGGCTGGAAGATGATGATCGTAAGCCATTTTCTTTCCGAATCCAAAAGTTCCCATACTAATAATAGCGCGTAGTGTGCAAAGAGATCGAGACGGGAAGTGTCTCATTTTGCAGTGCTAATGCGAAGGGTTTACTTGATTGGTAACTCCAATGATGAGACTCGTGAGTCAGGGACTGGAATTTCATCTTGGATATCAATATCAATATTAAGCAGGAATTGGTGGGAATGGAGAATAGGCAAGAGGGGATGCCAAGCAGACAATGGGGAAAGAGGAAAGAGCACGTAAGGATGGTGAAACAGTGGATTTGATGTCGGAATCTCGACTATGAGTATTTTCTATTTCTGTCTTTGGACCTGAGCTATTGCTGCTCTAACCTGAGCTTAACGCTAAGTCCCTAAGCTATCAAACACGCCAATAAATCAGTCTGAGCATACAGAAAGGATCCTCTTCTGGCCTCTCAAGTATTTATCAAGATGTCGTAAAGGTGTCTATCTATTCTCGCTCCTCTATTAAACTTACTAGGACGACCCCTGCCGGAACCTATCTTACCTATTCCGGACCGATCTGGCACATAACTTGTAATTCAGCCTCATAATTTACCGAACATCACTATTTCAATGTCATTCATTATACACCTATCACTTCAGATAACCTTCTGCACGAGGACGCAGTGTATACAAAACTGTGCTTAAACAATCTTTTTGCATAGACCCCGAATCCTTCATAGACAAGGGGGGAGGAATTGAGTACACATTGAATACTGGCCTCTCTAGCTTAAGAGAGGGGAAAAGAGGCATATATACAGACCCTCGTCTTTCTTACGCCGTGTCGTCTCTATCACCCTTAGTCCCATCGTCAACCAAGACATCATCTGAGAGGACAACAGCCAAAATGGGTGACGATCGAGAAGATTTCGACAACCTTGCATGGGACAAAAACGATGAGGCCTGGGAAGAATCCCAGAAACAGCTTCGACACCCATCTACCTGTCGCCTTGCAGAATCCCTCGTAGAGCAGAAGTTTGGGAAACGTGCAACCTTAATATCGCCATTAATTATCGGCGGATACAACATTCTATACAGGATACGCCTCGAAGGAGTCTCTCCCGATGTCATGGTTCGACTACCCTGCCCTAATCTGGTCCAGTTCCCAGAGGAAAAGACCCTTCGAGAGGCTACAATAGCAAGGTATATTAGGCAAAATACTCAGGTCCCAGTTCCCCGAATATTCTATTATGGACAGAGTTCCGACGTTGGGCCTTTCATCATCCTACAACATGTCGAAAATCGGTGGACCTTGTCGCACGCGCTGAGGACTCCTAGCGATGATCCTGATACGCCTCATGTTCTGGACCCTAACATCTCAGAGACCACGCTCAAGACGCTTTACAAAAAAGTGGCGCGCTGTCTATTACAGCTCTCACAACCCAGCTTCCCCTGTATCGGGTCTTTAGTCGAAGCTGATAACGGCTCCTATTCCGTGGCCGGACGACCTATCACTCAGAATATGAACAACATGATCCAGCTCGCCAACATTCCCCGAGCGGTTCTTCCTCTAGAGGACAAGACGTACAAGACTGCTGACGAATGGTACGTTGCGTTAGCAGAGATGCATATAGCACAGCTCGTGTTCCAACACAACGATCTCGTCTCTACAGCAGACGACTGCCGAAACAAATACGTAGCGCGCCAACTATGCTATAAATTAGCTAAACAAGGCCGCCTCTCGACTTTTGGATTCGCGGAGGATGACTGGTCTGCGCAGTCCAAAACCCAACCCATGAACCTTTCCCCGACTCCTGCTGCGTCAGGCGGTTTCCGGCTTTGGTGCGATGATTTTCGAGCAGGCAACATCCTACTAAATGAATTCAACGATATCGTCGCGGTTATCGACTGGGAGTTCGCATATGTTGGACCTACGCAATTTGTGCTTGATCCACCTTGGTGGCTCCTACTCGATGTACCTGAGATGTGGCATTCAGGCATCGATAATTGGACCCAGACATACGACACCCGCTTAAAGACCTGGCTCTCAGCCATGAAAGAGGCTGAGGAGGAAAGCAACGGATCGAAATCCAAAAATCCTATGCCATTTTCTTCTTCACTGTCTACATACATGCGCGAGAGTTGGCAAACAGGCCGGTTCTGGCTTAATTATGCGATGCGAAAGAGCTGGGCGTTTGATACTATCTTCTGGAAGTATTTGGATAAGAGGTTCTTTGGCGAGAGGGGAACAGACGACGTCTCGAAACATGACTTGTGGAAGACGAGAGTACATCTGTTAAGTGAGGAGGAAAGAGGAGCTATGGAGTTGTTTGTGGAGAGAAAGATGGAGGAGTCAAAGGAGCGGATTCTGGTTGATTGGGACCCGAAAGAGGCGAAGGAGCGCTTGGCTGAGGTGTTGTTTGATTGAGTATTGATGGGATTTTGAAAGACTTTGGAGTGTCTATATACGTCCGTAATACTTTAGTATAAAAACAGCCTGCTTATAAGAGCTAAGTCTCTTTATAAAGTACCTTATGCTTCAATTTAGGTAGGTAGAGGGGGTGAGGATCACGACACGGTACCTAACTTATCTATCTTATTTCCCTTTCTGAACAAAGCAGGATTAGTACTTCAGTAGACAGACATGCCAATCAATCAAATCATTCCACAGACACATACAACCAACCCTCACTCACTCACTCACTCACTCACCCCTCACTCAATTAACTCACACTTTCAATGAAAAGGACTAGTATTCAGTCAGCTATACTACGTTATTTATTCAAACGCATAGATAGATATAACCGCAGCCGTCCATATAACCTATCCATCCATCCATATCCAAATCCATGCATCGAACATACCTCGCTACGCTGTGCATGTAGAATCAATCAATCAATCAAATCAATCAATTACTCGGACAACAAACAAGAAAACAAAACAAGAAAATAACAAAAAAAATCAAGCAGGACAAAGGAAAATTTGATAAAAACTAAAAGCGATAGGGGTATATCAGTCTGACTCGCTGCTAACGAACAACAACTTCCATCCATCCATCCATCCATTCAACTTGAAGGGGTATCAATCTAGCCTCCCTGCTCCTTCCGCGCCGGGTCGTATTATTATGTATGGTATGTTATTAATATTTGCACAACCCGCTTCCTCCACTCCACCACCTCCTCGGGACGACCATCCTCGCTGGAGTCGCGACCTTCACATCGTGTTAACAAAAGAAATTTTCCGAGACCAAGGACGAGGGGCGTCATCTGAGGCTTCCTCCGTAGATGGAGCCCTCATCCCCGTCCCCGTCAGCCTCGTCGTCAAAGAAGCCGGTATCAGACGCGAACTCGCCGATCTCTGTCGTGCGAGCATCAGCGTCATAACTACTCTGCCTCATCATCGGGGGCGTTGATGGTCCTGCGGACCCACTACTAGCGCCCCGCGTTGGCAGCTTCTCTCTGGCCTTAGGTGTCATGTTCCCACCCCGCGGGCGATTGGCCAGCTGGGCGCTCGTGAATCTCTGGCCCGTGGATCCAAACGCCGTTGGCTGACCACTCGGAGGGGTCCTCAAGGAGCTCGCAGGCGGTGTTAGTAGACCTCCCAGAAAGCTCTGCGTACCCGGACTGTTGTTCCGACGTGGCGTCGATCCAGCCTCGGAGAGGTTGGAATCAGCGCGGCTCTTCCGCCAGTTTCCCCATGCAGCAGCGAGGGGGCCAACCGCTTGCGCTACTCGAGGAGAAGCAGCAGCATCTCTCAGACTAGCCGCGATATTGGGCAGGTTGAGAGCAGAACCACCATTCATGGCTCTCTCCCGCTCTTGCTCCTCCATCTGCAGGTTCGCTCTCAATCTGATCGCTGCATCCTTCACCTGGTTGGGATCATAATTCTCAGTCTCCAAGCTCGAGACAAGTTCGGTGAGGTCAGACTTTCGCACAGCGATGAGTTCGCGGAGCCAGAGGATTTCATCATCGCGCTTCTGGATCTTGGTTGCAGATTCGGGGTCGAGTGACGATATGGTCGCTTCCAGTTTCTCGATCTTCTGCTCGCGGTCTTGAAGCTGTTCTTGCAGGACTATGATTGACTCTCTCAACGCCTGAGGGGATATCTTCTCAGGCAACTCCAGGTTCTGTGAAACAGTCTTCTGCAGAGGTGCCGGTTGACTTGACGAACTACTTGCTGATCGAGTAGCCTTGGCATGTGCAGCTGCAGCATTTGCTGCTTTCTTGGCAATTTCTAACTTCTCTTCCAGGTGATGAACGCGATCCTGCAGGTGTTCGGCCTTCGATGAGCTCAAACTCAATCGCTCCAACAAATGCTGTTCCGATCTCTGGGCATCCTCAACAGCATTGTTGAGCTTCCTCTCGTAGTTCGTCTGCAGGTCCTCCATCTCATTCGCATGCTTCCGGGTGAGGTCTTCGAGAAGTTTCATCTTGGAACTATGGGCTTCCTCCAGAAGCATGTCATGTTTCTGTGACGCTGTATCGGCGTCCAACTTGACCGCGTCGAGATCGGCCCGCAGACGGCTAAGTTGCGATTCGAGATCCTCCCGCACGACGTTGACTTGGTTGTTGGCGGATTCAATCTCGGCCTGTAGAGAACGTCTTGTCCGCTGCACCTCGCTCAAACCACTCTCCCTAGCTTCCTCGAATTCGCGCTTGTGCCGCATAGCGTCCCTCTGGGCATTGTGGCTTTCTTGTCTCAGCTCAACCACCAGAGCTTCAAGTCGCTTGCACTCGGCTACAGCACGCATACCCTCCCTCTCCCCACTCTCCAACCTCTCAATCTCCTTCTCCAGACGCTCACGGGTTCGGGCTTCGGCCTGGAGTTTGGCGTCGAGGACTTCTTGACGGGCGAGCAATTCGGCCTCCTTCTTGGCTCGTTGGGCGTTTTCTTGGACCATGTCTCGAGCGGCACGTGCCATATCCTCCTGCAGCCCAGTTAACATCCCCCTCATCCCCTCACGGACTCGGATACTTTCCTCCATCTGAGTCCTCAGGGCCTCCATCCTCACTCTGAGACCCTTGTTCGTCTCGTTGGCCTGTTCGGCATCCTCGCTGTGTCTCCGGGCGGCTTCCAGTGCGCGCTCGGCTTCCATTTGCCAGCGTTGGACCTCTTTTTGGGCATCCCGGAGCTCCGATTCAGTCGTGGATATCCGGGATTGTAGGCTGTTCTCAGTCTTGGAAGCATTGTTTTGCGCCGCTTCCAGGATAGCAATCTTCATTGCGGTCTTGGCTCGAGACTCCTCGACGGCTCTTACCTTGGCATCACTCTCGTCAACTCTCTCGCGAATCTTCACTTCTCTCTCCTCCATAGCATCCCGAAGTCGAGTTTCTTCTTCAGACGATATGCGGAGTTGTCTCTGGATCTCGGCGAGTCGATCTTCCGCCGCTCGTCGGTTCACGGTCTCGTCTTCAAACTTAGCCTCAGCGCGACCGAGTTTCTCCTCGAGTTCCGTAATCCGAGACTTGAATTCGGCTTCCTTGACAAGTGCAACTTCAGCATTAGCTGCGCGGAGTCGAGTCTCTTCTTCCGACGAGGCATGCAGCTGTCTCGAGACCTTTGCAAGTTGCTCCTCGGCTTGTCGGCGATTCTTGATCTCCTCATCGATAGTTGCATCAGCCCGACGAAGTCGTTCTTCGAGTTCCGCAACGCGAGCTTGGTATTCAGCTTCCTTTGCCGATTCATCAGGTTTAGGAGTTGCAGGCATGCGCCTCTCAACAGCCTCCTCGACGATGTTCCTGAGATCATCTCCACGGAAATCAAGATGCATGGAGCGATTGAACTGTTCTTTTATCTCTTCCAATTTCTCAAGTACATTGCTTGAATCAGGGAAGGTCGTTGTTGCAGTCTGAGGTCGGGATTGGTGATTCGACAAAGCCTCAATGACGATAGCTCTGATCTTCTCCAACTTCTTATCCCGTCTTGGGCTGAGCGATCGTCGAGGAGCGCCCTCCTCATCATCTTCATCATCGGCGTCACTCAGTGCGCCGGAGATGCTTCGTCTTTCCCGTCGGCTAGATGGAGCCCGGGCAGCCATCATCTCAAGGGACATCTGGATTGTCTCCAGAGTTTTCTCCAAAGGATCCAGTCTCTGGTCTAGCAATCCGCCAACGAGATCATTGACATGGTTGTCGAAGAACTGGGCTCGAGGTCGGATCTTGGCCTCTTCTGTCTCACTGACAACATCATCCCAATCACTAGCAGGTATACTATGCGAAGTATTGAGACGACGCACGGGTGATGAATATTCGCCCACAAAGGGGTCATCAAGTTGTCTGGAAAAGATCCTGTGTGTGCCTGTCTCACCAGGTGAGGCGTGAAATCTGCCAGGGCTAGGGCTGGGAGCATCGCCGCGGGTGAAATTCTCCGGTTGTAGACGGATGGGAGAGGAAGTCTCCGGCTCCGGAACTTGGAAACGTCTTGTTGGGCTGGGTTGCTGCCATCTCGGGATATTCGATTCTCGGGAATTGGCCTGCATCTCAGTCTCATTGAGTTGACGCATGACGGCATCGATTTCCTCAAAGGTAGGTTCCCGGTCGGGAGTTTCCTCTTGCTGCTCTGCAGGCTGTCTAGGCGGGCTTCCAGGTCCAGGTTCGAACTTGGATGTCTTTTCTGGCTGAGGAGAAACTTTGGGTGATGCCCGAGCAGGAGGCGGACTTGGGCTTCTCGCATATTTTGAAGCTGCGAGCCCACCAGAAGTGGGGAGAGAAGGAGCAGCAACAGGAGAGGGGGGTTGCTGCGCTGGTTGACCAAAGGTGAAACTGAATGATCCAGGGCGGAATTCAAATGGCTTAGCAGTAGCAGACAATGAATTCTTCTTGTGAGCCTTCTTGGATGGTTCCTGGGTCTTCTCATCACCCTTTTTGGTTTCTTCAGCCTTTGATGGAGACTTGGCAGTCCGGGAATCGGATTTAGGGGGTATGTCAGGGATAGCTCCATTGCTATCAGTAGGCGCTGAATTCTCCTTGTCAGCTTGGGTGACCGCCGCTGACTTGGTCTCCTTTGGAGGTGATTGCCCTCGAGATGTCTCTGTGAGCGGCATGCCAGGAGCGAACAACGGGACGGAATCGGCATCGTCCTTAACTCCCCTAAATCTCTTGACACGACCCTCAGCTTGAGTAATGCGCCCATCGTTACCTTCCATGGTCTCATCCACCTTCTTCGAATGACTGCTATCAGGACGAACAATCGGGATGGCTTTCGATTTCTTGCTCGGCTTGGAAATCCCAAGGGCACTGAGATCGATGTTCCCAAAGAGGGATGAGTGGTGGTTGTCGCCACCAGAAGCAGCACTCCCAACGGAATCCGAAAAGTTCATCGGCATGAACGCTGGTGCATCAGGTCGGAACATAGGTAGCGAAGCAGAGAAGTTGAACTCGCTGTGGCCAGGAGCGAAGGCTGGCGCCCCAACGTTGATGGTGCTCTTTCCACTGTTAATAGAATGGTTACTGAAATGGCTAGATGATGTAGACATGTCCGGCGCGAAGGCCGAAAAAGCCGCGACGGGAGGTTGGAAGTTGTTCCCACTGAAGCTCCCACTGAAGTTGAAATGGCTTGGCTTGAAAGAACTCGTAGGGTCGAACTTGAATTCCTTCGCACCTACGTTGAGCTTCGATATAGAGGGCTTATTACTCGTGTGACCCGAACGACGTGCAGCAGCACTATCTCCATTATGGCTCGGAACGTCGGCCCATGGATTGCTCGCCGTCGAGAGAGCTCGGCTATGCAGGCTGCCAGACAAATCGGGGATGGGAGTGCCCAGATTACTCGGGTTGGTCTCGATATCTGACATTGCCTTGGAGGCATCGCCGCTCTTGAGAAACTCGGATTTTGACTCGCCAGCGCTCGAGGTATCCTCGTTCTCTTGGAATGGTCTCTGCGACAATGAATGTCCTCGGCTATGCGGTTGAGGATGATGCAGGATCGGCCCATCTTCAGAGTCATCTGCAGTAGCATAACGAGAGGCCGCGAGACCGCCCATAGACGAGCCATTCCGAGCATGCAGAGCGGACTTCTTCTCGAACCGGCTGTCATCTTCACCATGATCAGAATGTGGGCTATAATCGTCGTGTTCAAGCTGTCTTTGAAATTGCTCTTCCAAATGATATTCCGCATCGTCAATTTCCTTCTGCAGGCTTGCACTCGGATTATGTTTGACCTGCCTCGCTTCTGGCGTTTTCGAGGGGCTCTTGGGCGGTTCTTCCTCCTCAATTTCACTAACTTCCTGCAAACGCTGCGCAGCTCTAGTACCTAACTGTAACTGTTGCTGTTGAAGGAGTTGGTTCTGCAAGAGCTGCTGTCGTTGCTGCATTTGAGAAGCTACATCACCTTGCGGGAAGTAACCATCTTGCGGACCAGGCACAATTGCACCGAGATTCTGCAGAGATGGCGAACCCCCTCTGGCGACACCCTGCTGCTGTAGGATTTGCTGTGGGGACCAAAAACCCGGCGATGACTGCTGGGGATATTGGAACGGTGACCCGAACGGGTGCTCGCCATTTGCAAAGGAGATTGATTGTCTCGGATTGTATTTGCCTTGGATCTGAGACTGCAGAGAAGCCGGTGAGGCAATCGAGCCTGGGTTAGAGCTTTGACTGGCCGACATCCCTGCCCCTGCCAATAAAGCTGGGGAGAAGGGATTGGGGAGATTCACATGGCTACTGGCTGCCGAGGACGAAGGCAGGGGCGGTGAGAAAGGCAATGCTGGATATTGGTGCACTGACGGCTTGCGACTCAACGGGGGCGCTACCACAGGCTCTTCGTCGCCGAGCGTTACTCCCAGAGCTCGCAACTTGGCCTCTGCCAGTTCTTTGACGTACTCGTCCCATGCTAATAAATTTCAATCAGTATTGATATATATATCGTCACAATAAAGGGCCAGAAGCATGAAAATAGGAGTTTCGCAAGTAAATATCCCAGTCGTGACGACATGATAGATTTGTTCTCAACATAGGCTTGGTCCACGCGTGATTGATAGGCACAGATAGATATTCCAGAAAATAAAGCTTACCTCGTCGGTCAGGGATGCTAACTCGGAAAGCTCTCTGCGCTCTTTCCTGTCTCACATCCTCTAACAAGGGCCACATATGCCGACTCTGGCCCTCGTTTCCCTCCCCAACACTCTCGCTGGGGCCGAGAGTGAAACCCCTTGTATCATAGCCCAAATCCTCCCACTCTTTCAACATGGCGTCGACCTCTTTTTGCGTCAGCGGTGGCGGCGCTTTGTCCGACTTCCCACGCGCATCGTCCCATGGTAGCAACACCAGGATGTTTTTGCCTTTCCACGGCACTTTCTTCTTGAGACGAGGTGGCACAGGAGCCGGGGAGACGCTAGGGGCGGGCGTGGCGGGCGCTCCCGGACCAACTGCTGGGAGGGCTGCGGCACGCCATTCGGGCAACTCCTTGGGGGGAACCGGGGGTGCAGCCTCCTCGGCCGGTGCGGAGTTCTCATTCCCCATCTGTGCACCTGTTACTGCATTATCATCCGCCGTGGACATTGTAGGATGCGCCGGACTTGTAAAGTCTGCCTGCTTCAAAGTCTCGGTGCTGTTCCTCCTGGGGAGAGCTTGGGCGCCTTCCTCTCGACCCTTTCCAATCGAGAGCCGGTAGCTCTTCAGTGTCGGGGTTCTCGGGTCGGTCTCTTGTCCCAACCAGTCTCCGTCTCCTGAGATCGATCCGCTCAGTGAAGAGTGCTCACTATCCCCAGGACCGTCACTCAACCAATTGCTGCGCTCGGTGGATTCACCGCCCGTGTGCTGGCGGATCCAATCTTCGGTCAAGCCTTGAGCTGGTCGTCTTGCTCGGTTCGCTAGCACGGCGGCACTGATTAATCCGTCTTGTGATACAAAATCCGGCTCCAACTGAGACCTCGTGAACGTCGGCGCGGGTCGCAAGAAGGGCGTGTGGAACTCGAGGTGCCGTATCGGCGAATCGTCTGACGTATCACTGCCTAATCTAAGTCCGGGTATGTTGTTACTCGATGACGCGAGGGCCGGTTGCGGGTATGGAGATCCCCAGCTCGCCGTGTAGTAATGACTGCTCTCGGTCGTCTCGGTCTTCTGGGCGGAAGGCGGCGTACTCAAGAGATCGAGCGTGCGGCCGTTGATTGTCGGGGCCGGGAGAGGAGGGAGGACGGGCGAGGAGCCCCCTTCAAATGTCGAGGTGGTCGAGAAGGCCGGCGATGCAGGCCGCTCCGATGCTTGGATGTTTGCGGATCCGTCCTCTGCTGTTGCAGCAGGAGGAGGCGATGAATGTGATGAAGAAATTGTTACTTGTGGATATTAACTGATGCTCTCGGGAGCTCTGCAGGCGCGTCCTGCAGGGGCCGGTATCACTCACCACACGGAGACCAGCGCAGACGCTCAAGTCGTCTGCTACTGTGTCTCTACCGATCCAACGGGGGCCCAATGGGATCTCGGGCGTTAACAGCGTCGATTGTCAATCGGTCGGCGCGACAGACGCGTGGGCAATGACTTCAAGGGAGCAAGGAAAGTCGGCTCGCTGGCGAATTAAAGGAGTGACAGACGGCAGCGCGACGAAGCAGAAAGCCAAGACATCAGATCAAGCGAGCAAAGGTGACCAAGGTGAAGGCATACAGTCGGGCTCATGTATGCGGATCGCCTTTGGAAATGGGATGGAAAGGGGGGACGGGGGGGGGGAGGAAAAAGTCAAAGGGTCGAGGTTGTTGATGTTGAAAGGGGAAACGTGGTATGGTCGTGGTTATTATTCCGCTATTATCCCGTATCCCGTATCCCGCTTATGGCATTATGGAATTGGGTAAAAGCGTAAAAGCGGGGCCACCCTGACCGCTCTCCCCGCTGCGACTGGTCGACTTGGCGGTATATCAATATAAATCCGTATAATGGGCATGGGATACGACTCTCGAATAGCCATAAAACTCCACGACATCTATAGCATAATATAAACCGCCCATCTCCTCCCCAGTCGCGATAACCAATCACATCAGCCTCTCCCCCATCGCCCAGCACCCCTTCGTGCCAGACCACAGCACAGATACAGAACCCGTACCTGACTCGCGGTTCCTCCCCCAAGGGACGGACCGAACATAGCTCCCACTCGCTATCCCTCCTCCATTCGCATTCGCGCGTTTTATACCGGAGAAAAAGGGGCGCACGGAATCTCCTGTTTTTTTTTTTTCCAGGGCCCTTTTCGCTGTCGGCATGCGAACTTGCTTTTTCGAGGCGGACCTAGAATTGCTGCTTGGAAATGATATCACGTGTATGCTGTCACGTGAATAGCGGCACGTGAGTAGTTGGATCACGTGTGATCGTGATTCTTCCCAGAGCTTCGAATATTAAAAGGTAGGATCAGGGCTTCTTTCCGGGATGAAAGACTGGAGTCTAGAAGGGATTGGTATTGCTACTGTATGCTTTTTTACATACTGCTATCCTACCAAGAAAAGACACCATGAAATCCGGTATCCAGCACGTAGACTCTCCTGACATACCTATCTCCTTCCAATTTTGCAGCCACAATAGTATCCAACTATCCCTAAGGTAGATAATATATCCCTCTACTCTATCATAAACCTAAGTCATTCATTCATCTATTCATATCTCTTCCGCGCCTTTTAGCTTTCTACATCCTAGGTACGATACCTAGACCTACGAATACTCAATGTGTGTCACATACCTTAAGGCACCTCACCTACCTAGGTACATACAAAAACTCCTCTAAGAAACATCATCAATACCTTCCTCCTTCCGCTATGCAATTAATAAAAGACAGAGTTTTGCTAACCAATTAACTACCCAGAGCTGGATATTTTGCGCTTGTTCCTAGTCATTCATGTTTTTTTGGGGGCGGGAAGGGGGGGGTTGCTTATTCATGCATTTCTTATCTTTTGGTTTTTATTTTTAAGCTCAACTTCATCCAGAAGATTAGGAGAAGGATAACTGAGCGCGTGGAAATGAGGTACAAAGGGATGATTGATGATGATCAAGAGAAAACTTGGGTAAAAAATTAATCTTCTGGTAGCAAGAGAAGAAGGATGCGAGTGAGGTGCGGATTAAGGATGGAGAGAGAAATTGCATTATGCAGCATGTTTGTTGGAGATTGCGGGGAAACAAACCAACGCACCGCCACACTTTTTTGACACTTGCCTTTCTACCTACTCCATACCCTGCAGTTGCTTATTACGAATTTACTGTTATTTGATTACAGGGGATGGGGACTAACTAGGGTGCTATATAGATTCGTTCTAGATTCGCAATGGTATTCGAAGAAAGGCGGGTTAATTGATTCGTTTAAGTACATTCGTCCTTCATCCTTGATACATAAGGTACATACATATATTCGTAACTCCGTAAAGCTAGTTGAACAGCAAGCAAGCAAGCACATGGCACACGTGTATTTTCATTGACCGACCATCCTACCCCGCCCACTCCCGCGGTGCAAGAAACGTACAAATACAGTACAGACCTAGCTGGCAACCCTGCGTTCTATGCTCTGCATATTGATCCCCGGCATCCCAGAACTCGGCGAGATAAACGCCCGGTTACGGCTCGCGACATGCGGGTTCTTCGACTGCTGAAGTAGAGACAGAAGGTTTCGGGGCGTATGCGCGGAACTGCAGGAAGATGATCCCGTCTTCGGCCATGGTTCCGAGGGAGCCGATTAGCCAGGGCAGGTTGGTGGTTAGGTATTCTCGGTCGAAGCTGTGGGCGAGAATGCCGGCGCCGTAGGTGGCATTGCCCATGAGGGACAGAAGGAAGAAGAGAAGGGCGAGGCCTGGGGTTGGGTTGGTTACTTCCATACATCTCTGCAAGGCTGAGTTATCTTAGGGGAGGCTTACCCTCGCAGGATTTCTCGCGGTAGTTCTTCACGATCTGGGGGATTCGGGCGCTGGAACCGCATCGTTAGCAGGAGGCAGAGGGCAGGGGAGAGAAGTCACGCGGGAGACCGACCCGAGATAGAAGATAGCGCTCAGATAACCCAGGACCTGCGCGCCTACCGCGACATCTTGTCCATCAACGAGACCGCGGTGCTCAGGTGTTGGTTTCCAGACGCCGGATTGCCACGCGATGGCCCAGCCCGCCGTGCCCGCGGCGATGACCCCGAGAATGGACAGCGTGTTGCGCACCCATGGATTCCCGGCCGACTCGAGTTCTTCCTGTCCCGGATCCTTGATCGGATGGTCTGCATTCAGAGCAGAAGACCGGCGGCGAGTGAGGAGCGGTGAGTGCTCCGACTCGGTCGAGGCGGTGGAGGGTTTGCGGGCTCGGCGGGCGTTGATGTGGTTATAATACAGGCATTGGGAAATCAACACAAAGTCGGCAAAGCAGAAGTAGACGGCCAGGGCGATGACAGTGGGGACGAGATTGGCCCAGATGGCCCCTGGAAGCACCTCATGTCAGTTTGACGGGTGACAGGTGCACGTGACCTGCCATGGAAGGGTGGCGGAAGGGAAGCGTGGTGGCAAGGCAAGGGATCGCGGCACTTGGCCGTCTGGATCAGCAATGCCGCACACCCAGACCTTGCGCAGACAAGACAGACAGGCAACAAGGGATTGGTGAGGGAAATATGACGCACCGGCTAGATTGGTTGCGTCGCCCAGCAGCCAGACGGTGAGGAAGGCGAGCGAGATGCCATCCGCGCTGCCCGTCTTGTAGTTCAGGATGAGTTGTGGGACCTGGGACCCATCAGTCAGTTGTTTGTTATACCCGACAGTTGTCTCCGCCGGCAACGACAACATGACATGACGTACCAGTAGAAAGATCCAGGTGGCCAGACTGATGCTGCCCAGGACACCAGACAAGGCCTCGCGGAAGGTCAGGCCGGGCGACAGGGCGGCGAGGGTGATGAGCGCAGGAGAGGCCATGGCGGAGCGGAGAGGAGAGGGCGGGTGGATGGGAGAGGACGAGGAGCGGACGGTGGAGAGGAGACTGGAGTCGAGGGGACAACGAAGTAGTGAGGTTCTGCTGTCTGGAGCCTCGCGTCCTGTTATTCGTCGAACGCAGAGGGCATGTCACTCGCAGCGATACGGAAGTCTCCGACTGGAACGGGAAAAATTAGGATGGGGCGGAGAAATAGTCGGCCCGGGTCCGCGATAAGCATAGCGGCCGTTGACACTAACCTTATATAGTGGATCGCTACGCCTCCACGGGTGTGGCTATCCGGTGTCAGCCAAGAATAGAACGAACCCTTCCCTCACGGCGCTCACCTTACCTTACCTGTATAGTAGGATGTTGACAACGCCGGAAGAGGAATTACGTGCAGCATGAAACCGACGGTTCGAAGTATCAGTGTACAGGAAAGGCAACATGGCGATTGCAGATAACACGGGAATACCCATGCTTTCAACTCTCAGTGGACCTCCCCCCCCCAACCTCATCCAAGCCAAGCCAACGCCATCCACCACCCACCAGACGGTTGCTGGAGGAACGCGCGCTAATCACCACGACGGTGCAGGGATAAGGAGAAGCGTTATGACTTACTTTACGCGTTATGCGTCGAGCGGCATGGATTCCGTGGGGGTCACTTGGATTCTTGGGTCCTTGAGTCTTAAGCTCTCTTACCTCCCTTACCTTACCTTTCCTTACTTGGTCGTGCCATACTAGTGCGACTGTCGGCTCCAACGCTCCGAGGGAAGCATAACTATTGTATATAATTAGGTATTGACATTGCATAAGGTATAATTATTGCATATCTGACACAAGCACTACAATTCCTAGCAGAGCACGGGCTAGAGCAGCAGCACCAAAACGGAAAGTGCTCGAAGGTTGAGGAGTGAGGTGCGAAACTGCCTATTTGGGTTGCCCTCGTTGGGACCTCGGCATCGAAATACGTAGAGGATGTAGAGAGAGAGCTTACCTAAAGGAGAGAGAGCATACCCTAGCCCTAGGACCAGATATCCTCATCCACATCGACTTCCTCTCGACTCCTACTCATCCTCCTCGTACTCCTTTCTCCACAATCCCTCTTCGATGTCAGACGTCGACCAGTTGATTCTTTACCCGGGACAGCTACCGTGATTATGTAAGCACGGATACCACGGCACTGGTCGCCTCTTGTGCCGACGGCGTTTCGCCCCCATGCAAGGCGAGCTGCAGAAGACCCATGGGGAGGGGCGAGGGAGGGGCGAGGGGTTCTGGTGCGGCTTTCAACGGTTCCTGGCGACTTTCGACCGTCTGTCAGTCGACTGTTCAGCGACCGTACTGATGTCTCGCCCACGTGTGTAAGGTGTATATATATATATACACACAGACACATATATATACCGGATGGGCTTCCCCTGAGTCGTTTCTCTTCTCTCCTCTCCTCTCTGCATCTCCTCTCTGTCTTCTCTTCTCTTCTCTCTCCTCTCTGTCTGTCACCTCTTCTCCTCCTTTTTGAAGCTCTCAAGTCTCTTGAGGCGCCCCCTTCTCCCACTCTCCCCCCCCCAACCTTCTTCCTCTCGTGCTCACTCCTCTAAACCACCTCTCCATCCATCAGCATTCCCCTGAAACCCTCTCAATCATGGCTTCTTACGTGTTCGAAGAGGGTACTGTCACCCCTCCTCGCCCCGTCCAGAAGAAGCAGCTCCTCGTCAACGTCGTCGATGGGCTGGCGAAATTCCAAGCAAATGCTTTGTACGCCGAGTATCCATACTCCGCAACCAGCTATGAGGCTGGATATCGAAAGATCACCTATGCCCTCTTCGCTAATGCTGTCAACGGTCTGGCATGGCACCTGCACGACATCCTGGGTCCAGGGAAGGATTTCCCAACCTTGGCCTATATTGGACCCAACGATCTGCGATACAACGCTCTGTTGTTGGCAGCTGTCAAGGCGGGATACAAGGTGCGTGAATCCTCTCCGTGGCTATCCTCGAGACAGCGCCTTGGGATCTGAAGTGTCCAGTAACATTGCTGACTTCGTTTTCTTTGCAGCTGCTCCTATCCTCTCCCCGGAACAGTCTCGCGGCCCACCAGAATCTCTTCAATCTCACCAACTGCGAGGTCATGTTGACCCCCTCTCCATACCCCCCCGCCGTCACCGCAATCACTTCTTCCTGCAAGCTTCGCACTATTGAAGTTCCCAGTGTCGAAGAGCTGCTCACCAAGCAGTACCCTCATTATCCATACAACAAGACCTTTGCGGCCGCGCGAAACGAGCCCCTCGCGATCTTGCACACTTCCGGCACCACAGGCCTGCCAAAGCCAATCGTGTTAACTCACGACTATGCCGCCAGTGCGTATTACTGGGGTACAATGGAGTCACCGGAGGGATACGTTGGTTATATGAACTCCCTAGCTGGGTTTGTTATACTAGATTGAACGACAGGAGACATGGCTAATCTAACTTACCAGGTCTCGATTGTTCCTCATCTTGCCTCCATTTCATGTACGTTTGCTTCTCTTTGAAACAGGAACTTTAACTTACGTTCAGAATAGGCCGCCGGATTGTTCACGTCCTTGATCTATGGTATTTTCAATCAGGTGAAGATCATTCATCCGCTGTCGGGTGCATTCCCCTCTGCCCGGCTCGTGATGGAGGGCCTCAAACACACAACTGCGGACGCTGCGTTCCTAGCCCCGCCCTTTGTCGTGGAGATGTATAACGACCCCGAGATGTTCGACTTCTTGTCGAAGCACCTTGAATCGATCCTCTATGCCGGTGGTGCTATCCCGTCGGCAGTCGGCGAGGAGGTAGCGAAAAAGATGAAGCTCTGGACCATCGTAGGCATGACTGAAGCCGGCGTCTTACCGTCGATTCGACCCCAGGAATGGCCCGTTGATGGCTGGTCGTACTTCAAATATGACCCCGCGTCAATGATTGAATTCGAGCAGCGATCTGAGAACCTGTATGAAGCAGTCATTGTTCGACATCCTGACCCTGAGCAGGAGCAGCCTATCTTTAAAGTATTCCCAGAGCTTAAGAAATGGGGCACTAAGGATCTCTATGAACGCCACCCTACCGTACCAGATGCGTGGATGCATCGGGGCCGAGCTGACGACATTATTGTCTTCCTGAACGGAGAGAAGACCAATCCCGTCTCCATGGAACTCCACGTTTCCAAGCACCCCGAGGTCCGTTCGGCTTTGGTCGTCGGTCAACAGAGACTCGAAGCTGCGCTCCTTATTGAACTGGAGACGGACAAGCGTCTCACGACAGCTGAACGCGCTGCAGCTATTGAACGTATCTGGCCCACAATCGAGGAAGCCAACCAAGAATGTCCTCACCATGCGAAGGTTTCAAAATCACATATCCTCTTCACAGATGTGGACAAGCCAATGCTTCGGGCCGGAAAGGGAACTGTGCAGCGACCCGGGACCCTTGCCCTCTACACCAAAGAGATCGATGCTCTTTATGAGGACGCCGAGAAGGCAGCCTCGGCTCTGCCATTAGGCGTCAAAAGCAGCGTTGATATCCAGGACGCGGCAGCGGTCTCGTCCTTCCTCCGCGAGACTATTCTCGAGATCACATCCAACAGCTTCAAGGATGATGACGACTTCTTTACCGGTGGAATGGACTCTTTACAAGCTATCCAGTTGACGCGAAACGTAAAGCAAGGTCTCGCGCTTTCCGCGTTTGAAATCACCTCGCTCTACACCAACCCTTCGATTGCCTCGCTCACAAAGGCAATTCAAAATATCGCAGCTCAGCACAACCTCTCGAAAGAATCCAGCCAAGAGTCTCGGCAGAAAGAGATGACGACCATGCTCGAGGAATACAAGTCGCAGGTTGATGTGATCGCCAATGCCAAGGAGAGTAAGCCATCGTCCAACGGTACATCAAGCCATGGCCGAGTCTTTGTCTTGACTGGATCCACCGGTGCTCTTGGTTCCTACATTCTGCAGATCCTCTTGGACGATGCCACAGTGTCACATGTCTACTGTCTGAACAGAGGCTCCGACTCCCGGGCGCTGCAATTGGAACGAAACGGGGCTCGTGGTCTTCCAACCGAGTTCCCTAGCAGCAAGGTCACGTTCTTGTCTGCAGACCTCTCAAAAGACAACCTTGGCCTCGAGCCAGAGGTATATCAAAAGATTCGTGCCAGCGCCACGGAGATTATCCACAACGCTTGGCCCGTCAACTTCAACATCGCCTTGTCGACGTTCCGTCCCCAACTCACCGGAGTGGTCAACCTCATCAAGCTCTCAGCAACTGGCGCTGCTTCCCCTTCATTGATCTTCCTCTCCTCTATCAGTTCCGTGGGTTCCTTGTCCGGACCTCCTATTCCCGAAGAGGTTATCACGGATCTCGCGGCCCCTCTTCCAATGGGCTATGGTGAGAGTAAATACCTCGCCGAGCGTATCATCGACCATGCTTCCACCGTCCTTCCTGACCTCAACCTTAAATTCGCCCGCGTCGGCCAGATCGCCGGCCCGGCCGTCAAGCCTGGTTCGTGGAACAAATGGGAGTGGCTCCCCAGCATTGTCATCAGCTCGCTGCACCTTGGCGTCATCCCCGAGTCCATCGGGGGCTCCCACGACGAGGTCGACTGGGTTCCTGTCGATCTGCTCGCCGTGGTGATTATCGAGCTTGTGCTCGCCCCGAAGAAGTCAACAGGTGCGGGTGTCTTCCACCCTCACAACCCCCGCCTCACGAAGTGGAGCACTCTCCTCCCATCTGTAATCGAGACCCTGTCGACCATCGCGGAGGCGAAGGGCCAGCCGAAGATCACGGCCGTGCCGTTCGAGACCTGGTTGCAGCGCGTGCGCGCCTCCGCCGAGAAGGTGCAGGATAGCGAGCTGGAGAAGATGCTGGTCGTCAATCCGGCGATCAAGCTCCTCTCCTTCTACGAAGGTATGACGACGGACATCTTCCCGAAGATGGACGTGAAGAAGGCCGTTTCGGAGAGCAAGCAGCTCCAGGAGCTGCAGGGCGTCAAGCCGGAGTGGATGGTGAAATGGGTGCACGGCTGGGTTGGGAATTGAATAACGGAGTTAGTAAGGCAGCGATTTCTGTTGATGAATTAAATGAGAATATCCTCACATCTTGAGGCTTTGGATCCGTACGTACATACCTTATACATAGGCAGATGGTTGAATGAAACGTTACTATGGCCGTACTCCATTTGCATGTGATTCATCTCTAAGGTTGGCATCTGCAATCCACGTCACATGCCAAAGTGTTTCATCTATGTCTAGGTAGGTACCTTGAATTCCATTTGCTTTTTCTCGTATTCTCGTATTTCGTATTCTCGTATTCCAAGCACGTGCTTCTCGGCTATGCGGCTCGCTTCCCCTTTTCCCCTTTTCCCAGCAACTCAGGTAATGTCCCTCGCTTATATCATGTCCAGCAGCTTCATCAATGATCAATCCCTTGCCCTCGTTCTGTCCCACGCCGGCCGTCTCCAACCATTGCATTTTCTCTCCCACCGGCCATCATACATAAACGCCATCCTTATATAACTTAAGGTGACTGACTGTACGAGCGTCAGCGCTATGGATTGTATCAGGAAATAAGTTTATGTAAGGTAAGTGAATAGTTATAATCTCTGGGGGATCACAATGAGAATGGTGTTGACGACGATTGATCAACTAACAACGACGATTGATTAGCCACGAACCATAAAAAACGCGAGAATAGGTAAGGTAGGTAGGTATTGTATAGTACAGTATCTAGCTAGGACTGATGGTAGTATCAAAGACTTCGATATCCCCTTTTATTTTCTTTGTCGTGTTTTCTGAGCTGGAGTTAGAACCAGTTTAACGGTTTTTAAGAGTTGGGTTAGTAGGGAAGGAGTTTTAGATGTGTGTATTTATCTCCTTACAGATCTACATTAAGTCTCGGTTCTATCAAGACTCATCTCTCTAACTAAATATAACTCAAGACTTTTCTTTTCTTTCTTATTTCTAAAGTTATCAAGTTTCAGGATTGCACTTCTTCTGGATTCTGATGACTTATTGTATTTATACTACACTATGTATGTATGTACTGTACTGTATCTGCTATTGAATTTGTTGATTGTTAGGGCATGAGGTATCTGGTCTTGATTAATAATATATACATGTCGAACTTCTCTTTTGAACTTTGACATAGAAAGAAAGAGGAGGGAGGACATGTTGACCTCGCTTTGGTATTTAGACATATATATAAATGCCTAGAGCGGGAGTAATCTTGTCAAATTACCAATGCTCTACTCCCACAATTCAAAGCGCACGAATGGCTTCCCAGCAAATCTAATACTTGCTGGAAGAGCCATCGTACCTTGGCTGTACTCAACTCCGGAGTATTGATAGGCAACTTTGGACGAAAGCAATCAAGGCATCGGAATGACTTGATGATAATGACAGTGGTTTAGATGGAATGGCAATGGACAATGTATTTATTGACAACGATCGGTTGATTGAGGTAGGTATTCACTAATCGTATATACGAATCCTTATCATAGGTAGGTAGTATCGGCTACGTATATTAAGGTACCTTGATTAGTGGTGGTGGCGGTGTCGAACGGCCAGGGAATGGATCTATATTGCTCTGGATTCGAGATTTCTGGTTTGCCGTTTACTTGTTAGGCTATTTATATTGCTACCTAGGCGTATATACAACTTCCACAAGCGTCAACTCTCACTTCAGGTTCTTTGTCTATCTACCACTGCATCTCAGCGCCATTTCCACAACTCCCATCCACCATCGTAATATCTTTACCCGGCACCCGCCCCTTCGGCGCACACATAACATGAAACAACCTCTTTCCAAACTTCCTAAACGCGCTAGAGATTCCTCCTGCCTCGATTAACGCCCTCTCCATCTGACTCAATTTAAACCCCCACTCCCGCCCCGCGAGCACGACCTTGCGCCTCGCCAGATCAATCGCGATCTCTACCCCGTCGACTGCGGCCTCGTAGAAGCTCTCGTCGGTAATCGTGATTCCTAATAAGCCTAGGTTCGGCTGGTTCCGTCCGTAGATAAAAGCGAACGAGCGAGCGATCACGCAGATGACCCCGGCGCCGAGGAGCGCACTTACGGCGTTTTCGCGCGAGCTGCCACATCCGAAGGCGCGTCCGGCTACGACGACGTTATAGCCGTCTTTGACGCGGGAGCGGAAGTCGGGGTGCGTGTGCTTGAGGCAGTGCTGGCCGAATTCTTCATTGGTTTTGCAGAGGGTGAGGATTTCGGCGGGAGCGAGCTAGCTTGTGAGCGCTTGATGATGGGAGGGAAGGATAGGACTTACGGCATCGGTATCGATGAAATCGCCGAGACGCTGTACTTTTCCTCGAAGGTTATCTGATGAGAAAGTGGAGTCTGAAGTAACACTGGTTTCTTCTGGTGGCTGCGGTGAAGGAATTCCAGTCGAAGTCTGTGTGGAGGCACTTGAAGGTCCTTTCGATGCTGGAGTGCCACTAGGCTCGACATAGGTGGGCTTGTCTGATGCCATCTTCTGACGATAACCAAGGATCGTTTGCAATCGAACCTGATCGATGCCATCAAGGAAAGGTCTTGGGTCGGTGACCTTCATCGCGAAAGAAGATGCTGCTACGGTAGCGGCTGATGCGAGATTACCAATAGCACCTTCATAAGTTAGTGCTGGCTCCTACTCATCGTCTCCATACATACCCTTTCCCATACGGTTCTCGAAGTTGCGATTCTGTGATGAAAGCCACACCTCGCCCTCGCCAGCCCTGTCAGCACCCATACCGACACAGTAACTACAGCCAGGGACTCCGACTGTAAAACCCGCCTTCTCGTAGATATCCACAAAGCCCAACTTTTTCAGTTTATTCAAAATAGGCAACGAGCCGGGAACTACCCTTCTTTTGCCTTCTTTGATCGGAAGTAGTCCTTTCCCAAATCCAATTTCGAGAACCATGGCGCCAATAATGAGATCCTCTTCTGCAGTCGTGCAAGCCCCTATGAAACATCCATCCAGATGTGTCCCCTCAATCCTACTCACGGGAACAACATCATCAGGATTTGGGTACAGCGCGACAAAAGACTCAACTTGAGCAAGGTCAATGACATAAGTCGAGGCGTATTCCGCATCCTCATCAGGACGAAAATATGCGGCATTCTTCTTGTGGTGAGACAACTTGCGTCGATTGATAAAGTCGTAGGTCACTTGATCGGGGACAAATATTCCAGTGATGCCGCCAAATTCCTTTTGGCTATCAGAACACATCATACAGTTGAATGGATGACTCACCGTTGTCATGTTTGCAATTGCAAAACGAGCATCACAAGACAAATGCTCTACTCCCGGACCAGTGAACTCCACCACCCTGTCGGCAGCCACCGTGTTTCTTTTCAATTCTTTCATTATATATAGAATCGTGTCTTTACCTCCAATTCCTGGGCCGGGGGCATTGATGAGCCGGATGTTCACGCTTTCTGGAACTTTGAACCAGGTCTCTCCCATGATCAGTGGCATTGTGACATCGGAGACACCAAGACCGATGGCGAGACATCCGACTGATCCAGCGGAGCATGTGTGTGAATCAGAGCCAATAACCAGCATCCCTGGCTGGGCTCGTTCTCGACAGAATTCCGTGTGCATGATAGTGTACTAAGATGCGTCAGAACACCAATCAAGGACACATTCCTGAGGTCAATGTACATTCATCCCTTGATACTCCGTCATTCGGAAGTTGTCTCGTGCTCTTTCACTGGCAGCAACAAGATCCTTAACCTGAGGCACAGCCTTGATCCGCGGATCTACGACATGATCACCCGCGAGCCAGAACCTGTCATTTCGAAAAATTCCTGGCTTTCCCAGAGAATTGTATGCACGTTCCATACCCTGTTCTTATTAGCCTGGTTATTCTCAACTTATAAGATGAATATGTTATACCGCCCACGAAAGCTCAGATGCCATAATCCAATCAACGTCCACTCTCACCATATCTCCTGGCTTCAATTCGCCCCTCCTTTCAATATCATGCGCAGCGAAGATCTTTTCGCTCAACGTCATGCCTCTTCTACCTTTAGGCCGTGAGGTGAGAGGTTCAGGAGGCGACTTGCTTCGGTCTGCTGAATTCAAGGATTCTAGCCATGCAGATACGAGGAAGAGAAGTTCTGCCTCTTGTTTGGGACTTAGCTGTTGGGCTGGAGTGAGACCAAGGCCACCAAAATCCGTCGCGAGAATGCTGATTGAGTATACATCTGTTAGGATCTCGGCTTCACGTTTGTATCCGGCGACGGAGAGAATAACGGGTAGAGACCGAAGCTGCTCTAGCAAGCCGGCTGTCTGTAGATGATATGCTATAGAAATCAGTGAGCAGTTTCTGCAACATCAGGTGGATATGCAAGTGAAAGACATACGAGAAGAGTCTTGGCTTAACGCCAAATTTATCTTCCTGATCTCCCGGAGGTGGGTCAGAAGCTGGTCTGTACCACGGGAAGGTTCGTCTTCAACATGAATTTGGATTTCGGACGCCATCATGTTTGTCATGACAGGTTCAGAATAGGCGGCACGTAGTGTCTATAAATGATACTTCTCGAGGCAATATTATAAACAAAGATTTTGAACAAAAATCCCGAGGAGGCGGACTTAGAAAGACGAGAAGGTTGTGTGAAATTATGCTTTCTTATCCATACGCGCTGCACGTATATCTTCGCTCGGAAAGGTGGGCATGAAGTGCAGGGAGCATAGGCAATATGAGGTCCACGCCGAAACGCCACATGGTAGCTAAGATGCGGAGTAGTGGTTGTTGAAGTGCGGAGAAGTGGGTTGATGGCATGGCCGACCTCTGTTCCGGCGCCGCAGCGGCTCTGATGATGATTGGTCTACCTTACCTAATGACAAGAATCCATCGCATTTTATCAGAATACATACTCTCCATCCTCTCATATAATATCTTCGCGTTATTTATTGTGGTGTCAACACTTGCTGGTCCTCACTCACATTCATATTGCCTGAAAGCCACCTGAAGATGTCAAAGGAGACAGCCGGAATGTCGGCGGCTGCGATATTACGAAAGATGCTCGCAGATAAAGACAAGATCATCGTATGTCCAGGTATCTACGACGGATTTACCGCCCGCATTGCCTTGCAGGCTGGATTTGATTGTCTGTACATGGTGAGAATCGAGCCATCCAAGAACCCCTTGACAAATCTGATGAATCTGGGAATTGCAAAGACCGGTGCTGGCACCACCATGTCAAGGCTAGGCATGGCAGATCTCGGAGTGGCTACTCTGAACGACATGAAAGAAAACGCCGAGATGATAGCGGGTCTCGACAGGACAGTTCCTCTCATCGCTGATGCAGATACTGGTTACGGAGGTAAGAAAAAAGAATCAGAAAGACGGAAACAGAAATTTTGAAGCAAAGCCCACCTTTTTCCTGTTGAGTTCTGATCCTGATAGGGCCTTTGATGGTTGGCCGCACAACCGCACAATACATGCAAGCGGGTGTCGCAGCCTTTCACCTCGAGGACCAAGTCGTCACTAAACGTTGCGGCCATCTAAGAAACAAGGAGCTAGTCGACGAAGAGGTGTTTCTTTCCCGCATCAGAGCTGCTGTCAACATGCGTGCACAGATGCTCGGCGATATCGTGGTGATTGCCCGCACTGATGGCTTGCAATCCCTCGGCTACGAAGCTGCGGTGTCGAGACTCAAGAAAGCCATTGCGGTTGGTGCTGATGTAGCATTCCTAGAGGGAGTGTCGTCCAAGGAGGAGGCAAGACGTGTCTGTGAAGAGCTGGCTCCCACACCGGTACTCCTGAACATGGTGGCCGGGGGTGTGACGCCGAAGATGACGGTGGCGGAGGCGAAAGAGATCGGCTTCAAGATCATCATCTTCCCTGGCTTTGCTCTAGCGCCGGTTTATCAAGGCGTAGCTGCGGCGGCGAAGGAGCTGAAGGAGACGGGAGATGTCCAGATCAAGGGCGATTCCAAGGCGGGCCCAAGGGAGATCTTCAGTGTATGTGGTTTGAAGGAGGCTATGGAGTTTGATATTGCAGCTGGTGGCAATCTGTACTCAAAGGGAGTGTGAGAATATACCGATGACCTCTGTATCTGATATCTGATATCTGATGATGTTTGTGATTTACTTATCAGGTGCTGTACATCATGTACATGCTGAGTGTAGTTGCAGTCGGACAGTCAGCCGCTTGAGACCGACCGGGCACTAAATGTTCCTAGCGCCGGAAAATTCAACGGGCTTCGGCGGATGGAAGTGCGTTATCCAATCATTCTTCGGCCCGCAAACGGCCCGTGAACGGCGCGCTTCCATTAAGGCAAGGTACCAAGAAAGTCACGTGATTACCGGCCCTTGGCTACATTAACTCCAGAGATATAAGACAATCACGGAAGATCGGTCACAACTACACCGCTGTAAACGTAGACTGTGATGGATCGAGTGGAAATGCTGAAATACTTTAAAAGAGTTTGTGCGCATGGTCGGATATGTGCAACATGATTGAATATACGCAATGGCTTCTTCACCAGAATCGTCAAGCCAGCCAATGGACCCTGAAGGACCGACCGGCAAGCTCTGCAACTGGGTGCATTCCTTGACTCTCATGGACATCCCTTCAGATGTGCGGACCCGAGCAAAATATCTTCTGCTCGATGGTATAGCGTGCGCGCTTATCGGCGCACATCTACCATGGTCTGAAAAGGCAGCGAATGCTATTTTTGAGATGGAACCACCTGGGGACTCAGCGGTCTTTGGCTGGGATAGGGTGAGTTGCTTCAGACAAGTTTCAATCTTGGGGTAGTAGTTGCGGTATATGCTGAAACTATCGCAGAAACTAGGCCCTTTGTCGGCTGCGCTGCTAAACAGCTCCTTTATTCAAGGCTTTGAGCTCGATGACTGGCATAGCGAAGCTCCACTGCATTCAAATTCAATCCTTCTCCCTGCCCTGTTTGCGGCTGTGGAGCACCTCAGTAATGTGGGCGGTCCTGTAATTGATGGCGCTTCGTTCCTTCTCGCCTATCTGGTAGGACTGGAGGTAGGCCCGAGAGTAGGCAATGGTCTTTATGGAACGCACATGTTGTCTATGGGGTGGCACAGTGGTGCTGTATTTGGTCCTCCAGCTTCATCTACCGCAGTATGCAAATTGATGAACCTACCCGCGAGTCTCATTGAAGATGCAATCGGTATTGCATGTACCCAAGCATGCGGTCTCATGTCTGCTCAGTATGAAAGTGAGGTGAAGCGCATGCAGCATGGGTTTGCTGCTCGGAATGGGTTATTTGCCGCGTTGATGGCCCGCAGTGGATACGTTGGTATCAAAAAGGTGTTCGAACGGCCTTACGGGGGATATCTATCGACCTTTGGCCAGGGCTCAGGACAGGATCCGCCGTATCTACCAGATGAGATCACGAAAGAATTGGGTTCAAAATGGCAGACCTATGGTGTTCGGGTGAAGCCATACGCAGCCATGGCAGGGACACATTGTACTGTGGACTGCATAAGGAAGCTACAGGAAGAGCATCCGGAGCAAATGAAGGATTTCGAGAGCATTACCAGCATCAGAATTGAGATGGCTGAAGCGGCATATCACCATGGTGGCTGGAAGCCCACAAGACCATTGACAGCAACGGGAGCCCAGATGAGCAATGCCTATGTTGCGGCAACTCAGCTTGTTCATGGACAGGTGCTTGCTGCGCAGTTCCGACATGATAAGCTGGAACTGGACCTTGTTTGGGATCTGGTGAATAAGACGACATGCCACCACAACACCGAGTTTACGCAAAAGGCGATGCAAAGGGCAACGGTAACTTTTAGAGACAAACCAACGTTAACAACACTCGTTGATGCCCCACGAGGAGTGTATCCGCCATTGACGAATGAAGAAATCGTGGGGAAGTGGAGGTCACTAACCAGGGACGTTATTGATGATGGCAGACGTTTGGAGATTGAGAGGCTGTGCCTCGGTCTTGAGGATATAAAAGACGTTATGGAATTGGGGAGATTGATGCATGGTATCACGAAGAATCCAATTGCATAGGAATACAAATTCGATTCATAATTGTCACATGACTTGCAGCTTGTTCGATTCGAGTCTCAAATGGAACTTAGCTTCGCATGACGAGCATGTATTGTAGAGCAAAAAGCTTGCTTTCTTGCTAGAGCTCTTTTCCTGTCGTGACCATCTGCGTTCCGACGTATAGAGAGTGCAATATTGTAGTAGAGCAATAGACAGCCATCTTGTACAGTGCGGCTTCCTGGTAAAACTTCCATGTTGAAAAGCAAATATGGCTGCCAAGTTTAACAGACGATAATTCCTGGGAGGGCCTTGACTTGGGGGTGGAGCTATCCGATACTCGTACCTATTACACAACCGTATAAGGATATAGAGGAGAGCCTGCTGGTCTCCATACCTTGGTCAGGTTTGATTGCCGACTCAGCTGGCCTAGTCGACTGGAAAACATGACTATTAATGTCCAATAACGGAGTTTTGGGAACTCTCCTCTTCAGCCTAGAATAGATACCATAATTTACAACCCTACCAAACGATAAATACATCATTAACAGTTCCACCGGGAGAGAACTCTTCGTCACCATTGTATTGCTACTTACCACACACAGGCTTCATGTGGACGGTGGCAGCGTCGATGAATTTGATTCGTATGAATCAACGTCAATTGGTAGAAGCGATGGGAAACCCATGTCCCAGATCCAGTCAATGTCCTGCAGGTCTGCAGCCATGTTATAGTTATTGAAACTCGCTGTATCAGCACTCGATTGGCCGTTCTGGTCCGCTTGAGAGTGGAGTCGATCATGGTTCCGTACGCCCAAACAGCTAGAGTCCTCGAGAGCTACTTCTGGGCCTGCATTCAATAGATTAGTGTGTGAGTACAGAAGATGTTTACAGGATGCATGGGCTGACCTGGAAACCTCTGATCAGGTGGAGGAGCAGGGACGGGCTGAGACGAGACTGAGGCTGTGGCTGTGGCTCGTTGACCGCCGAATTCCTCCCGCCACATCCAGAGTGAATCGTGGAGAACACTGGCACCCAAGCGTGTTTTGATATTCAAAGTGGGCTCCTGCTCCCTCCTGACGGCAAGAGATTGGTGTACGCTCCAAAGCTGTGCCAGTATCTTGCCGGCCCGTCCGCGTAGATCATTATCTTCTACTGAGGCTCTTCGATGCATCGATAAAACGGAGTTGAACGCACTCTTACCACTTTCGACATCTACATATCTGGAATAGCTGGAGCTGATAATCTTCATCAGGAGTATCGCTGCTACTGTTAATACGTGAACGATGCCATTCGGTGCATATTTTATGAAATCCCACTTGATATCTGCATCGGAGACTCTCGAAATTAAAGTCAATGCTGTGGTATATGCCTTGAGAAGACCTTGCTTGCGGATATCTACGGCCAAAGGCATGAAGAAGTAGTAAATTCGAAGTTGTAGACAAGCCATTGTGAGACGAATCTGATTCGTTGCTGCGATGGTTTTAACTTGTGCTAATTTATGAATTCTCCACACGTACCTGTTAGTTGGTCACTGATCTGCCTTTCCAGATCAACAAAATCTTGTTCTAGCATCTCCATAAGAACGTAGCTCTCACTATCAAGGGAATAGCCCTTGGGTGACCGGTCGTTCTCTGCCAGGAGCCCATTCACTCGCGCAATGAATTTATATATAAGCAAATGATGTCTGAGGTTATCGGGTATGGTGTACTTGTTGTTTAATTCACATGCACGATCGATGGTCCAGTCTCTAGGAACTAGTGACGGTTGGCCTATAGTCGTAGTAACACTGTTCGAGGTTCAGAAACTTCTACATACTCCAATGTTATAGAGGGGTCGAAGCTTGCCTTTGTGCAGTGATATAACAGCCTACCCAGGTCTTCACAGCCTCTTGAAATTCCTGGGGATCAAACTGAATCCTTACCCTCATGAAATCTTGGACAATTTCTGGTCTGTGCAGACCTAACTGCATTGAAGCACTTTTTGCGATGGAGATTAAGATGAAAGAGTTGTCTGTGGACATCGAATTTGTCGGAAATGACCAAGTGCACAATAGTAGCACTGCCTGAATAGTAAAGCGAGAGTGTGGAGGTGTTGAAATAGTGTTCCACATCAGTCTCGTAACACATGGATTGAGGGTTGCAAGTAATGTAGCGTCTTGTTCATACCGTCGAACAGCGACACTAATAATGGCCCAGAATAGAATAGGTGAGCGTCTGTAATAATCATCTGGGGAGATGGAAGGATCGAGTATATCCAAATATGGATGGTAATGTTCGAAAAATCTAAGTGTTCATTTAGCTTCTTTACACGTGTGGCTAGGTTTGTCTGAAACTGACTGTTGAAAGAGATAACCGATCTGTTCTTTGCTGAGGACTACGTGTTCAAGAGACCGAGCAGTAGAAGCGGAGAAAGAGAATGATTGTATAGTTTGCACTGGGCCTGGGACCGAGACATTCTCTGGCTGATTTAGTGCAACCTGTGAAGGGGAACTCTCGGCATGGGCACTATTCCCTCGGGAATCTTCAAGAGCTCTACGGCCCTCGAATAACACAGACTGTGGACTCCGTTGAGGGTCCTGAGAGAGAGGGTTCCCATGTGGCAAGGCAGGCTGTTGGGTTTGCGAGAGGGAGCCCAAAGAGCCATCATGATGAGCTTCAGAAGGAGTGGCATTATTGGCTGGCTGGTGATGGTTCACGGCCGACCGAAGCCGTTCCATCTCCTCCGCCAGCTCATTGATTTTCCTGGCACAATAAGGTTAGCCAATGAAAGAAGCCCGAGAACAGATTTAATAAGACCAACAGCCTCTTGTTGACTCTCTTGTAGCTCAGATCCACCTGACATTCCAACGACAAGCGGCTGCAGCGAATACAAGTGCGGGAGCCATTGGCTAAGCCGTCACATCGAACCTACACCAATAAGGTTCAGCAAAAGTCAGTTACAATATTCCATTCCACAAGTATACCCACAAGCCGGATTCACATGGAAGAATCTGCAGTGGTCATCCCTTCACCGAAGGAATTCCGCGGTGGTCTGAGTACTACTAACCTTTGCCTGTCGGCACTCTCTACAAGCTACGCGCTTTTGTCTCCCATGGCGATCATTGGCTGCGGGACCCGGAATTGATGGCCCAGCGGGAGGGAGAGAAGCCAGAGGCTGATGCCTGTGGGGCCGAACATCCATATCGCGGGTCCTCACACTCTCAATTATCTTGCAGGTCGCTTGGAAGTCCGGGGCGTCCAGGCCGATGGTGTCGATCTCGGAGCCCGCGCACCGAAGGTTTGCCAAGTTGTCGGGCCGCTCAAAGACAGTGGCCGGCCGGTGAAATGATTCAAGGTCGATCGGTCCGCTGGATTTTATGACAGCGGCGTAGGAGGTTGTGTTGCTGAGAATCGAGCGAAACCCCTCCGTTATATTTCAGCGCCGCTCGCGGGCCGAGGCCTGAAAGGGAGCACATCATTGGCTACAGCGACGCGGGGTGCACAGTAAGCGGGGTAAGCGGGGTAAAACTACAGGTGCTTCTATAGTGACGTTTTAAAGGGCATCCGGTGTAGAACAGGTCGAAACAGGCATACATACGGGTAATCGTCGCGACAATTCTAGATTAATGGCAACCAGGACCTGAATTTGTAATGAGAGGCACAAAACTTCTTCACTCCCTCTCTATAGCCGGTATATGGCCAGCTAATTTCAGAATGTCAGAACTCAGGGATACTAGCATCAGACTGGTGGTGAAGTATGAACGTAAAGCAGTGATACTGAAACTTAGGGAAGAGAGAGAGACCTACTTCATCTTTTCTTGGAAGAGGGTACCGGAGAGATGACTGCGATGGCTAGGTGTAGTGATTCTTTTGATTGAAGAGCTAATTAACGGTGAGAACAGAGCTCTATATACAGTCGAGATCCTACTAAAGCTATTATATAAGGTCTCTCTCCTTTGTCTTCTTTTTTGTCCGACATCAGGTAGGTTAGAAGTTACAGCCTACCGAGAGTGTTTCAGACACTTTCGAATTGAAGACACTGTATAGACAATATATCAGCATCCACGCGATCGTTGACTGTCGTATATAGAACGGGACCTATATTTTGAGATTATAACGGAACCGATCTGCCACCTCTTCATGTATATATAGAGCCTCTAGACCCTTACCTTCACTCTTTAATCGAGTCTGTTTCTCCTGTTTGACGACGATATATCAGCATCCACGCGATCATTAACAGCTTTCATGATAAAGCAAGGCTCACCTAGAAAGAGTTCAGAGGAATAGATAAGTGAATAAATGAATAAATAGCAATGATTATAAATGGCAATGAGGAAACCAATGACAACGAATAGATCCATGACAACGAATAAATCTACAACAACGAATAAATCTACAACAATGAATATCAACAAAACCCCGTCTTCTTGTACCAAGTCAGAACATATACCTCTCATCCCTCCGCTGTCTGGCAGGCCCCGAATCCCGAGTCCCGCCCTCCCTTGCCCAGCCGCATCGACGAATGAAGCTTGACTCTATAAACTGTCAGTATCTGCTGTGTTTATATAACGCAACAGGGTTGCGAGGTCAATTTCTACACGTGATCTCGGCCCTCCTCTACCCCCCGGCCTAAAGTATAGTATCTATATACAGCAAGCCGGTAGGTTGCTTAATCGCTCTTTCTCGTACCTTAGATATAAAGAGTTAAAGTACCGACTGTGAAAGGGCTTGATTTCGGTTTTTAGGGATTAAGTAAAGACAAAAACAGTATTAGAAAGGAGTGGATGGAGAGGTGCAGTTTGCCACCAAGCTGTACCGGAGAGTAGAGATGACAAGAGAAAATGGGGTTCTGAGAAGCGGTACTGCGCTGATTGATGGTGGCCAATTACGAAATTCTTAGGTGAAGAGATGCGCCGTAGGACGTCCACCGTAAGTAAGTATTTTAAAAAGACTGATCTTTGAACAGAGGGAACTTTGACGATAAGTCGTTGAGGAGTTGATGGAATCTGATAAAAGGGGGCCATCGAGCACCCCTCTCTCATTTCCCCTCATTGGGTATTCATTTCATAGCTAGGTAGGTATCTCTATACCCCATCCACTCCACTCCAACACAAAAACGCCCTCTTATCTTACATATCTTCTTACATAGGTATATATAAATGTACATTATTTACTCCCTTCCTTCCTTTTCATCCCGTGGTATCGTATATATCTCTTGTCCCCTACGCACCAACTTTCACTCTCTGCAAAAAGACCGGCACATCCGTTAAATCTACCCCCCACAGCTCGCTCTCCCTCACACTCTTCCTACTCGCCTCCGTCGGCTTGAACCGTCCCGTATTGCGCGTCCCCGCACTGCCCCCAATTCCGAACCCTGGCTCATAACCATACCCCAATCCACCCGCATACCGATCCAAGATCACCATTTCTGGCGTAGAGGGCCGCCGCGGGGGTTGGGCATCGCGTTCTTCTCGGCCGGAATAGTGGTTTGTGGGGGATGTGTTCTCTTTGTTAGACCAGTGCTGGCTGTATGTTGGGTCGTAGCTCCCGGGTCGCTCTTTGTGGTTGAGCTCATAGTCTCGCAGTTCTTGGTCGACGGCCGGGCGGGAGTCGAAACTCATGTGATGGCTTAGAGAGTTCAGCTGTGGACGGCGGTGCTCGATCGGTTTTGTGCTCTTGGGTCGGCGTTGTCCTTCGATGAGCTTGTGGCGCTGTAACGCCTCATTAATCCATGGTGAATCAGGCTCTTGCCATTGATTCTTGATATCTTTCTGCGATGGCAGTTTTGGGAGAGGGTGATGCGGTGTTGGGAGTTGAGGGAGGGGGCGGCTTGGCGCCTCATGTGCAGCAGGGGGGATTGTGGAAGCAGAAAGCATGGCATCTAGAATCTCCGAAGGGGCTGACATTCTTGGACCATGAAGGCTTCTTTGATTCCTTACGCGCTCCACACTCAGCTTGCCGAGTTCAGCTGACAAGTTCGGACTCGACCGGTGCGTTTGCGGCCGGGGGCGTGGTTTATTATTGCTCCTGGGGCGGTCATGAAAGGGCGATCCACGAGATGGATTCTTGGGCGGCAAAGAGGTGTTCTGATTTAGCGGTTCATTTTGATCGTAAGAGGTTGTCCGCCGCAAAGGCTGTGGATCTTGAATTTCCTGGCTTACGTTCCTGACTTGCCCAAACCATGCCGAACCCTCCGTTACCACCTCGGCCATCTCTCCTTGTTCAACATGATTGCTATCTCTGAGTGCTCCATCATAGGCCAATTTCCCCAAGTTAGAAGGAACGCTGGCAAAGGTCGCGATTGGGTTCTCGGAATTATGTCGCGCATGCCTCTGGGGTGCATGGTTATCATTTCTTAAGAGCACCCCCAGAGTGTGACGAACTGGCGTCTTCGACATTGGTGCCGCAGCGGGTGCTGGTGTGCCATACGCACCCCTATTCAACTCTTGTTTTGGACTCGAGTTAATTTGTACAGAGGAGTGGTCAGGCCCACTTTGCAATCTCGCCATGGCGGCCTCCTCCCTCCACTCTGCGGACCCAACAGAGAAGATCGTCCCCAGCGTCTCCTTGGAAACTGTTCGCTTGTGAGGAATATTCCCATTCCAGCTATTCGGAATACCGGCAAGAGTATATCTTTTGGGCTTTGGGAACCGTCTTGAAGCCTCCTTCGCGACGTGGGAAGCCTGACGTTGTTGGGAGGCAGTGGAGGGAGGCGGGTAGACGGGCGTGGAAAGTTGAGCTTGTGAGCGGGATTTTGATATGGACAGCGACCGCCAGTGAGAGGTACCGGTACCGCCAAGCTTCGCCGGCAAAGTTGGATCTTCGGATACTGAAGGACTGGCATTTGAGCGGTCATTTTTTTGGATACCAGGTGAGACTGTAGGTATACCGAGCGAGCTGCCTTGTCCGTTTGTGCAAGGCGTGGATTGCTCAACTACCCGAATCTCCTCGGGTGATCTATGCGGTTGTTGCACAGGGGGTGGTTGATGGGATTCTAGAAAGACGGAATCTTTCACAGGAGCCGGAGACGGCATCTGGAAAGACTGTCTTTGAGTTTCCAAGTTTGAGAAGACTGTGGGAAGTGATTGCCGTGTTTGAATGGGTGAATCAGGCACGGTAGAAGGGGCATATATGGTGGAATACTCGCTTTCTGGCGGAGTGATTGATCTAATTGATCGCTGGTCTTTTATGGTGGAATACTCGCTCTCCGACCGAGAGATTGATCTCACTGATCGCTGGTCTTTGATGGTGGAATACTCGCTCTCCGACGGACTGACTGGTCTAATTGATGGCTGGTCTTTCAGTGGCCCAATTGTCGCGTCGCTCTTGTTAGAAGCGGCGGAAATCGTGGAATAGGTAGAATACGTAGAATAGATAGAATATGTGCTTGAAGCATCTTCTGGGATAAAGTGCGCAGGAGGTCCAGGTCTTGTGTCCTTTTCCGGGTCCTGAGGCGGGTTGTTAATCTCGAAGGAATGAAGAGACGGGTTATAAAGATATCCATATCCATTATTTACCTGTGCAAGCAATTTGGATATGAGGTCCACCTTCGCTTCTTCGAGTCCATCCACATCCTGATGCCCGACGGCAAAAGGGTCGGCCATGTGGAAGTCATCTGGTTCGGGCGTTCTTGGTTCTGGTTCAAATAGATCATCATCAACTGCCATACTTTTGCTCGTGGCTTGAAACTCCGGGGAAGTAGCAGGCTCAGCATCGATATCGAATGGACTCAATGCCAGATCTTGCATGTATTCATTGGCCAATTCTTGTGATTTTGTCGGCGATTCCGAGAACTTGAATTCAAATAATGATAATTCAGGAGCTGGGGCACTTGTGTTGATTGTCAATGAATCATGTGATCGGACGCCAACTTCCGGTACCTCTATCTTTGGGTCCTCTAAGCCTCGATCCTCATATCGAAGAGGTGAATCCGTACGTGTATTCCATGGAGCCTTGACTATCCCATGAGGAACTTGAAGGGTGTTGTTGTCTTGCTGGTTCAGATCGCTTCGGTGCCTTGGCAGACTCGCCATTCGTTCTGAAGAGCTGCCATGATCCTCCTCGCCACCTGCTATCGTGGATTTCCCGTCGCTTGGAACAGGACTTGCAGCGCCATTCGTGATCCGCAGCGACCCAAGCTTAAAAGCACCAATCTGTCCATATTCTGAACCTGACGGAGTTTCTGCTCGTGGACCTACTGCAAAATCTTCGATTTTTGGTGCCAGAGAGGCGAGTTCAGGGAAATGAGGGGGAGGTTTCGTAGGACTGCTGGGGAGATTTAGTTCGTCATTGTGAGAATTCACGTTCCCAGGAAGCGGTTGGCGGGGTTCATTTTCCACCCAACCAGGTCTTGTTGCAATTCCATGCTGTAGTAACGACCGTCTTCGTATAGGAGAATAGAGACTTGTATCTGATTGATTGCGTGCATGGAGCGGGTTCGACAGCGCAGGGCTATATTCTCCCTGGTCAAGTCCCGCCAACCCCGTCTGCTGACGAAAATCAAGCAGAGGAGGAGGTCCCTGAGTAGCGAGTGACAGTCCCACATGGGGTTGGGTGTATGACGGGGAGTATGGGAGCTGTTGGAAAGACGAGCGTGCACTTCGAGCAGGAGGCCTGCTGAGTCAAAGTTAGTTGATGCTGCATCTATCGAGAGAGTCTCCGTCTTACGTCTTGTCTGGCATGCTGTAGCGATGTGGGGTGAGTGGTTTGGCCCCCTCTATTTCCACCGCTTGAGGATGATTCCCTAGCCACTTATCGAATGGGTCTAGTTGGTCAACATTCATACTATTATCGAAATCAAATTGCGATGATTTTGACTGCGACCTTTTTGACCTGAACATGCTCATCCGTTTCCTCGCTGCCCCGCTAATTGGCGTCTCGACCGAAACCAAATCATATCGATTGTCCGTTAAAGGGACATTGGACAGCGAATTGCGACGACTCTGCGGTCCTGGTCTTGAGCCCGGGGAATTCGATGAGTGCGTCTTCGGTTTCGAGAGCTTGTTCGCAGGCCTTCGAGGCGTCGACGGGGCCGATTGAGCGTTCCCCATGTTGCAAGAGCGACCCGGAAAATGAATGTGTACCGAAGCTCATTCAATCGTCCCACCCATACCTCTCCCTCTCTGCTGGAATATCCCCAAGCCAAGAGAAATGACAGAGAAGATCGGCAGCGCAGGAGTAGAAGTAGGAGCAGCAGCGGGTGCAGGAGCAGGATGGGACCGGGGGGAAGACGAGACGAGGCTTGATATTGGACACACCAGGATGCTGAACCTGGCTTCTCGCGAGACCAATTGCGTCACCCTTGTCTGGCAGGGAGATGGGAGGGAGAATCGAGACCTATATAAAATCAGGGAATCAGATGTTATTGATACAGTATGTAGAGAGGCTCGACGGGGAGCGTGGGGGATGATGTTTCAAGGTGGTTACAGAAGGTCTTCAACTCCTCCCGGCACCGAATCGCTTCAGATCGTAACAGGAAGCTCGCGACAATTCCTTCACAACAACGGGGCAGCAAAGGGCTGGAAAACGGATGGATGGGTGAGGAGAGGGGAGGGAAGAGGAGAGGAGAGAAGAGAGAGAAGAGGCGGAAACCGCTGGTTACATGTATACAATTTCACGATTGGTACTATTGAGCCGTCAGTAATATGACCGTCTTGCGCGTAGAGAGCTACTTGACGACGATACAATAGTGTCTTAACTGTTGCCCCGGCGTTGATCGACCGTCGCTGCGAGTAAACAAGGCTCTGCTCTGCCCGGGGGACCGGCGATGGCCAATCAGGGCTGTCCGCTGCGTGCCGAGCCATATCGTGGCGGTGCAGCGCCACCGTGGCGGCAAGATCCACCAATGGTGAATAAGGGTCACCTCACCACAGCCTCGCCGATCGCCCTTTGCAGCGTGGTGGGGCAGTGAACTGTGGCTAGTGCTCTGTATCCACCGCCGGCAGAAAACAGCAAGGCTCGAGACACTAGCAGACTCTCTATCTTCTTACGGGAACGCCGTGCCATGAAGAAAAACCCACTCGCTCGCTCTCTCTGGCAACTCGGGCAGCTCTGGCAACAGAGGAGCCATATCCGAAACAGCAGAGAGGAGAAGCACCGCACGTAGATGATCTGGTGGAAGCAGCAGAATCCGGAGTGGCCTTTGACGTACCTCTGTATCCATCCCACCAGACGACGTGATCCACAATCAATAGTAGTAGTGTCGGTTCTCTAGGCCGAGAACTTGAGAAGGCCTCGGCGATTGGAAGCGTTTCGGAAGACCAAGGTTGAGTTAGTTGTCTTCCTAACATCCGTCGAGAGATCCCTCGGAATACGTATCCACTTCTCTCTTCTTCCCAACCCAAAAAAGGATTATATCATCCAAATTACATATCTCCCACCAGTGAAAACAGACGTCGATCGTCGAACCTCTTTTTACTTGGATCTCCATTGTGTGCCTGTTTCGAAACATCTTCTCCCTTCCAAGTATCTGTCAGCCAAGTTGGCCGACTTTGCTCTAGTTAGCTCCTAAGGATCACCCCTAAGGATCAACCAAACATTGGCGACGTCTTGAGACAAAACACAACGATCGGTCCTGGCGCAATCGTCATATGGATCAAGGACGTGAATACTACCCACACGTCAAAATCCTGCCCCTGTGCCAACGTATATGACAACGAGGTCAATGTGCAACAACACCATAATACTTGATGGATACATCAGCACCATATGGTCGGCCTGATTCATACAGTATGACACACTCCGCGACTGGTTTGTGGGCAACAAAGCTACTGGTTTTCTTCCATTGCGTCTCCCAAGGCCATCTATTTGAGGCCCTTCACAGATGAGGTATTGTAAATAGCAGCTTCCACTTTGTGTTCACCTCCCAAGAGCTTATGTTCATGATATTTCTGATCACATCGAGACTCCTAACGCGATGATTCATGCAATGAGCGAAATTTGACTGACCTCACACCACCCACTACTGATCGCAGCCATTTGCAAGTTCGACGTGTTAAGATGAGTGCGCCGAGTTTTGATATTGCTCTGAAGCAGGAAATAGACGTCGATAGGCATTGAGAACCAGGAGTACGGCTGCTTACCACAAGATGAGAGTGGATTCACCGAACCGTGAAGATCTTCTGCCGAGGACCCAAAGGCGTGGACAACATGAAGGCGGTCCTGTATAGCTAGGGGCGGTTGCCATTGCGCGGAAGGCCATCATATTCCAGGAATTTTCGAAAGGAAAATAATTTAAACAGCCAGACAAATTGGGTTCTAACAATTCGTTTCGCATATGGATGTTATATATGTGCACTCTCAAGTGCTCAGAAAAGCTGCGACGGGTTGCGAACGAACTGTCTCCATCCCATGAGGGGCGAGGGAGGGCCAAGTCGGATAATGCCCAAGTTATTCACGAATAACGTATAATCATGGTTTTATATCAATACAGAAAACCGCACAGTTGAATTTAATACTGTAAGGAAGCGATGAGGAGAGATTGGTTGCTGGATTCTTAAATCAGAAGGTCACGACAACGAGACGGCGTTGCCACGAGGATTGATAATCTAGGACTGACAATCTGAGCAGCAGTTGAGAGGCCGCTAGAGATGGGGTTCGAAATATAAAACTTGGGGTAATTAGGAGCAATTGTAGCTCCTTAAAAGAAGCAATTGTCGATTTCAAGTATGACTGAGTGCGGCTTGAAGCTTCTACTCCAGTCGGGACTCTGTCGCACTCTTGACGCCTTGCTCGACACCGTTTACGCGGAAGTTAACACATAGTTTTCCCGACACGAGTAAACGCGGCGAGATGTGTAGGAAGATATAGGAATGTCCTCTGAACCCGCGGTCTGTTATCAATGCTCGGGTTCCGTTTCCCAAGAGAGATTAGGAGATACATCACGTGACTGTGCCCGTTGAGAGGAGGTCGAGCCTGATCTGATACGATACTATTAGTGCGCTGGCTTCAGCGGACCAACTCTTAGACATAACCCGGCAGTGGAGAGGAAATGGAGATGAAGACGGATATCAAGTCGAAGGGATGGTAAGACGAGATGACGAGGAGAGAGGAGGGGCAAGCAAAGGAGGGCGAGCACAACCAAAAGATTGAGTAATGGGAAGGTCAGGGTCTAGAGCCACTCAGCTCAAGGCTTCCAACGACTGGAGGACACAAGAATCAATGACTACAATGCACCGGCCACATTCACGATGCTCCAGTGTCGTCGTGTTCATGCATCTGGCCATGGCGAATCCTCACCGTGGGCTACAGAGTCACACGAACGCTTTCCTTTCCTTTCTTCCCCATCGTTATCTCTGGCCCGGGAGCTGCCCGCGTATCAGGGATCATTGCCAACCAGCATCTGCCAAAGCGGCTTGACCGGGATGGCCTTGTCCGTGAGACCTGCGCGTTGTATCGCTGGGCAGGGGACGTTGGAAAGACGTTGGAGCAGTCTGGAGGCATGCAGGTCAGTAGGTGAAGGGAAGTGAGGGGTTCCAGGAAAGAGAGATACCATAGAGCGGGCAGCGCAGAGTGATGATTCTGAGAATGAACCAGAGGAAACCCATCATATGATGCCGGGCGAAGGCTGACGGGACGATCTGGACTGGTCCGCGGGCACCAGAGGCACGCTGCACAGGGAGTAGTAGTAGCAGTAGTAGGACAGTAGTAGGTAGTACCGTACCTCTGACTGCAGTGCGTGGCACTGATAAGCAGCATGTCCCGTATTTACTCAGGGATATCATTATATGATAAGATACAGGTATCCAGGCCCCATCGGTCTGGTAATCCGGTAATCTGCGATTAATCTACGTAATCTGGCTGGTGATCCTCGACGCGCAGTAATCCATCCAGTACGAGAGGGCAAAGCAACTCAACGGGCTCCCTCCCTCTGGTCTTCCGTCTTCCCCACCTCTTCATGCCCGACAACCTCCTTGATAGACTGCCAACAACAGGCCAATCCAATCGCAGAGTCGTCGATACTAAAATGCCCAGCTCCCTCCCGTAAGCCGCACACTGCTTGCTGCTGCTGCTGCTGCTTCTGCTGCTGCTACTATTTCTCCGAAAGGGAACCATGGTGATCCGGCATACACAACCCTTCGTCGACGGCTTCATCTGCCAGAGCTTGGATTCAACACCGCTCCCCCTGGAATCGCCAATGCGTCGTCCCCAGAAATACTCGAGATGGAAACAATAACAATCCCTTCTCCATCAGTCTTCTTGAGCTCGCCCGTTATCAAGCCCGCGCCCGCACCCGCACCCGCACCGCAGCCGTCACCCCCTCCCCCTCCTTCAAACCGGAAGAATACAACCACCCCGAAGTCTGCGAACGCTCCCAAGGCGCAGAATGGGATAGCAAAGCCCAAGCAATCCAAGAGTCGCAATGGTATGTTGGTGCAATTCTGCGTTCTCTTATCTTGGCATTGATAAGAGTCGTTTCCGGCCGAGAGGCTAACTGAGCAACTCGGCAGGTTGTATAACCTGCAAAGCAAAACGTTTAAAATGCGACGAGACGAAACCAACATGTCAGCAATGTCACAAGAGGAGTGTTACGTGCGGCGGATACAAGAAGAATTTCAAATGGAGACCATTCGAGGAGGCTACATTCATAAACAAACCGGCGGCGCCAAGGACACGACGAAGTATGGATCGCACTGTCTATATATCCTGTGGATTATACTGATGGCCTATAGATTCAACTGCTGTGAACAAACCTCCAGATCCTACACCCGCCGCAAGTCCTTCCGCTTCCCATGCTACTCCCTCGACACCCGGCGCAGAGGCCGAAGATGTGCCCATGCAAGACCCATTCTTCCATTCTGCCAATGCGTCCCCTCCAACGACCTTCTCCAACCATATACCTGATATTCAATTCGATCATCAGCCTATGTTTGATATGGATACACCACCCTACCCGCGGGAATTGCCCAGGCCGCGTTTCGATCCAGATCATGTCACAAGTAGTTTGAGTAGCTTATTTGAAGATTCTACTCCACCAAATCTATCGCCAGGACCCAGCTTCCCCGGACAGTCACCGCGGCTGATAGATCTTTTGCTGCCTGGGTCAGAACTCAACGCCCCAGCCGCGCCCGCGACAATACCTCCGATCAGCATGCCTTTGCCGGCCATGAGCCTATCATCAATGACCGAGCCGCAATTCCCCACTTTGGGGGAGATGCCGCAGAACTCTATGTTGGAGGAGGACATTGAAGAGATCATCCGAGAATCACCAACATCGAATACACAAATGTGGATGTCGTTGCGGGGCCCTGTAGATATATCAGGATCCCAATTCTCGATGGAGACAAGAGGTAATTCTGCCCAGTACAAACTTTACCGACAACCAGAAGTTCTAGCAGGGAGTCCTGAAATGTTAATCCTTCGGTTCGACAAGCAGACGTGTGGTATTCTGTCGGTAAAGGATGGGCCTACGGAGAACCCTTGGAGGACTTTGATCTGGCCCCTTGCACGCGATTCTCCTGCGCTCTATCATGCAATAGCATCAATGACCGCATTCCATACCTCTAAAGAGAAACCGGCCCTTCGAGTCGACGGAATGGAGCATATGCGCTGCAGCATTCGAGCACTCGCAACTGGTCTCGAGAAGATGCGTCCTGATACAGCGCTAGCAACTACTCTCGTGCTGGCTTTCTCAGAATCTTGGGATCAGCACATCAGTACCGGCATCGAACATCTCCGTGGAGCTCGAGTCCTTGTCAATCGAGCTCTGGTCTCCCATAAAAAGCAGAACTACACAGGCGATGATCTAGCGAGGTTAAAATTCCTCTGTAATACGCTGGTATACATGGACGTCATCGCACGCCTCACTTCCATAGAGGAAGACGACAGTGACAATTTCGACCATGACAGCGTCATATTCTACAACACACCCTCGCCATTTCCGCAAAGCAGCACCGAAATCGATCCTTTAATGGGCTGTGCAAGCACACTCTTCCCTCTCATCGGCCGGGCTGCCAATCTATGCCGTAGAGTTCGGAAAATGGAAACAAACTCAATAGCTATAATTTCTCAAGCTATGGAGCTAAAGGAAGCCATCGAGCAATGGACACCACCCCCCGGAGCCGCCTTTGAAAGACCCGAAGACCCGACGTCGGAAATCCAACACGCTCTCCAAACGGCCGAGTCTTATCGCTATGCCACTCTGCTGCATCTTCATCAAGCCGTGCCAGAAATCCCATCTCTTACCTCGGCACAACTGGCGAAGAAAGTCCTCGTGTATCTTGCCACCGTACCGCTGTCTAGTCGATTAGTAATCGTCCAAATCTACCCACTGCTGGCAGCGGGGTGTGAGGCTTGGGACAGTGAGGATCGGCAATGGGTCGACGAGCGCTGGCAGAGCATGGCGTCGCGGATGTGGATTGGAAACATCGATCGTTGCTGGGAAGTAATGCAGGAAGTATGGACCCGACGCGACAACGCAGAGAAGGCGAAAGCTGAGAAGGAGAGCCTGAGGCGGCCGCGGCATAGGGCGAGCATAGTGCATTCCGAGGATAGCAGGAAGAAGTTTGAAGAAGAGCTTGCTTTGGAAGAGGGGTTCAGTTTCTCGGATATGTTGAATGAGAACGGGATGTCAACTAAGAGGGATCGACCGAGTTTCTCAGGGGGCTTCTCGGCGCAGGGCAAGAGGAGACAGGAACCGATCACAGAGGAGATGGATCCCAAGCTCACGGTTAGAGGACAATTGCATTGGGCTGGTGTTATGAAGGATTGGAATTGGGAAAGTAAGTTGCATCACCCTTGCGCGCCCTCTGTCTGCCCCTTTCTGGATATAATCTATCGTCCCCTGCTCTCCGTGTGTTCATCCCACACCCAATCCATCTCTGTCCCTTCTATAACCTGCAAAAGAAACAAAGAAACAAGTAAGAAATAACTAACACCTCTCCTTCTCAGTTCTCCTCGGCTAAGACTCATCCCTACCGTCCGCTCAGTCCATTATCCTTCAACCAGTCCCCAACATCCCTCTGCTTGACTGGTGCTGGAGGTCCAAACCCGCCCCTCCAAGGATCAGTCGAGTTACCCATCCTCCTCTTCTCCGCCTCTATCCAGGCTCTCTGCTGCCTCTGTCGCCGCTCCTCCTTTTCCTGCGCCTGCGCTAGGAACTCTTCGTAGGATGTGCGGCGCCTAACCTGTTTCTTAGTCGGAGACTCGAGGAGCGTGGACGTCGTAGAGAGGTTGGAGGTTGACGTGTTGGGATATTTGGTTAGTTGTTCATGTGCGCCGGCCGCGGATTGGGATGACTTGGCCGCTGATGATCGAGACTTGAAGAGCCCCATGATGATGAGTCTAGTTGTGCGAGGTGGCGTGCTGTGTCTCTTGTTTACTAATCGCGAGATGCCTTGTGTGTTTGGAGCGTGGAGCGTGGGAGTACGGCGTCTCTGCTTCTTGCCCTGGGGATTCTCAAGGTATCGGGCTTGTGGATCTTGACTTTTGCTTAGTAGTAGTAGGTAGATATCTGACGAGCGATGATGATGATGACTGATGTAGATAGAGAGAAGGAAAGGTATTAGAAATTGGAAATCCAGAAACAGAGCGAGAGAGATCCGTCCCTCCCTCCCTTAATATACACCAACCCATCCACTCACATCCCCTGCCTGCCCACCTTTCTCCCATCCTGTTCCTCTCCCGAGGCAAAACATGCAGAACAGAACACAAAACCGCAAGCAAGTCAGCCGATTATGTGATCTTCCCCCCAGGTAGGTTCCCGTTTCCCGCTCTTATTCTCCAGGTTTTTGGTTGGTGGGGGTGGATCCCTGATCTGCGCCGTCTCTCGCTATACCTTCCTTTTCTTTTTCTGCTCGTTGGCTCTCATAGGTTGGTTGCGTCTCTTCCCCTAGGTACCTACCCGCTTTTTTACCTTCCTTGGTTCTCGGGGTTGTTGTTGATGGGTATAGTGGGTAGTGGAGGGATGTATGTAAGGTATGTAAGATAATCATCCGGGGAACAGAGACAAAGAAAGAAAGAAGGAATTCCCCGCCACCCCGCCACCCCGCGATTTCTCTTTTTTGATCTAAGCTTACCTTACTGTATGGGGAAACGAAAGGAAGAAAGAAGGGGGAAGGAAGGGGAGGGATTGATGTCATGGTTACATAATCCACCATATCCTATTATTCGGTCGGCGTCTCAGGTTTACTAGGTGAGGTACGGTAGATGGACGGGTTTGCTTTGATTTAACTTGGCTTGCTTTTGGGGAGGGGAGTTGGGTGGTAGGATGGGGATGGTGGATGGTGACTGGATGGAAAGGGAGGAAGGAAGAATGCAGGGCATGGGAATGAATAAATAACGAACGGTGATTTGATTTGATTTAGTGAGATACATATCTTTCTTTTCTTTCCTCTCTCCCTCTCTCTCTCGCATTATTCTCGGGTTGCAACAAGAGACGAGAGAAAGAGAAAGTTTCAATGTAAGAAATTTCGTTCCCACACCAATTGCGAATTCTGACTTCATCATGCATGACTTTTATGTGCCATGCGACAACATACCTTCGAATGCGGAATGCTGAGCTAGGATCATCAATACTTGTACCTACCTAGAAGCCAAGAATACCTTACCTACCTTAGTTATTATCTGAGTATTTATAGAGTGCCAGTTGTAGAAATGTTTCCGGGAATACTTCGTTAGTACGAGAAAGATTCGGGGATTTGGGATAGAGAGAGGGGGGGGGATCTTTCTAGTACTACGAGTTGTACTAGAAGGATACCCTTAGGGTTCAAGGTTTTGGAATTGTGAAAGAAGGTGTAGGTAGAATATATAAGTTTTCTAGAGACACAAGAGCTAGGTGGTTTTTAGTATTGGTTATTCTACATCAATTACAAGATACCCTCGTGTCCTGGGCAGGTCTTGCTTTAGTCGCCGACAATAGGCCTTTAAACACGTAGAGAATCAGAACACGAGAGCCCGTAGACACATTCGCAAGCGGTATCATCGTCACAAAAGAAGGAACACATATGGGCTTGTAGGAGATGGTGGGAAAATCAAAGTGACCAGGTGATAATGTGATTAGTGCCCTCAATGCTTACCTACCTAGTCATCCGGGCGTGATAGATTCGTTCGTTCATTATAATCTATGTTGCAACTTCTCGTCAAAGAAAGCAAGAGCAGCAACACAGAGAGCATTAATACCCGTTCGCATCGTAGGTTGTATCACTGGCGCAAATCTCGCTGTGTGATTGGCGGGAATGTCATCAATTCTCCCCTCCTTCAGCCTCTGATCCCACAGTCCCTCCTCTATTCCTCCCCAATGCCAAAACGCACAAGGCCGACCCTGCGACGTTGCGAGGATCGAGAAATCCTCCGAGATAGTAGTCGTTGGGATATTTGCATCGAAGTCGTCTCCAAAATACTCACTGAAGCTCTTCACGAGTGTCTTCATCATCGACTCGTCGTTCACCGTGTTTGGCAGGTGCCGAGTCATTTTGAATAAGGGTGCAACCGTCGAACCGCTTGCTTCGCATTCAGCCTTGACGATTCGCCGGATTGAGGCCAGAAGCTTCTCGCGCGTTTCCGGCCGCACGCTGCGTATGTCGATGCCAATTTCTGCCGAGTCTGCGATAACGTTCTCTGTCTGACCGGCCTGCAAGCTCCCGACTGTCAGAACGGAAATATCGCCTGGATTGATCTCTCGACTGACGAGAGTCTGGAGGCGTACTACAACGTGAGCCGCCATGACAGCAGGGTCAATCGTCCGATGCGGCTGTATATGTCAGCTCTTGAATGCAATTAATAGAGACCGTGTAGTTCACCTGCGACCCATGACCACCAACCCCAAACAGTGTAATTTTCATACTATCCGCCCCCGCCATGATCGTGCCCATCTTCGATCCCACACTCCCCGCCCGCATCGCCATCACATGCTGACCGAGGACGAAGTCAGGCACGGGGATCTTGTGCCTCTCATACAGGCCATCATCTATCATCGCCTTCGCTCCGGTGCCACGCTCCTCTGCAGGCTGGAATAGCACAATTAACGTCCCGCTCCACCTTTGCCTGAGCTTGGTGAGCGTTTCAGCCGCAGCGAGGAGACATGTCATGTGCATATCATGGCCGCACGCGTGCATCACCGGCCGCATGACGCCCTCGACGTCGGGCATGGTGACTTTGCTGGCGTAGGGAAGGCCGGTTTCCTCCAAGATGGGGAGGCCGTCCATGTCGGCGCGTAGGAGGATAGTTTTCCCAGGGCCATTTTCTAGCACGCCGACGACGCCATGGCCGCCAATGTTGGTGGTGGTTTTGAAAGCCTGGAGACGCAATAGGTGGGCTGCAATCGTTTTGGCAGTCTCAGCCTCAAGATTCGAGAGCTCGGGGTGCTCATGAAAATGCTTGTAGAGCGCCTCGTATTTCTCGATGTCTAGAGGTGCGGCGAGAAGCAGGTCGGTCAGAGAGCTGGTGAATCGACGATTTGAACCCATAATTGAAGGCCGTAATGGCGGTGTTTCCCTAGCGAAAGGTTTCATTAGAACAAGGCAATTCAACTTTGCAAAGGCTGAGATCTTTACCTACCTTACGACTTAAGGTCCGTATGTGTGCTTCCGCATAAGGTAGATGGCAGCAGGATATATATATATACAAAACAACTCGAGGGGTGCAACTCGGTGCGTTGAGTCCCTGCTTGATGCCTGTCTGATAAACAGATGACTCATCGCAACCTAGTAACTTACGCCAGAGTTCATTTTCTTGAACAGATAGAAGAGAAGAATCATCATCATCCTTAACTGCAGACGATTCCTTGATATATAGGTCTCGGCGTCGTATCGATGAGCGGTACATATCACCAGCGTGCCCCGCTGTATTTGTACCTAGAGAGATGTTAAACACTGTTTTAACTAATCTGACACTAACTTTAGGTGTTGACCACCGTTCATAATCGTATCACCGTAGCTATTTATGTAGAGTGGTAATTCAAAGTATGGGTATAAGATGTCGTCGAGGGGGGTATCTAGTTATAAACATAAGAATCATAAACGCAGAAACTCCAACATAAAGTCCGTTGTAGAGGCAGACTCCTGTCCTGCCCCCATATGTCTCCCGCCAGAGACTCGCATTCGTTCTTGGGTATCGTGAGGTGTGTCGGAGGCCCGCTTGCTGTCGTCCTCGTCTCTATATCGCCATGTCTGGTGCTGACAGAGACTGAGATGAGGATGCGATTCCCGCCTGCCCTCGTAGCATCCGTCAGTGTGTCCTCCAAAGCCCGTTTCCAGCCCACATATTTCCAGCGCATCTCCCTCGTATCTCCCCTGTATATGCCCACCTCTGGAGACTTGCCTCCCCTCGCAAGTATTCCCTACGCACGAACAACCCCAACTTCAGATCTTACCCGCCCACGGATCCAGCGTAAACTCCCTCCGCCTCCTCTCCGCATCCCTTATCTCCTGCTGTCTGATCCTCGCCCTCTCTTCTTCTTCCCTGCGCGCCTTCTCCAGGAAGACCTCATAGTCCGTCCGTCCCGCAGACGTTGATCCGTCCTGCGACTGCGACTGCGACTGCGTATGTGATGTTGAATGTGAGCCCGTGTGCGCACATGAGGGTTGGGAGTGGCGATGCGATGGCGAGTCGGACGGCATGCTGGTCTTGTCGCACACGGAACATGAATCCTTGGATGAGTGTCGGCGTGATCGCAGCGCTTTGAAGAACATGTTTTTCGCGACTTTGATTCCGATCTGGGACGTCAAGATCGTCGATGTCGTGTGGCGTGGTGTGATCGCTGGATCACAGATAAGCTCGTGGTGATGCGACTCTGCTGTGGGGTTGGCGCTGCGCTCTGGGAGATCTGCGAGGGAGGCGCTCGTGTGGCAAGGATCGAGTAGAATGTTCACGATTACGATGATTCAGGATTCAGAAGACTCAGGTTCAGGGTTCATGTTATGCGATGGGTGAGACGGAATGAATAGTTTTCCGGTATTAATCGCCATCGCCTCGCTACCGGACCAGAACGCCAAGGCATCTTTGGAAAATAGGAGAGGGGACATATGTAGGAGATCGAGAAGCAGTTCGAACCCCTTCGATGTCAGATCTCGACACAGAGATACAGATAACAGAAGACAGAAGCTGAGGATCCAGGAGGCAAAATTGGTTGGATAGGGGACCGGGGTGGGTCGTGAGCTGCCGTCCCTGGATTAGGGGAAGGGGATCAATTCCGACTGACAGCGGTGACAGGCTCGCGGGAGGAGGGCTAGAAGGAGTAGTGAGATTGTGAGGGGAGCGGCCCCTTGAGTAGTGGGCATCTAGGGAGAAGGGGATGGTTTTGGTAGAGTTTGGTTCAACTCTAGTTCAAGTCCGGTTCAAGTCTGGCTCACGGTTCGTCTTGGGAGGTTTTGGTCGGTGTTCTAAAGACTGGGCTAGGGGAATAGCGGTGGAAGTGGGGGTCAGGGACTTGAAGATCTTATTGAACTCTGCAAAGTGCTTTGGCCTTTGGGCCTTGATCAGATCATCAGAGTCAAGGACACAACTTGTACGTCCAGTGTATGTGATACATGGCACACGCTGATCTTCTGTAGCCATGACCGCATGAAGGCATCGTTGCAGACAGTACAAGACAGTTGAAGATCCCATGCGGAATCCTGCTTCCTCCTGAGCAACGCCAATCGGACCTCAATACAATGATGCTTCAATAGTCCGCAGTGGGTCGGCCTGTCCAAACCCCTGAAGTCAGCCAGCCTCCAACTCCCCAGTTTTCGCTACTCCCTGCCGCTCTTATACCTGGGTCCTGAGCCCTGGAACCAGAACAACATCTTCCAAATCGACCGCGAGTCTAGAAACCCCGACCTGCTCGTCCCTCTTGTTCTCCTTTGTCACTGGAAAATGTGCCAACCCCGAGTCAAGATTCTCTCGATATGGGCTCTGGGGCTCCTATAGATGTCGTAGATTTCCTCATTAGAAGGGGTTTTGTAGGTTTTGCACCCCTCGTTTCCCGGCTATCTCAGAGCCAACTCCACGTTGTCGCAACCACATCTTCAACCGCAGCTAATCGATACATAGGACCCCAATACTCAAGACCCCAGGGTCGGGTCGTCGCGCGACAATGCGACATCGACGTCGACGTTGAAGGCCGCCACGGGCACCAACTCCTCCTCCTTCTCCACCCTGTTTATGACCTTTGTCCCAGTAGCGATCTATGCGGCGGTCTGTACCATACTCTTCGTGACTCTGCGGCCCAGGTTCCCCCGAGTCTATGCCCCAAGGTCCTTTCTGAGCAGCCTTCAACCACAGTATGTACCAGACAACGGCCCTATGCGATCCCTGGGCTAAAGGAGTTATTAGTGAGCGCACTGAAAAGTTACCCCCAGGATGGATCAAGTGGGTGAAGGCCTTCTACAAGATGCCCGATACAGCCGTCCTTCATCACTCCTCGCTCGACGGTTTCCTCTTCCTGCGATATCTGAAGATACTATGTATCATATGCGGGGTGGGATGTGTACTCACATGGCTGATTTTGCTACCGCTGCATCGATATGGTGGGAATGGTAACGAACAGTTGGATATGCTTACATTCGGCAACATTTCGAAACCGCAATGGTACTATGTTCATGCATTCCTTGGATGGCTATATTTCGGTATGGATTACTTCACTATGGAAAAGAGTGGGTCATTAACACAGCTAGGATTCATCCTGTACATGATCTCGCGAGAATGTGTCTATTTCATCAATCTTCGCCAGGCCTACATGCTATCTCCCTACTACGCCAACCGTCTTTCATCGAGAACAATATTATTCACATGCGTACCGAAGCCGATTTTGGAGGAGAGAAAGCTCAGGAAGCTGTTTGGAGATTCGGTGAAGAATGTCTGGATTCCAAGGGAGACGAAGCAATTAGACCAGCTTGTGAAGGAGAGGGATCAGACAGCAAGTCGACTTGAGAAAGCAGAAATCACGCTGATCAAGACAGCCAACCAAGCATACCAAAAGGCTCTCAAGAATGGGCATCCCGATATCAGCACCGAGCGACATTCCCAAGATTCACAGTCCAAAGATTCGCAGTCCAAAGAGCTGGATTCAAGTGTTACATCAACAACATATGTCAATTCTCCACGACAGTCGATTCCTAATAACGAGACAGACCAGATCACGTCTATCCCATCGCCGTCCTCACCGCGGTCGTTTCTACGTATCGATGGCACACCAGGCAAGTACACTAGCTATGGGCCCAACGGTCCTCCAGATGTCAACGGATCTGTTGCTGCGCAATGGATACCGCACAGCTGGCGACCAGTCCACCGGCCGCTAGCAAACTTCGGCAGAAGGGTTGACACTATCAAATGGAGCCGAAATCAACTCAAAGAACTTGCTCCGAAGATAAGCAAGCTGCGGCGTGAGCACAAGAAGGGGAAGACTACACCTATCGCGGCTGCATTCATCGAGTTCGATTCCCAGATCAATGCTCAAAGTGCGTACCAAACTCTAGCTCACCACCGGGCAAATCACATGGTGCCGGATGTCGTTGGTATTCGACCTCACGAGATCGTTTGGGACGCTTTGCGAATGCACTGGTGGGAGCGGATCATCCGAAGATTCTTGGTCCAGGGCTTCATTGCAACGATGGTCATTTTCTGGTCTATTCCTGCGGCGCTGATCGGAATCGTCTCCAATGTCAAGTTCCTCACTTCTAAGGTCTTTTTCCTCCATTGGATTATAGACCTCCCTAGCGAGCTCCTCGGCCTGATTGAAGGTCTTGTTCCTGCTCTCGCGCTCTCTGCGTTGATGGCGTGCGTACCTTACTTGATGAGATGTATTTCCCCCGTCCCTATGTCTTGGTCTCACTGACATATATAGGGTGCGCTCGACAAGCAGGAGTTCCCACGCTCTCCAAGATAGAGCTCTTCACTCAGAATTCATACTTCGTCTTTGAAGTGGTCCAAGTATTCCTCGTCACAACTCTCACATCTGCCGCCTCTGCCGCCTTCACCCAAATTCTTGAAAACCCTATGGTGGCGCGTACGTTACTCTCTCAAAACCTCCCCAAAGCATCCAACTTCTACATATCATATTTCATCCTGCAAGGATTGGCTATGAGCGCAACTAGGATTGTGCATGTAGGTAGTTTGTGGAGGCATCATGTCATGGGCTACACGGGCACTCCGAGATTCCTCTCGCGGCGTTATCATCGTCTGCGCGTCATTCATTGGGGTGCTGTATATCCAGTTTTCACGAACATGGGTGTTATTGGTATGAACAAACCCTCTTGTGTTAGGCGTCTGCTGACTTCACCAGCAATCTCTTACTCCCTCATCGCACCTATAATCCTCGGCGTGGCCTTCATCGGTCTCAACGTCGTCTACGTGAGCTACCGATATAACCTCCTATACGTGTATTCCTCTGAAGTCGACACGCGCGGTCTCCACTACCCGCGCGCACTCACCCAGACGCTCACCGGCGTCTACCTCGCTGAAGTCTGCATGGTCGGGCTCTTCGGCCTACGTTCGGCCTTCGGGCCTCTAATCCTAATGATCGGCCTCATAATATTCACAGCTCTAATCCACGTCTCCCTGAACGATGCACTTAATCCTCTCCTCAACAACCTCCCTCGTACCCTAGCGGTCGAAGAAGAGCTCCGTCGCTCGGGTCACGCCGGCCTCGAAAATCTCTCCGACAAAGAAGACGACTTTGATGTCGAAGACCCTGATTTCCAAAACCCATACGACTCTGATTTCGACCCCTCCCAGCCAAACGACGCCGCCGCAGTGCACCACGATCCTAATCCAGGTACCCGTGGGATTCGTATGACCGAGGGGACCGACCAGTTGGCGACACTCACGCTCACTGGGCTAAAGACATTCGTGCGCGCCAAGTACCGCAAATCCCGCATCCCGGGCTACATCTCCAAAGTCGACTTCTGGTCGTACTGGATCACACCCGATCCTTCCATCGAGAAGCCGAACTTCCTCCTCAAATGGCTTCACCCCGAAATCTTCGCCGACTACGCCATCGTGCGTGAAAGCATCCCCGAGTATCCTGACATCGTCTACGAGCCGGGCTCTACCAAAGACGCCTATCATCCGCCCAGCGTGCGCTCGAAGCCGCCCACCCTCTGGATCCCCCGGGATGTCGCGGGCGTGAGTGCGCAGGAGGTGAGGCATTCCGGCGCGGTCATCGCGATTAGTGACGAGGGCGCCTGGATCGATGAGAAGAACCGCCTGACGCTCGATATCGAGTCGGATCGGAGGGAGCCGTGGGAGAAAGTGCGGTACTAGGTAATAATAATAAATATTATGCTCCCCTGAATTACGATTATGAGGAGATGTCATGTATGTTACATGTAGATCATAGTTATAAGATACCACTGTTTTTTGTTCCACCTCACTACCTGAATTAATCACTTGGAACAAACACTTTTCCTTAACATCACGGGAGGAAGAAACAACCCCAAATCAAATCCTCCTCTCTCTCCCAGCTCGCGACTCCTTTCAGCAACACCTCATCCTCCCTCCTATCTCCTCCCCCTCCCGCAATCCGCTCCTTTATTGGCTTGATAAGAAAAGTCTCTTCTTACAAAGCAAAAGTCGCACGCACATCGAATAATAAATCAATCAATCAATTAGATACATACATACATACATAAGCGCATGCATAGACGCATGTATGCATGCATAGCACTACTACTACTATACTACCTGTTGTTATGCGGCCCACGGATCAACGCCCGAGTCACTGCAGATCGACAAGGGGCGGGACGCGGAACGTACCTATCGCTGGCCTGGCCTGTTATGTTGATCCTGTGACATGTATATTATACGGAGTAGACATAACATGAATATGTATATATACATGTTGTATGTATATGTTGTATGTTTGATAGCTGTATGGAAGAGAGTGGACGGAGTCTGGGATAGAGGATTGGAATTGGGGACAGGTGTGGTTGAGGGGGGTGAGACGGGCTTGAACATGCATGGATGGATGGGGGGAAGGGGAGGGTTCTGGACTTTGGAGTTGGAACGAGAGATGTCCATCCTACGGGAAAGGAAAGTAACATATATATATATATATATACTCGAGGTTGCAAGCATAGCGAAATAACGGCGACGAGATTGTTATAGAGGAAGGAGAAAACCCATGGTCGATTAGGTTCGGGACTGCGGATACCTCCCTGTAGTTACTAACCAAGTATTCTGTATGTACGGTACGGAACATGTATAAACAGAATATTGGCGAATTTGGCGTTCCTCATCCGATCATTGTCGGTTCACATGGGCCCAACCCTTGAAGATCATCGCTCGAGTCCCTGTCAGAACCTCGAGTGGCGTCCACAGCTCGCCGCTTCGCCTATCTCTACTCTCTCCGGGACAACTCATGAACCCAGTGCAAGGCGTTGGGAATCCCTTCTTCCAGCCAGCCATGGACGATATGTGGTGGACCAGTGGTAGAGCGGTCTGTCGCGGCCTATAAGTATCAGTGTGCTCTTATGAATGATCGCTGCTGTGGTTGTTTGCTGCTCTCAAGGACAAGTAGTACTAAGTGAAATTGAAGCTCTGCTTTCATCCCGATTTCAAGACATCTGAGACCACGATAAGCTCTGATCGATCCCTGTCTTCCCATGGTCATGACTCCCGCAGAGGAACCTTAGTGACGCCTCGTAGGGAGTGCAGGAGGACTTTGAGACCAGCTGAAAGAAGCTGAAAGAAGGGTCAGATCTGGTCTCATCTTTGTGCCACGCTTGAAATACCTCTCCCTATCTCTCATGCCAGTGCTGAATCATACGAAACACACGTTTTAAGCCAGGCGATTGACTCTTCGCCAGCATGAAGAGGGTCACCGCGTTCTTGGCTCTAGCATCCGTCCTCTCAGGTACCAACGCCTACTGGAAAGGCTTCAATATAAAATCCTACCAAGCCGACGGCACAACCTGCAAAACCGCGTCGGACTGGGCGAATGCCTTCCACACCCTCACCACGCTCCCGAACAAGATCAACTCTGCCCGGCTCTACTATTCCTCCGCCTGCGACACTCTCACCAACGCCGTCCCCGCCGCCATCAGCGCAGGCCTCTTCCTCCTCGTCGGCGTCAACCCGGAATCGCAGTTCGAGGAGGAGAAAGCCGCGCTGCAAGCCGCGGTCCAGAGGCATGGCTGGGACTGGATCGTCAGCGTCAGCGTCGGCAGCGAGGATCTATACCGCGGGACCACGAACGCCACCACTCTGGCGCGACAGATCAACGAGGTGCGGGACGTGCTGAGCAGCATCTCCGGCTACAGCCCCAGCATCAAAGTCGGGCACGTCGACACCACCAATGCGTGGACCAACCGCAGCAACGCGGCGGTGATCCAAGCCTGCGACTTCGTCGGCACCGACATCTACCCGTACTTCCAGGACCTGCAGAACAACAGCATCGAGAACGCCGACGACCTCTTCTGGAACGGCGTCAAGGAGGTCAGAGAAGCCGTCGCGGACGCCGGACGCGATACTTCGGTCTGGGTCACCGAGTCGGGCTGGCCGGTTAATGGGACGACGAAGAATCTGGCGGTTGCGGACACGAAGAACGCCAAGAGCTATTGGAAGAGCACGGCATGTTCGGCCTTCCAGCAGATCAATGTCTTCTGGTTCACCCTGCAGGATTGGAGTGCTTATCCGTCGTTCGCGGTGCTGGATCCGGACTCTAATTGGGAGTTCGATCTGAGCTGTTGATGTTCATGCTGGGAGGCGTAATAGATAGATGGATGGGATGTACAATATCTCATATTGAGTATAGAAAGGAGTGATTGGAGTCAATCCTTCCTTACCATAGAAAAGGGATCAGTCCCAGCACGTGACGAGGAGGAAACTCGACGTCGAGGGAAGTACCTCAAAGAACGAAGCAGAGCTGGGTTTAGATATACTCTCATATAACACAATTTCAATACCTGGATGGAATGATAAAGATACTTACAACACGCATTCATATTATATGTGTCAAGGATAAGTAGCAGGAAACAGACAAGACAAGGCAAGAAACCGAGGGCGGTGCAAACAGAGCAAACACCACGCAAGTTAGTTTTTAACCTAATCCGGGCAACATTTCCCCCTTTCTCGTTATCATGAATCTCAACAGTCTTTCAGGTCGAGGAACACTCCATCGAGGGTCCGTCAGCTGTATTACTCAATGTCTCCCAGGCCTCAAGGGGAGAAGCCGAGCTCCAAGCGCTTTTCCGCGTCGCAATAGGCCAAGGTTTGTGAAGAGAGGCCCGCAAGAGCCCGTTGCTACTCCAAAACCCCCCTCTATCGAGACATATCTTGGTCGAATAATCCACTTCACCCCAACTTCCAATGCCCATCCGGGTCAGCCGTGTTGAAAACATGTCTCCGGGACTCTGCGAATTCGGAGTCTAGCCAGAGACCCGAGTTTCGAGGCCCAAAGCAGCAATACAGTCCAGTGATAGCTATGCGGCTCTGTCCGGACCCCTCGCCCAAGGGATGTGTTGCTGTAGTGGGGTAAGTCAACTTCTTGCGTGCTGATGGAGGGGTCTTCTATAAAAGAGTAGGTTTGCTGTGCGGTTGGACAAAGTGAGCCAATATTTCCAGATCTACATTCCATACCTACTTGCCAGTAGACATCCATTGGATCTTCATCCTCACGAAGAGCTTCCTGCATATCAAAGGTGCGCGGATACATATATACACATATCCAACTGCTCCCCTCTCCTCCCCCAGATCTTCCCAACCCTCAATTGCCTCCTAGCTAACAATGGGTTCCCTCCTCAGCAAAACCAAATCCTCCTCCAGCCCTCCCCCCGAAAAGAAACCCAGCAGCACCATGGCCCCTATCGCCTTCTCCCACTTCGCCGGCGCCCAGACGTCCTTCAAGCCGCCTCTCATCGCCAACGAGAACGCCTTCCTCGGCGACGTCGTGACCTCGGAGCCCAACGACCCCGTCGCCCCCGTCGCCGCCGGCTTCTACCGTCTCGAGAAGGGCACGCCGCTCGTCTACGACTACACCTACCACGAGATGAAGATCATCGTCGACGGCGAGTTCGACATTGCCGATGAGACGGGCCAGAAGGTGCACGCTGTCAAGGGCGACGTTTTCTATTGTGAGTTTTGAACAGAACATCACCCGCATGAATCAATACAGGCTAGTCAGTTGCTGATATATACCTACGCAAACAGTCCCCAAGGGGAGCAAGATCACTTTCACAACCGAGTCTTTCGGACTGGGTTTCTTCGTGGGTCAAAGAAAGGTATGTCAATTCCTAGATGCTGCTGCGGAGGAATATCCACTAAGACCTGTTATCTATCAGTCGGGAGAAGCGTAGGGAAAGACGAGTAGAAAAAAGAAAAAAGAATCAATGGGTTGGAATTACGCTGTATCTACATGAATAATGAAGAACATGGGATTTTTCATCCGGTACACGCATTGCCATTATTGTTGCCCACTTGCGAAGTTGCTGTTGTTTCATTCATCTCGAGGTCGCAACCATACCTTAATGCTCTACCCCGCTCCTCGAATGATTGATTCCCTACTATCCATTTTCCAATGTCCAAAACCCCCCATTCCCCCACGATCCCTACCTTATTTCGCCCTCTTACAATCTGTCGCCTACCTACCTACCTAGGTACCTTCCATAATCCCTAATCACCAATTTTTCGTCCCTTTTTCCCTTCTCCTCATTTTCTTACTGGCATTCGCTTATTTATTGCTTCTCTGGGATGAAATGATAGGCGGGATCGAGGGGGGGGTGGAGGGGTTGTTTAGATGATATTCGTCATGAGGTTCCTATTTTCTATTTTACTATGAACGAAAGGCTATAGGTAGGTAGGTAGGTACGTCTTATATAGATGATCTCCATGGTGATAGGTTTATAAAGGGTTTCTAGGTATGTATATAAGCTAGTTCGTTTATTTCAGTATATATTCAAAACGAGGGGAGGACTTGAAGTAAATACTGACTTAAAATGAAAAGGGGGGTGAGGGTTCATGATCACCGTTCCAAGAGAAACAAACACGTCAAATCTACAGATACTTCCTACACTCTATATTAAATCCATCAATCCATCCATTGGGTATCATCATCACCTAATAAATTCCCCAACGCCGACTCGGCGCCTCTACGTCTCTTAGACCTGACTTGACTGACCTATACAAATATCCCTAGCTCCCTCCCTATCCATATTCATAACCCGACAAACAAGAGAACCCATCACATCACACATCAAGTCAATTAATCAATCATCATCATTAACACCGTCACCATATGTGTCATCATTATCATCCTCCCACTGGAACACCTTCTCTTCGCTAAGTCGCAGCTTCACGAACGTGTTGTCCGGCCGAAGCATAGCGTTCATGTGTGGCGCCATGGCCACCATGCCTCCCAGCCGCGTCGCTTTCAGGTGGCATAACTGCGTACCTGCCATCCACCACACGAAGCTCGAAACGTACTTCTCGGGGAATGACGCGAAGGCGACAGAGGCCCGGAGGAGCGCCCACCGCGATAGTTCGGGATTGCCGTGCCAGCTCTCGAGGAGCGTTCGTGTCAGCGTCGTATCGTTCGCTGGCTGGATCGCCTGGAAGAGCTCGTAGCATTCCATGAGTACGGGGGTAAAGATGGACTTCTTTTCCTCGTTCTTGGACCCGGCGAGTTTCCTGTTCCAGATTGCTTTCACGCTTTCGATATCCGCTTTTAGTTTGCTCAAGATGGATGACCATTCGGGATTCTCCAGAGCTTCACGGTGGGCCCATCCTGAGTAAAGCGTGAGATCATTGTCCCAGTATGAAGTCTTCTGCATGCTTTTGTAAAAGTCGGTCCGGGCCCTCTCAATCGTCCGGTCAGCGACGTACATCAGTCGGTCGATGATATGTGTGGCCTTCGGATCTAGCTCGCCCTTTTTATATAGGGGTACCATCCGTGGCGCTCCTCTAAGAGCCTCCTTTCTGAACCTATCCCAGTCATCCTGGGTAAAGACGTAGCCCTGCTTTGCCTGATCGACCAGTAAACTCAGCAGGGTGCTCAAGTATACAGCGTCCATCGAGTTCACTTTCTTTTGCGTATAGCATAGTTCTTCCTTGTAATTGGTACAGATGCCTAGCATACTCTGCTCAAGGTTGAAGTCGAAACATCGTTTAAGGAAAGTCGTGGTCGGATCTACCGCATCTTTGACTAGCTCCTCGTATGTAGTTGTATCTTTGGAAATATAGCCTTCCTTGACCAAGTCCGGAAATTTGGGAACCCTGGAATTCTCGAAATTCTCTACGATTGACGGCTCCCAGCATATCAAGGCCTGATCACCGTCATAGTCACCGCCTGAAAGCTTGGCGGCAAGGGAAGGATTGCCCTTTGTCGAGAACACAATAACATCCTTGAGACCCATCAGCTCAAACTTCACAACAGCCCTCACCCTCTGAACATCGCTAGGGTAGTGGGCTGGTGATCTCGTTACAATAACGTCTATATCTTTGAGAGGCAGACCTGATAATGGCGACATATCGTCTACAAAACTTTCCGAGAAGTGGATGTATACTTCGTCAGGCTCCAGCACCCCGGCGAAATCTGGGACCATAAAGGCGTAAGCTGAACGCGGGACCGGTATGTTCAGACGTTTCTTTAGCTCATCGCATTTCTGGGTATAATGTTGTCGAGACAGCTCTTCTAGATAGGTGAGCTTCATCGGATCGAATCCGGCGTCCAGAAACATATTTAATTTCTCTTCGAGTGATACTGGCAAGGACGCTTTGTACTGAACCATCCCGTGCTTGACTCTGTCTGTAAGACCTGGGTTTGTCTCCCGAATCCATTTCCTGAAGGATTGTGGATTCTCCATCGCTACTCGCTGTGATTTGATCTCTTCCATGAGACCGTCCTCCAGTAGTTTCGAGATGGCATCCACCATCCTTGGTTTTGACTTGGCTCTATCAATAAGGATTGGTAGTAGTTGGGCATTGAGGTCTGCAGATTTGAGCTTCCCAGAAAATTTGTTGACCTCAAACGTTCGATGGGCCGGGTCATTGTAATTCCAATCGTCGAGCGTGCCTTTGCGGGTCCACTTTAGCTGAGATTCATATATCTCAATCCACTCCTCGGATGCGTGGTCGGTTGACGGATCAATACTCCAAAACCCCTTAGCACCTCCGATCCGAGCCTGAAAACCGCTTGGTAAATAGGAAAGGCCTAAGGTCTTCACGATCTTCGAAGCCAAGGTCAACGACATGCGGCCAGCCCCATCGGTCATGACTTCGCCGTTACACAGCAAGTCCTTTTTATACCTGATTTGTGATCGGTTCAACACTACTGTTGGTGTATTCCTCGATAACGCTGGCGTAATTATAAGCAGTTATTGGCATGGTGAAGAAAAGATTGACATACCCAAAGGAGTGCGAGCGTAGAGTTTGTACGCGCTCTGTTTCCTATTCTCCCAAGTCGGTCGCAGCCAGTTGAGCATTGCCTCTACCGACATCCTACTCCGGGTATCAACCGTTTCAGACTCCTCGGAGATGCCACAAGCAGTCTTTTCGCAGAAATTGTGTCCGTCAACAGCAAAGAAATAAGCACGGTGTGCTACCCCAACATCGAGATCATTTTGCTGCTCCATTCCCAGCTTGCGCTCTTTGCCTTCTTTCCGTTTCGTACAGAATGGCATCCATACTCTTCCTAGGATATGGTGCATCTTTTCAAAAAACCAGTCGATAATGATTGACTTGCCGTTTGGGCAATCCTGGAGTACCTTTGGGAGTCGTCTCCCGACCAAATTTGGTATATCGAGCTCAAGGAATCTATCATTTCCAAAACGCCGTCTTAGGCGATAGGTACGTTCGAGCCTAAGAGGCTCCAGTTGGAACCGAAAAAGGGGCCCATTTGAGGACCCCTCATGATAGCGGAGGGAGCCCAACATTGCAACGCCCCGGGAGCCACGACGAAACTCATCCTGACAGGCTGCCCATGCTTCTCTCGACGACCGTTCGGGAAACACCATGCCTTTCAAGGCTGGCAAGCGTCTCAAGAATGCCCACAATGAATCATAATTCTCCCAATTCGGGGACGCGGGAAGTGTAAGCCCGGTGAGAGGAGCACCGGTATGCAGATACACACGAAGAATCTCATATCGCACGTGGAGAGGGGTAGACAATAAACACGACGGCATTTCCGCTATATCTGCGGTCAACATCGCGTGCAAAAGACTGGATGCGACTAAAGAAATGCCCGAAAAGAGAGATGGACTTACGGAATATAATTTCAAGACATCGGCGCAGATTGTCTTCTTTTGAGGAGCCGCTTATAGGACCCAATGCCCCATCACTCCGGCGGCTAGACTCGTTCAAATTCCGTGATAGGTCTTCGTCAACCTCAGTTCTGATAGTCGCAGCCTCCAACGCATCAGCATTGTCCTCCTTGAAGGAATCGGCAACAGCAGCGAGGGCTTCATCGAAACTACTACCAGCTTCATACTCAGAGCTGTGACTGTTATTCTGAGCAACTGGTTCTCCTGTATCTAGCAAGCGGGACAACTGAACCTCGTCATCGGGGACTGTAGTCTGGGAGAGGAAGACAGGCATCGATCCACGGCTATTGCTCACAGAGCACCGATCCCACACGCTTGATACATCCGAGACGAAACTTGTGTTGGCACTCTTGAAACTCCTCTGGTCTTTGGAGGACGCATTTCCTCTGTCGGAAGATAACGCTCGAGCAGAGAAGTTCAGCGTTTGTTGAGTGGCCGGTTTTGGACCTCTCTTGAAAGGATTAGGACCATCATGAAAACCCTCCGCTGCGCGTTTCAGGGAGTTCTTTCGCCCGCTCGATGGGAGCTTGCTGGGTATAGGCGTATCATCAATTCGAGAGCCATGTAGGGGATCTGGCCCTCCAAAAGAGGACCAGGTAGGCGTCTGTCGCTGCGACAAGGGAGTTCCGCGCTCTTGATTCTTGACCTGATCGTATTCGCGACTGACTATTTCGCGAAAGAGCAATTGTAACTCGAGACGCTCCCTGTCAGAGACCGGATGAGGTTTATGCCTTGTCCTCTCTGGAACGGTTCCTCTCTCTCCTTTGGGTTTATGAACCCACCGGCTGTATACGATGTCGGCCTGATGGCTGAAATCCCTAACGACCGGATCAATGGCGTTCTTGAAAGTTAGATACTTGATCTTAAATACACATTCTTCCTCCAGTGTCCTTTCCCTCCGACTCGGGGTGCCATTAGGTTTGGGGACCTCAAAACGGAGGTCCCACTCACGCGACAGGCTGGAGACTACGGCATTAATTTTAAGGTCGATATCCTCTTGCCGCGGTCTTCTTGGCGTTGACGGTGCCTGCGTGATCATCGTGAGCGTATTTCCTTCTCTTTCCCACCCTGCCCATTTCTTGCCCTTCTTAGTTATGTAGCCCGAGCAATCGCAGATATCGAGGGGTCAATTGTAATCAGCAGAGGCCGTGTGGTGGCGCATGAGTGTGAGGAGCAGAGTCGCAAGGTAGAGAGGATATGTACACTTATCGGGGGTGGAAGTCGTGGAGGGGGATAGATAATGGAGGTGTATCTGCCAATTGGTGAGTAGGCATTTCGAGCAGATAAGGGGTTGACGAGACGAACGGTGATGTCTCAGACGGAGTCGCGGGGTTCAGAATTGGATGCGAGGCGGGGTAAGGTAATCGATGCGCGCAAAGCTAGAGATCAGACGGGAGCAATGGTAGAAGTCTCAAAATGAGGTTGCCAATGGATTCTCAGCGCGGGGAGGGAATTGAGGCTCTCGGCAGACGACTGCAGTAGGAAGGGTAGTCGGAGGGGAGGGTGCTCGTGGGAGACGCGCGCAGATGGCAGAAAGCGGAATTCAAAAAGAAAGATACAGCAATGGTAGAGCTGTTTAGGAGCAATTGGCAGAGGCAGAGAGCGAGGAGCGAGGAAGGGGGTGAGAGTCTTATCAAAGGAGTGCGAGGTTGCTGGAGGTGAAGTGAAGTGAAGTGAAGATGGAAATGGAAGATGCTGCTTTTCTGATCTCGACTCGGGAAGCGCTGCGGCCCGCAGCCGAGTAGCGTGGCCGGGGAATTTCCTATTTTCCTAACGTTTCGCACGGTCTCCTGCACGGCACTCGGGATTATATCATACGAAAAACCAAGGGTTTCTTGCAATCTCCCATGGTCACACACGTCTTCTAAAAGAGAAGAGAGCTCTAATACGAGGGAAAATGTGATGGAGAAGCACAAGGCCCGAAGAAGGAAGTCCTTCTACCTCTCCCCAGGAATCCTGGAAGCTGCCGTCTTGCTATGCTCAGGATGGCGCTTTTCTTTCCTTTTTCTGTCCTTTTTCTTTCCTTTTTCTTCCCCCTTGCATACAAACCCATGGCCTCTTTACCATTCGCTCGAGTACGAGGTAGAATACACACGAGACAGAAGAAAGAGGGTGTAGTTGCTCGACATGTCTTGAATACGTTGTTTTCCCTGTTTGCTCCTTTTCAGGCACATGCTTTCTATCGCATCTCTTTTCAGATGAGAGGTTCTTCTCGACATGCTTTTCTGCTACTTTCGTCCCTCTCGAAGTCCTTCACCCTCCAAGAACTTTTGACAACCCCCTAATTGACGAGTGCTTTATGAGGAAATCTCAGATTACCGCACAAGCCTGGCATCATACATACAACAGCCATTGTCTTGTTCATCCAACTTACCACAATCAGCCCATTATGCTTACCTATCTCACGATTTTCCCAGCCTCCCATACACAACCACCAAACACCAAACACACACACTTCCCTCTGAAGACACAAATCACGCATCACAAAAGAAAAAGAAATTCTCATCCGACCCCTCCAACGTCGCCGTCGCCGTGCCCAGCACCGCCGAACCTGTCGCCGTCGTCCCTACCGTCACCACCACGACCGAACCGCTCGTTTCCGTACTCGTGCTCGTAACGACCACTTCGCTCGGCGTCGTACTCGTCCCTCCACTCGCACTCGCAGGCTCACTCGAAGTCGAATTCGCGTTCGCTCCCGACGCTATACTCGTGCCTCCCGCCGCAATACAAGAACCTATGCACCCCATACATTAGCCTTCTGCACACAACCCCCCTCATGCCAGGCCTTCCAGGTAAAATAAAACAAAACAAGATAAAGACCCGAGATAACCCACTCTGCTGCGCATCACACTCAGCGACCGTCGTCCCTCCTCCTCCTCCCTCCGCCGACGTCTTCGAGTTCGCGAGCCGCGCACACGTATTATGCTGATTATTACAACTGCGCGTCACGGCATCGCTCAGATCCGTGAACGTCGACCCGTCGACTGCGAATGGCTCCCGCGTATCCCCCGTGCGCGTGATGGGGTCCGCGGCCCCGCCGAGGGTGCCTGTGAATGTCTGATGATTTGGGTATGAGCTTCTTTCTCTCTCTCTATCCCCCTGGGAAAAGAAAATAAAAAAAAGAACAAGCAGAAGCAGAAGCCAAAAACAAAAAACAAACCTGCAAATTCTCACTCCCCGCCTGCCGTGCCAACACCCCTATCCTCTCTATCTGCATCCCCATCTCCAGCCCTGCGAACCCTTCGCGGGCAGCTACACACAGCAGCATAAACGTCTCCATCAAACTCGCGATCATCGCGATCCGAATAATCATTTTCTTATATCTCCTTTTCTCTTCTTATTAATTAAGGCACCAAGACGGACAACAATCTTATCGTATCGTCTTAGAGAGGAAAAAGAAAGCTAAAGCAAAAGAGCCGGAAGGATCTTTCAATGAAAATAAGAATAAGAATAAGAATAAGACAAAAAAATACCAAAATCACCTCTGTATAGGCGCGAAGAAATCGTTGGACAGACCGAGGCGCCGTGCTGAAACGACGTGCACAGGGATGCGAAACGGTGCTGCGACGCATTCCATCTGGGTTGGGTGCGGCATCTCATCTCAAGACATGAATAATACTAATACATAGGTAGGTAAGGCAAGGTAAGGTATACAAAATACACTTTTATTTTCTTCTCTCTTCTCTCTCTTCTCTTCTAAGCAAAAATACACGTACACACATACAGACATACATACAGACAGATACAAATTCGGAGAGAGCGTCGTGGTGCAGGGACGGGAAAGAAACCCAGCACGTGTAATGATTCAGGGACATGAAATGTCAAGTCAACAAATAGGATGCGACGCTTGGGTCGTGTAGAAACAACAAGAACGCTGACTCCATTTGATGCGTGAGTGTTGAGCCCAGATCCGTGGGTGGTGAGGAATTGGGCTGTCTAAATTACAATCGAGTAATGCGGGCCCCTCGCGCCAACACTGGGCTAGGACGACGGGTTTAGGAGAGATAGGAGAAGTTAAAAAAAAAAAAAACAGACAACACCAGTTCTCTAATGCCAATTCCTTCCACCCCCTACCTGTAACGATGAAAGAGTGTGATAGCGCGGTCGTGATACGCTGAGTAACAAACGAAAGAAATCCCAAGCCCAATGATGACTCCGCCGTGTTCCTTCCAGGGACAGCTTCAAATTAGAAGTTTGATGAGGCATTGACCTGCATGGAGGGGTTGTGGTAATTCTCCAGCGTGCTCTGGAACGGGTTCGGGGAGGAGCCTCCACCGACTGAGTTCGTCTTCTCAGGTCCTCCGCTGCCTCTGCGGAAGCCCATCAACCCATCACTCTCATCCTCGGTCCTCTTGCGTCCCCATATCCTCCAGGCGACGATCGAGAGACCGGCGAGGATGATGGCTCCGCCAACTCCTACGACGACACCAATGATGGTGTTCCTGGTCTTCGAGCTCATGCCGCTCGATGATGACGAGCCATTGTTGGAAAGAGAGGCCGGGTTGGTTATCACAGATGTGCTTGTGGAGCTAACCTTTGATGCAGTCGTGTATATGCTACCGCCCTTGGTCACAACCACCGAGGTAGTGATAACTTGCACGCTCTGAGTCGTCACTGGGGTAAACGAAGACGAGGTCGTATGGGTGCTGCTTTGGCTGTGGCTGGTCGAAGTGGCCGAGGATGATTTCAAGGTCGATGAGGGAGATGGGGAGGCGGAAGAGGAAGGAGCGTGGGATGAGGAGGCGGAAGAGGATGTGGGGAGGGGGGAAGAAGAGGTCGGTGGTGCCGAGGACGACGCTTCCGACGAGGAGGCGGGGGCAGAGGAGCTGGATGATGTTTGAGGAGCAATCGAGCTGGAAGAGACGACAGTGGACGATGGAGCTGCCGATTCGGTCGAGCTCGGGGCACTGGAGGAAGAAGTTGAGGAGGGCTCGGACGAGGAGGTAGTCGAGGGAGCTGCACTGCTGCTGCTGTCTGCTGCTGTCGACGAGGGGGCCGCGCTTGACACTGAAGTGTCAATCTGCGAGAGGATGAGACTGTTGTCATCTGTCGGCGCGCTGCTTTCCCGGCGAGCGGCGAGTTGACCTTCGGGCCATGTTGCTTGAGCGACAGTAAGGAGGGCCAGGAGGGCTACCAGGCGTGTCTGCGGGCGGGAGAGCATGACGGCGACGGAGGGGGAGACGAAGGGAGGAAGGGAAAGGTTCGATAGAAGAGATGGACGCCGCCTGTGGTGTTGTTGTTGTTGATGGCCTCCCTCGTATAGGATTGCTTGTCTTCGTGCGGCGTGCTTGGGAGGGATTCGGATTCGGATACGAGGCTAAGCCAGGGGTTGAGTGTTTGGAAAAAAGAGGGAGGGAAAAAAAAGGGGGAGAAGAAGAAGAGAAAGAGAAGAGAACGAGCGAAGGAGAAGATAGACGAAGTAGGACTGTAGCCAGGAGCCAGTAGTCGTTGGGGGTTTGATGGAAAAGATGGAGGATGACAACAATGAATGGATGGAGAGGGATCGGAGGTTCGAAGGGTCGACCACTAAGCCGTTTCACTGGCGAGGAGTTCGCCTGTGAAATTTTACGCACAATTCAGATGCAACGGCTGTTCGGGACCTGACACCAAGATGGACCAAAATGGAGCCAACGCGCGTAGCGTCACGCCGTCAGGGCCCTGCATAACTGCATAATCGCCCATCGCTGCTCCTGATTGGCTCGAACCCCTGTCTGGCTCCGGGTTCGTCTGATATTTCCAACCCAGGCACCCCTATGGGCACCCCCGCGTCTCCCCTTTTCTGCCCTTTTTTGCCCTTTTTTTTGCCCTTTTTTTCCTGCCCTTTTTGCTCCCGACGATGGATCGCCAGTCGGACACGAGAAGCACCGTAACGTTGCCACATGGACATGCTCTGTAAATAATACCAACCATCCTCCTTCCTCTCCACTCATTAATCTATGTATTACCACCCGTCCTGCCCCTTTCATTCTGGTCCCCGCTATGCCGAAGCTTACCTATTTATCCAACCGCACGGGGTAGACACCAAACCCGTTGCAAGTACTTCAAGCAATCATCCGAAGCTATACTTTGATTCCGCAGTACCGCCATGCAGCACGCCATGTCTATCTAGATTCTACCGGTGCCGCTGGTCCTTGTCCCGAGCCATGTGCATCGTGGCTGCGGACCCCACTGCCCTACCACCGTACGCCCAATCCTACAAAGTCCGCTCCCCAGTTGACCAGCCCCTCCCCACCATACGCATTCCCCACAACCACAACATTCTCACCCTCCACCCATCCGTCAACGAGGACCTCAAATGTCCCCGTATCCTGCCATCCCAGGCCCGGGCTGAAGAGCTCGCTGCTCCGCCCACTGAGAGGCACCTCGATCCGTGTCGTCACATCATTCACCCTGATGGTCATGTTCCGCGTGTTAGTGCCCGTGGTCCATGAGGTGGAGAATGCAATGTCGTTGTTGCAGAAATACACCTCGACCAGTTTCCGCCCGGACGTCGAAGACGGAGCCGTGATCGAGAGAGATGCCGACCCCGCTGGCGAGAGGTTGGAGATCTTGGATCCGACGGGTTGGCAGAGACCCGTGTAGCATTCGACATGGCTTGCATTTCCAACCAGAGCAAATGACGTGGAAGGATAGAATGATGGCGGGGGCGGCGTGATGCGTAGGGATGTTGGTGGAACTGGTGAGTCTATGGAGATGGTATTGTTATCTCCTGCTCGGAGTGTGATATGCGGAATTGAGAGCGTCTTGCCGGAGGCGGGAAGCGTGTACGGTATGTTGCCAATAGCGACAGTGGCGGCTTTCGGCTGGGGCTCAAAGGAAAGTGTAGCAGTATAGTTGGAGCTAGATGTGATCCCATATACTTGGGAGAAAGTTGTAGTTTGCCTGTGGGGTTCAGTGGGGGTTCGAATGTTTGTACAGGACGGGCTCACCTCATCGTAGTTGAGTCTCGGCCATCATATGAATCTGCCACGGTGGTATCCCACAGCTCCAACAATATCGTACCGTGCGATTCCACCGGGGCCGTGTATGAAGTGAGAACGTTCTTAACAGTCACCTCGTTCCAGATATCTCTTACGAGTCCCGCCTTCTGGAGCCCAACATCTGGCAAGTCCAGCGTCAAAGTCCTTGCCTCATCCTTCAAGTTGATTACCGCAGCAACAGTTCTCCCGCCACTCAGAGGTCCTGCCCAAACTTCATATCCCTCCTCAGTCCACCTCCTTCTAAAGCTCGCAGCAACGCCCAAGCTATCCTGATTATAGCTGATGACATCCGCGTTCTTCAAAATGTCGAGTGACGCTTGACTGATACTTGTGTAGTTGTCCTTAAGCGCAGCCCCAATAACCAAAGGGCTCTTTATTATTGCCCACAGCGAGAAATGCGTCTGCTCCTCCGGTATCGTGAAAACATTGTTCCCCACCTCTAACATATCTAGGTCCAGCCACCGTCCAGGACCTGCAAACGATGTTTGTGGCACTGCTTGATTCAAAATCCGAGAAATAGTGCGGTAAGATGGAATAATGTCGTTTGTTATGCGCCAGCTATTTCCGACGCCAGGCGCCCAAGCAGAGGGAAAGTCGACACCCCAATCACAGACCTGGAAGAGTATAGGACGGTGGGTAGCAAGGACAGCATTGCTCATATTAGCATACCGGCCGAGGGGGGAGATATCAGGGTCGTAGGCTGCATCGGGATAACCTTGGGCGGCGTCGGAGTAGCAATTGTCGTCTGGGAATGTCAGAAGGCGCAATTTGACACATCGAGGATCTTACATTTGAGTAGATCAGCACCCCATGATGCGAATGTATCCGCATCTATCTGTTCGTGGACTGGAATGGTCAGTGTAATTTTTCGAGATGGAATCCCGCGTACATAGACTTCCAGCTTGTGCTGGCTCTCCTGTCATGCACATTTGAACCCCACCATCCGAGTATACACCAAATCCAAGACCCCTTTCGTGGAGGAAGTCGCCCAGGGCTGGATATCCGCTTGGGAATCGAGCGGGATTCCATGTCAGAGTCCCCTCAGCTGTCCGATTCGGCAGCGTCCATCCGCAATCGACAGTCACAAAATGATAGCCACTCTGTTGCAGTCCAAGGTCAACTACAGCTTGTGCGTTCGAGTGTATGATAGACTCATTCGGAGAGCAGGAGTAGTGATTGTATGAGTTCCATCTGCATCATTTAACATTGGAACAGGAGACAGGAGTAGATAGCATACCCCATGGGTGGTGTAATCGCGAGGCCATTGTTCAAGCGTCGTTCCAGACCTTTCGCAGTACCACCGGCGAAAAGGTAGAGAGAGAGGAGAGAGAGAAAAGTTTGCCTGAGGGGGAGTAACATCGCGAGGGTAAGAAGATTGATTGATCTAGGAATGGGAGAGAAGAAAATCCCTAGGAAATTCTACCTACGACACTTATACATCCTTTGATATCCCATGCGCGCTCCTCACCTGTATAGCGTCCGCGGCCTCGAATTCCTCCATGCGGTTTGTTTTCAGGAAAATTGTCGGCACAATGCCTACGAGGAAGATCTGCGAGCCAAGTCTGGAGACCCCGCATTTTGCACGGACTGGTAGATGCGCCCCAATCAGCGGAGGAAGGAAAAGATGGAGGATCGGCCAAGTCGCGCGTCCAAAGAGAACCAGAAGATATATCCTGGGCAACATATTGCGAGCCCGGGAGTTTGTTGTCTATTCGGGGAAATTGAGGTTGCTAGGATTTGTGGCCGGTTCGATGCTCCAGAGTAACGAGGAACACGAGGGGGTTTTCGCTTCGGCCCGCCTAGTCATGTGAGTGAGTTATCCCACAAGTCCGGCAGAACTGTTCACATGCTTATTTCTATTTCTATTTCTATTTCTAGATTTTATTTCATTTTATTATGTCTTTTGCCTCCTGATGCCAATGTGGGCGTCCTGCGGAGAAAGGCCACACGTTCATCCGATCCGGTCTATCGGTTCGTCAACCCCACCACCCCGCAATTTCGCATCACCGCGAACCAACTTTAAATCCTGGACCTTCAGTAGATGTTATGTCAAATGGGTGCATAGTGCGGCTGTCACAATGCGGCCTCTCTCAACAGCCTAGATAACATCGCGCTGGAGGAAGAAGGTTGCTAATCAAAATCGCCGTCAGAAACCAGATTGTTGAAGCCCGCTGTATCGCCTAACTAGATCCCACTGGCTCGCTCCTCGAACCCTCCACCTTCTCACTCCAAGCAAACAGGAATCTACTTCTTACCGGACCAGTTGCTTCTACTCGATATAACCCCCCATCAAGCATACAAACAACAAAACACGTCCGTCCTCTGATTGTTAGAACGCACGCCTCCGAGAGATACGACGCCTCCAGGAGATATGACGCCACCAAGGACGATCTGTATCTAAAGTCGGGAATTCCGAACAACCCTCTTCTCCTATCTAGCCACACGCCTGGAAAAGAGGCATGCCAATTCTTTCCTACTGAGACATAGCTGATTCAAGTCAGCAGGTTCAAAACTGAAAACGAAAGACGAATGCCCGCCCGGCTAGACCCTGCAGGCCATCATCGACACCCTAGCCTAAGTCCACCACCTGAAAATGTGGAATATATTCCTTTAGAAGAGCAACTCGATTGAAAATACCAGCGAAATTTGCCCAAGATTGCGAGATTGGAGACATGTCTAGTCCGGAAGATACTGACGACATCAACGATAATAATAATGTCGACCCGGTTACTCGTTGGATGATGCAAGGGAATCCTTGGCCTAAGGAATATTTCGAACAAGAAAACGCATTGAATCTACTTCTCGAGAGCAACTCATCATCGTCTTCACTCGACACGAAGTCAGAGACGACTGACGGATTGATAAGAAAAGGCAAGACTACCGCTGCTAGAAGTCGGTTATATGAGATGACCCTTGAACAAGTGGGCATACACATGACTGGTGGACCCGGGGTCACTTCTTCTTGCCAAGATCTCTGCAGGTCTCTGCTTGAGACAGAACAGCCTCTTCCTCCTGATTCTCTATTTCGAGAGGATCGATTCCGCAAGACTTGCGAGAGGCTTCATAACGAAAACGAGGCAAAAATCATCCGAGATATTTCCCCGCTCCTTGTTCCTTCTGTAGAAGTCCTATGTGCTTACGGCGCAGAGTATCTGGAACCTATGGTAGATCACCTAAACCAGAGGTGGTATGGGTGTGAGCCCATCGTACCAGGACCTGTACCCCAGCCCGATTATTCCGCTGGATGCAAAAGGGCCATTTTCACCCAGAGTCAATTTCGGAAGCTGGAACCTTTCATCCAAGGGTGGAAACATACACCTTTTCTGGCTACTCCCTGGATGTATTTTCCGTACCTTACGATGGAAGTATGTCGGGAGCTGCTCGTCGCTGATCGACAAAATGCTCATAGCGCTAGCATTGCTGTCAAACAAGTGGTTGATTTGTACCGTCAGGTTTCTCGACAGCATGAACTCAATCAAAAGATACTAGCGTTTTCGATCTCGCATGACGACGAATCCGTAAGAATCTATGGTCACTATCCCATCATCGACGGAGATCAGACTAGTATCTACCGTCACATTATCAAAAGGTTTGACATGACCGACGATGACGGTAAAGAGAGGTGGACGACTTATAGATTCACAAGGAATGTTTACGATATCTTTGGTCCAATACACATTGAAAGACTCCGGTCAGCTGTTGAGCAACTGCCTGATCCGCTATCTGATCAACATTAGTTACAGTATACGAATACCGTACTTATATGCTAGGCGGACGAAAAAGGGCATCAATTAAATATATTCTACTCCCAGGACTTGCTACAATCGAATTTTCATCCCAGACGTCCCAGGGTTTGCGCAGATCGCCGCTGCTGTGATACAGCAAGTTCACAGCTACGCTAGAAGAACTGGGCTTGTACCTAGTGCCCGAAGCAGAGTGCTTACACATGAATAACAAGCTAGTCGTGTTCTTTTACGTGGACGATACAGCTATGCTCTCGCGGCACAGTGATTACGACAAATACCTATCCTTCCGAAACAAGCTCTTCAACAAATACGAGACGAGATATGGTCATTTACGGTGTTTTTTTTTTAGGTACGCGGTTTATAAGGGATTGATCTTAAACAACATCGAAAATACTGCTCATTCTGACTATCCTGTGAATTCCAGGCGGATTCTGCTTCCAGAGGATTAGGTTAACACAATTGAACACTTCTCAACTTGTACTGGTGAGCTAACAGACACTGCTTTCTTCATGGTCACGTAACCTACGTCCTTCCATATTTAATGACGAAGTAAAGTACGGTAGCACAGCACTTGATATTGCAAATCGAAAAGATATTCACAGCATAACGCTAGTGATAAGGTATATTCTTGGAGCCTTGAAACTTGTAAAGCAGCCGTAGACTGGTAAGCCGAGGCTTCGCTTTGTAATTGCTACGAAGATTGTGGGAAGACTATATAACACAATTGAACAGTAGAAGCAACATAACATGAGACTTGTTATATTTCATATAACAGCTCAACAGGTTATCCCTAACAAGGTTGTCTGCACGAAAACAGAATAGATACGATAGGAAATATGCTGGTTTTATCCTGCGACAGCTTTGGCTCTTCGTCGCCGAACCAATGGCCTGCTGGCCTCGCTTTGGTGAGTAGTCCTTGCCAGCGGTTTCCTTCGTTCATGCATGTTAATCTCTTAATTCGCGCCAAGGTCTCCTTATCTTTCCTCTGCCTTATCTCATGAACTTATCTGGGCTGTATGATGGCCGTACTATCCATTTCGCCGTATTATAGAGATAGGTAGACCATAGCCACAATGTCCCTGGTCGCTGCGGAAGTCAAAAATAGCCTCCGATACTATGACAACCTTCTAGAACCACGCATGCTTCTAGAAGACCAACCCTCAGAAGCTAGGGAGGACACCTACGCCCAGTTGTTGACAATAAATCGTTTGTATATGGCTACAGCCTGGCATCACTGATTATGCTCACCGTCCTAAGCTTCAATATCCTCAAATGACATAGAACTCAACTAACTACGTACAAGTAGTATGCTAGTTTAATCTCATAGGGAGTTGAACATGATTTCCGGGATTTTAAACTCTTTGATAGAATCATAGAACTGAGGTTTATTAACAAAACTACAAAGGCAGAGTGCTGAATCAATATAAGCAGAAGCAGCCGCATTTCCTAATCATCGTGAATCATACAGCTATAATAGAAAAACACAGAAAAACCAAGAACGAAAATTTTTGAAAAGGGTGCTTAAATCTATTGTCAGACCGTCAAAGGAACCCTACAGGAGCCCCTCCTACGATCAGATCGATAATATCTCTTGTAGCGGACGAGATATCGTCGTCGGCGTCGCGAGAGGGGGCCGGAGGCCTAACAAAACAGAGTTTTTACAACACGGAATTACCCCCTTTTTATAACTTTACCGGATTAACAATCGATTCGACACTCCTTTCGACTGTTTTCGAATAGTCAAAACAATACGGATATGACAAGACATACGCGGGTCCTGCCCGGTAGTCGTACGCCGGCGAATCGCGCCCTTAGCAAGACGATACTTTAAAGATTTTCTTATACTCAAAACCGGCGCGACAACAACAACAACGATCCGACGATTCGATTCGACTCGACCCTCCCCTCCTCTTCTTTTTTCCTGCCCTCTCTTAGGCCCGTATAAGTACCGGATACCTGCCCTACCGTTATAGGCTTATATATATTAAAAGGCTAGGGAAATAGTAGCGCGTCGCTCTCGTAACAGCAAGAGCCTATAACAGAGGAGTAATCACTAGCCCGGTTAGTTACCGGGTACGACACGACGGCCCTACTAGAGTACTAATAGTTACGGGCTACTTCGGTAGTATCTCCGGGTCGAAGGCAGAGGATAGGTAGAAAGGAGAGCCGGCACTTAGTTAGGGAGGAGAATAGAGGTAAGGAGGAGGGAGGGGCCGAATAGGACAGGACGTACTACCGGGAGGGACCCGGGACACGTATCTATAGGCTTATGAGTTAGAGATATAGTCTAAATAGAAGTAGTATTACGACGCGGTACAGGACTGCCTCCGGGTAGGGGCTACTAGTAGCCTGTGCCTGTACTATTACGTGATACAAGACCGGCGATTCTACGGCGCCTTAGTAAGAGGGTTTTTCTTTGCTTTTCCCTCTTGTAGAACTACATGTAATTATATATAGATAACTCTTATAGTACCTAGCACTAGTATTCAATAGAGGATGATGTTACTACTACTACTACTACAGCTATAATAATATTTTATAACTCGTCGTCCTTGGCCTTATTTGCCCGAAATTTATAGTATTCACCAGCGGTCATGACAGGATACTTAGCCGGATTCGTCTCGGAAACACAAGTCGGCACCGGCTCTAGCAACATCTTCCGATCAAAGCCCCAGAAGAAAGGTGCCGAATACCTCTCGCGGCCGGACTTGTTGACAACTCTATGAACTGTTGAGACAAAGAAGTCATTCGTCTGTCTCATGAAGCAATCTGCAATATTGACGACAAAGGAGCCCGGGACTGGGTTAGCTTTGATCCAAGTGCCCGATTTGCTGAGAACCTCAAGGCCGGCCGAGTCATCCTGAGTGACGATGGTGAAGCACTCAAAGTCGGTGTGCGCGCCTATCCCGTTCTGGTCATCGACAGAGTGCTCCTGTGGCGGGTAGTGGAGGATCCGCATCCCCGCCTCGGGCTTCTTCGTGTATTCGTCGAAGGCATTCTCGGGCAGGTGGAGCGCGAGGGCGAAGATTTGGGTCAGCTTTCGAGCAAATTGGAGAAGGGGAGTGTGATAGCCATAGAGCCCTTCTCGAAAGCCATCCAAGTCACTGGGCCAGATACTGATGCCTGGTTCGTCTTTGTCTATGGCCTCGGGGTCTTCTGCAGCAGAGTACGCCCAGTTGAATGCTTCACTAAGATCTGAGAACGTTAAGTAAACTGCGGAGCAAACTTCTGTGAAGCTTCACTAACCCTTTTGTTTGGCCGCAGTTCTACTGTAGTGCTCCATTGGGTGGTACCCAACAAACTCATTAGGTACCAGCCCAGTATAAACTTCCATTTTCTTCTCTACTGGCAGTGAAAAGAATCTCTTGGCCTGTTCAAAGACCACTTCGGCATGTTTTGGATCAATTCCCTGCATAGTATTAGCAAGGAAGGGCTCTGGAGCGATATCACGGGTACACATGAGATGCCTACATGGTTGATCACATAGAAGAATCCAATACGGTGAGATGCCTCGCGGATTTTCTCCGCCACTGCCTGGCGATCTTCGAACTTGTCACTGTAGATCCCGGAAACGTCAATAATGGGAATCTCATCGGCCTCTTGGGATATATTAGAGGCAAAGTTCAAAGTCTTGCCGTTCGACAGTCGTATGGTAATGGGCTCAGCCGTTTCAGCCTGAGTAGTCTGAGTAGTTTGAGACATGGTGAGCTGCAGTTCTGTGTTGTTCAAATCACTACTTGCAGATTGATTATCAATTTGAATCTATATTCTGAAGTCACAAAGGTGCTCCATATATTTGTACACTTATCTATGAACTTCATATCCCACTCCTGCACAGAACGATGTATCTCGTCGGAAGTCCGTTCGCCGCCTTATCATATATCTCGGACCAATTGGCCATTGCGGGGGAGGGCGCCCACCATTAAGCCTCCCTCCTACTTGATACAAACCCCACCTCAGTCATCAGCATCTCTATTGACGGTCCATTTCACATGTTTGCGAATGATCATTGACGATAATAGCATCTCATGCTATGGGTATGGCATTAACTAAGCCCTGAAAGATCCTGGAGACGGATAAGGATGGTTTCTACACACGCTATCAGTAGCTCGTCTCTGTATAGAACCAGTTGCTATTCTTTTGTACTCAGTCATACTTACCCCCATGCATCAGGGGCAAGTGAGTAAGTACTTGGGTACATGCAGGATTGCAATACCTGCATTCGTGCGTATTGCTTTCCTCACATGGTACCTGCAGGTAGGCATATATCCAATCAGGACACTTCTTTTGAGCTATATACTTCATTTCCAACGGCTGTTAAATTCCGAGATACACCCCAGAAAAATTGCCCTATATACAATAGAAGTAATAATGTCAAATACAGGGGGAATTAACAACTCCCATTCAGATCAGGGGCTCCAGTGCCCCTTGCCCACTGATCTTCAGCTCTCCCATTTGTCTGACTAGGCTCTTTTGTGTTTTGAGTCGCTTCGCCTCGACCCAGTTTCCGTGAACCTGCGACTTTACATGGAAGGGCAGCTGCACAATTGCAATCGGTTTCTCAAAGTTTTTCGTGTCGAGAACCACCAGGTCACAACGTTGCGCGGCTCTTCTCTCTATAAGAGCCATCACCCATCCATCTCCTTCTGGCGCATCTTCCGACCGTGGGATAAAGATTGGCTCTTGGACGAGGGAATCATCTCCGGCGTAGAAAAACTTGGTCTTTCCCGTTTTGTTACTGTGCATAGCCAACGCATTAAGGCCGTGGAAGATATTCTTGCTACCATCGTGTTTCTCGGGCAGGAAGACATCGAGGAAAAGCCACTCGTATTGAGTGGTCATGAATCGTTCGTCAATACGGGGAAATTCCGAAGGTATGTCAAGCACAACCACAGGATCTGGCGTTTGCGTACCGTCAGGCAGATTCGGATCGAGTTCCCAGCGCACAAAGTCCGCCTTGCTGTCCGGCGAGGGCATCCGCCCGTCGTCAGGAGGGAAGAAAGGAAAAGCGTTGTCATGCACTCGCGAACTCTCCAGGTAAATCTTTCCATCTTCCCCTTCCCATGCACCTGCTGTGTGAATTGGCATACAGTTCTTCCAGAACTGGCGCCTATGCTCCCCTTTCTTCCACCCATACTTTTCTGCCACCTCACTGCGCCGCGGGACTATCAAAAATGTGGCGGGAAGGTCGTAGTTCCATGCCCAATGCTGTCCTCCAGCTTTGAGACGCTCCATGTTGGATTCAAAGGGCCAAAGGACAAGAATGAGCCAGTTCTTTGTGATAGCACAGTCGTGAATAAAGGCACACCAAGGCGATTTTATCCATAGCTCTTCCGAAGCTTTCCCATCCTGATCTAGAGTGTACGTGACAACATCCAGAGTGGCAAGTCCTTTTGCCTCATACCCATACACCACCAGCTCGTTTGTAAAGGGGTCGACTTTTGGATGCGCGGTGAACGTTTTCGCGGATATCTGCCCTTTAAACGGATCATACATAGTTGTGTCCAAGGTATCTGGGTCTACGGCGTATGGCAGACCCCCCTCCTTCAACGCCAATAGATGGTCTGCCCATAGCACGAGGTTGGTATTGGCTGTGCTATCAACTGCTGCCCGAACGCACGGGTGGTGGGTAAAAGGATTGCGGTACAGTCCAAAAAGTGCCTTGTTAGCCTTGCGCTCCAACTTGTAGCGCTCGGTCTCGACATATCGGGTCTTCATGTCCACACGACCGTCGTGGAACCGAAACGCGGATATATTGCCGTCGCCATCGATAGGTACATTTCGTGGGTCCGGAGGGACAAAGGGGTCAACCATGACTCGATAGAATGTGCCTTCGATTTCTTTGGGGATCTCGCCAAGGACGACCAGATCGCCTATCTCACCTTCGAGACGGAAGGGAAGATTCGAGCCGGCCAAATCAAGCGCCACTGGCCACTTAGACTTCAGTCCGTGCATATCATCTTGGACTCCAGAGAGATCCTTAGGAGATTCGGAAACTTCCGTCATTGTGAAGGCTGCGGTACGTCTGATTGCAGGTAACGGTGATCTAGAATACCCCAATGTATGTTTCGATGATATGACTTTCAGCGCTCTTGCTGATTCTACTTGGTAGATCCATCCACGGGCGAAGGTGGCTATTCTTATTCTCTCCGGGGAGGATTGCTCATCTCCAGTTCGGGGTATCCCCCTCGGAGTCTCCCCAGGTTCATATCTCCGAATCTTCTATTTCGCGAAATGTCCCCCACGATTCCGAGCTACGTGAAGTGTTGGCGGTGGGACGGGCAGATAGATACTCGTCTAAGCCGTGCCCGTGTTCTGGCCTCGGATACTGTGTCGGTAATTGGAAGTCGAGTCCTATGGCTCCGTCCGTCCGTATTGTCCAAAGACGGTGTGTTCTTCGTCATGACTCGTGTCAAGGAGAGGCTTAGGAGGGTGGCGAAAGGAGGCAAGATGAGGCGGTGGGAGGGCGGTGGGAGGGCGGTGGAGGCGGCGGAGGCGGCGGGGGCGGGGTTTCCAGAGACCTATGATTATTAATGCTGCGACTCAAGAGGCTGGATTGTAACTGCCGGGGCGCAGATCGGATCGATGAGGCCGGCAAACAGCTGGAGACGTACGGCCGTATGGACACGAGGAGCGGTCAATGGGGTTGCATTGATAAGACGATGAATCTACAGTCCAGGAGAAGAGGAGGAGAGGAGAAGACAAGGGACGCAGAGGCATGGTCGTCGAGAAGATCTCTGGTGGCCTTGTGGCCTTACCGCCCCTCGCTAAATAAGGTAGGTAAGCTTAAAATATAGGTACCTTACCTAGGCTCTTAGAGGTATCCTTCGTAGGCGATTAACGCCCCCTTTTCTGCCGTGTGTTTAAACATAATGCACCGCTCACATCGCTCGGCCACAATCATCGTATGCCACCATTACCACTCCATTGGCTCGTTGCCCTCCCACTTCCTCACGATCCGTCTCGAGAACCGAGAGGAAAAGTAATTTCCCTACGCATACGACGACTTGGGGTGAACGGCTGTTAATGCGACCTGGGCCCGGCTCTAGATACCATGGAGCCCAAAAGGGACCGGGTTGCGAGTCACTTGATTCGACCAGCGGGTCAGTTCGATAGCAGTTCGATTCTGCAGACGCCTCGTTTGAAGCTCCCCATCTTTGCTGACCCTGGCCGGTATTATTATAGACACTCAGACGCAGGGGCTTTCCTCACATGCTGCAATCCCCACACTGAGAGTCTTCCAATCACCACAGAACTCGGCCCCTGCAGATACTCAGCTCCAGTTTGTTATCCGGACCCCAAAAACTGCAAGCCACGATGTCACTCTACAACAGCAGCGTGTGCGATCTCACGTGATGCGGGGCATACGGAGGAAGCAGAAGGAAGCCAGACAGGCAGCCCAAAGCTCCGGTGCCGTTGTCTTCCGGCCCAGTAAAGGAAGTATCAGCTCGTCAAAACCAACGGAACGTCGTGGAGGGCCAAAGGCGAAACGGAAGGACGTCTGTATGTCCAAAGCAACGCCTTCTCAGGCGGCACAGACAGAAGATGTTCTACCACTGGATTCGTCAAGTATTACCCTCGTACACGCTGGGCAAGCCACAAAGACTACGGTCGTCCAGAAGTCTGAAGAATGGCCGGCACCGCCCAATGATCGAGAAGACCTGCCTTCATCCAGAGATGAACCAAACTTTTCTGTAGATTCTAATACTGAGAAAAACTTACTATCCAGACATGCCTCATTTAGCTATTTAGGAACTGGAGTTCTAGATCCATTTGACACGTTACCGCTGTACCAGGATTCGCAAAAGAAAATACTAATCCATCATTGTAAGTGGCCTATCCTGCGCTCCTCGTCCGTATAGGTCCCTCAGTCGTTCAATTCTTTTGACTTGATGTTCCCTTACCAGTCTCGTTGCTGCTCCTGACTGACGAATTGAAAGACATTTCAGTCATCTTCAAAAGAAGGCTGGCAGTCAGCCCAAGAGTACCATGGTTCATGAAGGCGATGTCGGACCCTGTTATGCTCTCGGCTGCTCTAGTTCTATCTGCGGCACATCATGCTGCTCTTCAAGGCCACATGAGTGTCGAGTTTCTTATAAAGCAGAAAAACGAAGCTATTTCATTTATCAACAGAAGACTAGGGGATGCGGCTCTTTCCGTCAGTGACAGCACAATAGCCGCGGTGTCGTGTCTCGCTTTGTGCGAGGTGAGAATGCTTCGTCCCTTCCTTAGCGAGTCCACACGTTTCTAATGCAATCACTATCTCTTTTAGCGCTTGAGCGGTAGTCCAAGAGTCTATGAAACCCACATGAATGGGTTGGAGCAGATGATCAACATTCGTGGCGGACTGTGGGCCGCTGGGTTTGACGATACCCTGATAAACCTGATATTATGGTGGGCTAATAGTAACTGTGACGCGAATAAGAACAATGCTGAGATGTAGAGATAGGGTTACTGTCAGCGAATCTCTGTTTACTTTTCGGCAGTTCCGCTTCCTTAGCCTAGAAGACTCGACGCTCCTGTCTGGAACACACCCATTTCTCGAAATGGACAGCGAGCCTCGGTCTGGCCAAAGCATGGCTAGCACGCCACTCATGAGAGCTCACGGCATCACGAGGATTATAGCCGACTGTTTTGACAGTGTTATGTCTGTAACGCGCTCCGTAGCATCATGTAACGACTCTTCAGAATACGATTGTGCATTCTTTAGCTACAGAGTCTATCAGATTGAGCGCCAGCTCAATTCGTTGGCAATTCCCGCTGATGCCAACCCTCAACTCCTTTTGACTCATGATCATGTTCAGGAATCATGCAGGCTTGGTTTGCTCATCTATATATATTTAATCATTCGGGAGCTTCCTTGTACAGCCTCAATGTTTGAGCATATGGTTGGGAGGCTACGGGCAAGTCTGGAGCATATAAATCTCAGTGCGTGGTCTGGGCCTCTCTCAAGACTGTTACTCTGGATATTATTCACCGGTTGTGCGGCAGCTTCCTATACACCGCATAAGCCGTGGTTTGTATCCCGCATATCGCGATTGTGCATTTCAGCGCATCTTACGCGTTGGCGAGAAATCAAAAATGTATTAGTAGGCATCGTCTGGCTCGAAAGTGCTTGTGAGCAGATCTGCAAACCGGTCTGGGTGGATGTTATGGAGGAGACTTTGTCTATAGGACTAGAGGGAGATTTTCCCTTATTTAAGCATGATATTCTCTGTACGAATTAAGAAAAGATGCCCCTACTCCAGTCTTGCAGCCTTCCTCCTCAACACCGAGATTTTCTTCAAGCGCTCATCCTCGTCCTTTGTGAGATTCAAATACACCTCTACCGCCAAGATGTGAATGACCTGCGCTATCCACGATGAAACTCCAAATGCGAGCCCCAAAATAGCAGCGCTCTCTTCTGGATATCCGTACTTCATTGAAGCATTTGCGATTACATATACAGGCTCGCTTGACGATGTGATATTTGAGCAAGAAGGATACCTATCGAAAAGATCCGAGCTCGTTGGCTCGTCGTACATGAAGAGGATTTCCTGGCAGGTTGTTACGACCCTGTAGCGGTCAGGGCAGAATACGGTGACGGAAATGGCTATAGCTGCCATCACGAAACGCATGGTTAGAATAGAGCCGGCATATGCCCATGTTCGCAAGATCCAGGCGCGATGTTGATCGATATGGAGATTGCGGATTGCGGTCCAAGATTTGTATGTTGAGACTGTAGTCAAGGAAGCGAGCAAGATAACGGCAGCCCGCGTTGTGATTGTGCCACTAAAGCTCTTGGGTGCGATGGTCAATGCTGCTAAAAGGGAGTTAGGGAGGGCAACGGCGCGGAAAGGGGCAACGCGTACTGAGATTGCCCATCATGAGGAGCACTAGAAGCAAACGTCCATTAAGCTTGTGCATGTACGTGTATCGACGACGTAAAGCAGGGACAAATTGTAAGGGTAGGAGAGCACCAGCAGCTATTGAGGTGTCAGCAGGTGATATGTCACTTATGGGAGAGCATGTCAGTCAAAGGGTGACGCACGAAGCACGCTCCAGAGATGTAAGGTCATTCCAACTTTCATCAGTCCATCTTTGAACCAGAATGGCTCACCTGGCCCTGCTGTTGGAAACCTGACTGTTAAACGCAATAACTCGATTTCCTAATCGGGTAATACCATATTACCGGTAGATCAGGAGTTAGATTTTGCTTAGAGTTTGATACAGAGTTTTTACTTTGCTACCTACTCTACTGTAGTAATAGAGCCCTATTACTACAGATCCGTTATACTGATTTGCTACTGTTACCTGTATATAGAGCCTCCTTTTTGATCCTAGTTTAGTAGTTTAATTTAATCTAGTTTAATCAAATCTACTTAATTCGCTCCCTTTAATCGATCACTAATTTATTCTATTTAACAGTTATAAGCCCGGGTTACTTTCTATAGCTACCGAAACTATGTGATCAGACTCCCTAACCGACTTGATTTTTTGACACTACTATCGACGTGATTTCGGCTAATACTAACGTAGTAAACAAGCCTGTTTTTCGACTTTTAAGTAGACATACAAGGCTTAACAAAAGCTAATTAAAATATCCTAAACAACGCCGCTAATAGGCTACCTAATTAATTTAAAGGCGCTAATTTAAGTACTTATTTAACGATTTAGACTTACCCTAACTTACCTAATTTAGTAACTAGTTAAACAACGCGTTTAGTAGCTGTTTCTACCTAACTTACTACTAATTCGACTTTAATTATTATAGTAGGTATAGTTAATACGACTATTACTACTTACATCCTTAATAAAACCGACGATTAGGACGATTAGATTAAAGGGATCTAAGCTATAGCTAGAAGCGCTAATATATAGAACTTCGTAGATCCTTTAAAGGATCGACTACTACTTTAACCGCGAGAGCTAGTTTAGCCCGAACCGGGCTATGTTCGAGGGCAATCAAACGTAGCTTATAGCTAGTTAAGTAAGGGAGAAAGAGAGTAGTTACAGATCCTTTAAAATCGATATAATAAGGAACAACGACTGTTTAAACAGTAACAACAAGCGTTAAACGACTTATAGATACGAATAATTAACACGATACAGAAAGAATACGTTTACTACGTTAACGCTAGCGCTATAGTATATAATATACTCGTAGAACTAAAAAAGAGAGTAGCTCCTTTAGACGATGTAAGGTAACAGGAACTAATTAAGAAGTATAAGTTAGCTTAGGAGGTACCTAAAAGGGGGCAATTAGTGGCCGCTTAGATCGACAGCTTTAAATTAGCGTATAACAACTGTCTAGCGCTTAATATAGCTAAAGTTTTAGGTACCTGGCTAATCTACGACTTTGTAGCCGCTATAGAGGGTATAGATCTAGTGTTTACCTAGATAGTAAAACACTAGCTTTTTAGGGGGGAGAAACTCGAATTTAAAGACGTACTTAACGAGTTTAAGCTTAAACTTAGGAGCAAAAGGTAACTAAAAGTAAAAGAAGGATATTACGTGGCGTTCCCTACCCTTTAGGGGCAAAGCTTAGACAAAGGGAGTAAACGGCCCCTTAAGTACCTGTATAGTAAGAGACACTAGTTTAAGGACTGTTATTACCTAATCCCTAGTAAAAGGCTAGCGGGATAGGTACTAAACAAGAAGATCTAAAAAGAGATTAGCGCGAAACTTAAGTCTAACGCCTCTATTAAGAAGAGGGTAGAGGCACTCTAAAAAGAGGATTAAAACACGTCTAAATTAAGTAATTCGAACCTAAATACAAAAATAACTATAGTAATTAATAAAGAAGAGGATCCCCTTAAAGCGTTTATAGTATTAGCTATATCTACTAATATAGCTACTAAAATAGCTAACCTAACTACCGAATTTAGTTATTTAGTCTTAAAAAGAAGGGAACAGGATTACCTACTAAAAAGAAGCTTTATACTCGACTTAGGTACTATAATACATGTCTGTAACGACCTAAATAGGTTTAGCTTTGTATAAAAAGCCTTAGAACAAAGCTTCTTATTAGCTAGTAAGGATCGAATTTAAATTAAAGCCTTTAGTATAGTAAAAATCTAACTCTAGGGGCTAAAGGGGCCTTTTACTATTAAGTTACTAAATACCGCGCTAGTCCCTACGTTCTATACTAACGTAGTATCCCTACGTTAATTAATCTAAAAGGGGATCTACTAGGATACTAAAGGAGGACGATTAACCTTTAGAAACCAAACCTTTTACTATACGCTAGTTTAAAATAGCTAGTAGATACTAGAATATAATCTAGTTACTAAACTTAGAAACGACGCCGTAACTACTAATACTATAGCGTACCCTATAAACAGTTATATTCTAGCGCTATCTAGCGCTTTAACCGACCTTTAGTATAGAAGGATAGGTCACCTTTAAATAGAGGCTATTCGGCGCCTCTTTAGCGCTACTAGAGACGTTAAAATAGTAGATATAGACTAGTATCTTATTACCCCTTATAAAACGTGCTACTTATCTAACGTAAAATAACGAATATCCTAGGTACTAGCTAAAAGAGCTACTACTCTGTTTAGGTAAATACACGTAGATCTTATCCCTTTTTATATAGTAGATACAAGAGAGCGCTATATCTTTTATATCCTAGATAACTTAACTTAAATAAACTTCGTATATACTATAGAATCTAAACAAGAAACCCTTAGCGTTCTACGCTACTTTGTACGTATAGTATATAGGCAGTAGGGGTTTAGAGTAAAGGTTATTTAAGTAGACAGTAAAACGTTACTTAGAGAGGAGTTTAATAAGTAGGTAATAGAAGAAGGGATCCTAGTAGAACGATTAGCGCTACAAACACTAGAACAAAACAGTCTAGCTAAGCGATCTAAGGGAGTAATCCTTTAGAAGGGTATAGCTCTTTGTATAGAGAGTAGGCTACTAGAGAACCTATAGCCTAAAGCTAGTAAAATAGTAGCCTACCTTATTAATAGATCCCCTAGCGCCTCGTTAGCTTAGAAAACCCCTTACTAGTACCTCTAAGAGGTAATAGAGAGTAAAAAAAAGAGGCTTAAACCTAAGCTTAGCTACCTTTAAGCGTATAGATGTAAGGCGTACGTACTAAACAAGACTAGGGCTAGACTAGATAAGTTAGATCTTAAAGCGTTTATTAGATACCTTGTTAGATATAAGTCGACAAACATATACCGAATATAGATCCCCTTAAAGAATCAAATAGTATCTACCCGTAACGTTACCTTTAATAAAACAGCCTGTTACGATCTAGTAGAACTATAGAAGGCTAAAGAACAGGCTATACAGGCCCTAGAAGAGACATCTTAACAGACAAAGAACTAGTAAATTAAAGAATCAGATACTAAAGACGTTATAGTAGTAGAGGTGCCTTAATAGGTAGAGGATAGGAGAGAACACTTAGTTAAGCCTTATTTAGTGCCTTAGGTTAGTACTAAAACTTAGATTCCCTTACTTACTATACCTTTGCCTACCTTACAGGCTATACCTAACGTTAAACTAAACGAATTAGACGAATCCTATAAACAAATAGATCTAATAGATTAAACGGATCTACCTGTAAACACGCTAAACACGCTAGGATCTATGTTAAATAAACTTACTACTCTAAACACGCTAAACGCGCTAATTAGATCAAATAGATCGACAGAATTAAGTTAATTAGTAGAGCTAATAGCTAAAAACAACAAATCTAAGCCCTTAGTACAATCTCTTAAGCCTTACGATCCTTTTGATCTACCTGTTTTTAACAAACCTAACAAATCAGATGTAGAGATAGAAGACACGCTACTAATACAGCTAGATCCTATCCTGTTGTCTAATAACGTTACGATTCGACAGAAGGGGCTATAAAGAGGGCCTAGATCTAAAGGTATTAGGCGTAGTAATATTATTAAAGGCCTTAAGGAGCGACGTTAAAACCGTAAACACGCCTACGTAGTATAATAAGAGAGGATTAACAAATATAGTAGGTTCTATTTAGCCTTCTAACTAGGTACTAAATACAAGAAACAAAGACTTTATTAAACCGATCTCCTAGTACTACCTAGCTACTAGAGGGAGCTTTAAAACTACCCTTATAGTACTAAGTTTAGGATCGCGGTAGAGAAAGAGTATATAGATCTAAAGAGGTAAGGAACCTTTAAACTAGTCTACTGTTTGACTATTAAGAGATATGTAATCCTTATAAGGTAGGTGTTTATATATAAATTTAATACTAACAGCTTTCTAGCCAAATTTAAGGCTAGGCTTGTAGTTAGAGGCGATCTATAGCGCCCTAACAGCCGTAACAATTACGCTACTACCCTTACGTTAAGAGTATTTAAGGCTCTAATAACTATAGCGGCCTAGTTTAATCTTAATATCTATTAATTAGACGCTATTAACGCGTTTACTAATAGTAATATAGACAGTAAAGTCTATATTTACTACCTAGAGGGATTTAGTAAGCTAGAACACTACCTCCTTTTCTTATAGGCCTTATACAGCCTTTGTAGATCACTACTACTCTAGTATAGCGAGTTTACTCGTACACTAGAAGAACTAAGGCTGTTTCCTATACCTAAAGCAGACTACCTTTATATAAATAACAAGCTAATAGTCTTCTTTTACGTAGACGATATAGCGATATTATCTAGACGATCTGACTATAACGAATTCCTCTCTTTTAAAACAAAGCTATTTAGTAAATATAAGATACGAGATCTAAGGGAGTTAAGTTAGTTCTTAGGGATAAGGGTAATAAGGGATAGAACGGCGCGGCAGATCTAGCTAAGCTAAGATTTGTATATTAAGTCTATTACAAAGAGGTTCTACCTTAACAAAGGTAAAGCACTAGCTACACCTATAGCTACTAACGAATTAGCGCTATATACAGGGAAAGTAACAGATTAGAAGGTCTTAGCCTACTAGCAAAAAGTAGGCTTGATTCTATACACTACTATCGTTACACGGCCGGATACAATAAGAGCTACTATACGGCTTTCTAAGTTCTTAATTAACCCTTTGCTGGATCACTACTAAGTAGCAGATAAGGTAATTAGATACCTGTATTTAACAAAACACCTAGCTATTAAATACAAGGATAGAACGGATTTAGGGCAAGCCTTTGCCTACATAAGTAACGCTGTGTTTACTAATAACCTACTAAATAGACGTAGTACAGAAGGTTACGTATTCTACTTGTTTAGAGGGCTAGTTAACTAGAAATTAAGTAAGCAAAAGACTGTCACTACTTTAAGTATAGAGGCAGAGCTGTTAGTAGTAACACACGCTATAAAAGAGCTATATTAGTAGCGTAAGGTATTTGCGAACCTTACATTAGAGTTTGATCCGGGGTTTAAGTACTCTATAAAGGTAGATAATCTACAAACGATACAGCTAATAGAGCTAGGAACACCTAGACTAGCTACTAAGCTTAAGTACGTTAATATCTACTAACACTAGCTAAGGCAGGAGGTAGCTACCTAACGCGTTAAGTTAGAGTAGATATCGACTAATAACATGCCGGCTAATAGGCTTATAAAAGCCCTACTACGTTAAAAACACTAAGAGTTCGTTAAACAGCTTAAACTAGTAGATATTTGATACTAAATTAGCTAGCCTACGTCGACTAGTAACTAAAGTTACGAGCTAAAGAGGATTAGTAAATTAAGTATAAAAACTAGCTAGAAAGACTACTAGAACCTAGATCTAGACTAAATACGCGGGTTATAGTAGATATATACTGTTTTTAGACACTTATTTAATTAATTGTTTGATTATTACGTTCGTTAATATATTTATATTAAGTATATAGATAGAGGGCCACTTAGAATAGGTAAATAGCTTTACTATTTCCTAATTAGGAACAAAATCGTGACTTCCTAGAGAGGTGTATTAGAAACCTGACTATTAAACGTAATAACTCGATTTCCTAATCAGGTAATACTATATTACCGGTAGATTAGGAGTCAGATTTTGCTTAGAGTTTGATACAGAGTTTTTACTTTACTACTTACTCTACTATAGTAATAGAGCCCTATTACTACAGATCTGTTATACTGATTTGCTACCGTTACCTGTATATAGAGCCTCCTTTTTGATCCTAGTTCAGCAGTTTAATTTAATCTAGTTTAATCGAATCCACTTAATTCGCTCCCTTTGATCGATCACCAATTCATTCTATTTGACACCTGCCCTACTCAGCCAGGTTTCGTAATCCAAGGATGGAAGACTGAATATGCTGAAGGCTGAGAAAAGTCCAGCGGTGAAGAGGAAGAGAAAGAGGTTATAGCGTTTGGTGAAGCCCGTCCACCGGAGCGGAATCCCCAAGACATTTGGAATGGTTTCGGAGGTGCGGGGAGTAGCATTTGGTGGCTCGTCCACACAAGGCTGTGGTGGTTGGAGGGGCGCGGTTTCCGAGGCTGACATTTTGTGATAGACTGGAAGAGAGAAGACTGCAGGCTATGACAAGTCTGGCTTGTAATATAGAGAGGATGCTTGACTGATTGGTTGGTGGAAACACAGTCTTATCCCGTGTCTTGTCCGGGCCGGTCAGTGTGTTGAATTTCGCCAGATATCGTGCCTGCTCTTGACGGTGATCCTAAGGTGCCTCGGCGACCTGCAAGAGGGAACGTGGCATCAAGAGTAATGTGAAGGTGTATCGAAAGGGCGAGGGTTTATCTACCTTGCTTTAGCTATCACAATGCCTTGTAGAGTGAGTGGGGGGATGTCAGAGAAGCGACAGGCGGCTACATCCGCGTCATCAACAGCTTCACTGAGGCGCATCAGAAAAAGGAGTGAAAAGGGTTTAGCGAGTGGCAGGGATGCGGTTCACCCGATTGCACACCCAAGGGATCGGCCGAGTCTGAGCATTTGCCGAAACAGGATATCTCACATCGAGCATTTCCCGAGATGGGAATGGGACAAATCGAGTACAGAGATTCAAGTAGGATCTCTAATATAAGACCCCATTCCCCTCTCGAAATATCTGTATCCTCTGCGCAGACACAACGAACAAAGAGAGAATGAGTTCGTCCAAGATACCCGAGAGATACAGTCTGTTGACAGTCAACAATGTTACAAAAGATGTTACGGTCTTTGTTGGCCTTGTAGTGTCTGGAATTCTCGATTCCGAGCTGCTGGCGCGCAAAGCCTCGGAGTTGATTTCTCTGTGGCCCATCCTCGGTGGAGAGTTGGTGACGAAGGTCCTTTGCCTTACATGGACTGATGCAATACGCTTCAGCTAACAACTTCTAGACCGTACCATATTCATTCACGACGGGCTCCATAGTCGACTTTAAGTCCCGACATATCGACAAAGCACTCAGCGAGGTTCTACCATTCAACATTGCTGTTGACGATACCGACTTCGACCGGCCATCATACCGAGCTTTCGACAATCACGATTCCGGCGACAGCTTATTCCATTTTGAGTCGATACGAGCTCTGAATCCGCCCGTCAAGAACCTCTTTGCGCTCCGCGTTACTGTTCTCAAGGATACCACCCTGTTAGGTTTCCGTGTGCCGCACCACCTCTGCGATGGACAGAGCGCTTATGACGTTGTCCGAAGTTATTGTAGGCTGATTGCAGGGGAGGCTCCTCCTCAACTCGTGTTTCCGCCGGACACTGAGGTTCCACTCTCTAAGCTCGTTCAGTTTGCTGGCTCTTTTCCCGAAAACAATCCCGATCAGGACGATCGGTTCGTAAACCCGTCCGATAACTTTGCACTAGGCACTGCGCCTGTAATGAAATATATTGGACATACATTTCTCCAAAGTGCTAAAGCAATGATCGGTTTGTCGGAAGGGCACGAGGAGAGATATATTCATCTCCCTAATGGCCTTGTGCAAGAGTGGAGGAGGAGTTGCCAAGAAGAGCTTGAGGAAGCGGTAGCACAAGGGAAACTCGAAGCAGCTGCTGGGGTGGAATTGTCCAAGAACGATGTGATCACAGCATGGTTTCTAAAGGTACTGTTATGGTCCATGGTGTCTTTGATCATCTCGCTGACTTGTCTACTCACACGTCAGTGCGCATTTGCTCATACCACTCCAGATGAGGGCCCTGTTGATTTTATGTATAACTTTAACTATAGGTCAGCGCTCGAAGCACCCGAGCCTGGCACTCTGTATCTCCATAACAGCTTTTACAACATTCGCACACATTGGCCATCTTTGCGGGAGTTCCAGGAGGCGTCACTTGCGAGTATATCGCTTGCTATCCGGCTGTCGGTGCTTCGGAACAGACAGCCCTGGGCTATCCATAGGTCCCTAAATTATTGGGAGCAAAACATCAACGAAGCAGTAGTTTTTGGATCTCCAGGGACTAGATTAGACTTTCTACCCATCCTTTCGCCTTGGACTACGTTTGAATATAACGGGATGGACTTCACGGAAGCGCTCGCACAAAAGAGCCAGCGTGATGGAGTACAAGGCAAAGTGATCTTTACCCACCCGTATGTCGCATTGCCTATGTCTATAGCGGTCAAGCCATTTGCTATTGTGCTCAAGGATGGGCACGGTGGTTACTGGTTGCGCTCTACTTTGTTAAGTTCAGGATGGAAAGCACATGAAATATAGATGTTAGAGATCCAGCTGCGGCTTCTAATAAAGTCAGGCGTTGTGATCAGGGCTGATCTAGACTCAAGAGGAATGAATTTGTTGTTGACTTCTAGGTCTTCACTGATAATCTTGTCATACTACTAAAAGCCTTAGATTATAATTAGGTTTCACGGCGATGTTATTATAACTTGTGTCTTCTCCTTACTTGAGTTTTGAAATATCAAATTTATTCCATAATGCAGCAGAAAGTCGAAAACTCGAAATCGATGCAGTCTGGCTAGGGCTTCTGCAGCTCGACTTACTTTTGCAATGTGAGTCTAGGATCCTCAAATTGGAAATGAAGTTGTAGACTGTCGCTCCTGACGCGGATAATGGAAAAAGATTCGCCGACTTGGGCCAGTTCGGGATCGATGAGTGGTGTGTACGTGCAAATTATGTACGAGACAAGATATTCAAACAGATTCAGAGATCTGCTTCAGGTACGGCGGGTTGGGCCGTAGCTATTCAGTCTATAAGGTAAGGTGAGGTTATCTTACCTTAGGTAGGTATCGTTCCATTTGTAGCACTAGTGCGATTTAAGCGAAGCGGCGCTAAGAACACAATCATATCTGCCAAAATTAGTTTCCCCTCCGTAGATATTTCTTCCAACCAACCACATCATCTTCCAACCGCCCCTCTCATCTCACCAACCAACCTCAACCAATCAATCAAACCCCTCTCACCCCACCAACGAACCACCCTGGAACAAACTCTCAAGGTGTTTCCACGACCGCCGATTCCAGAACGCTACTCCTCATTGATGTCGAGTCCTCGCAAGCGGGCTCTCAATGAGAGAAAGTCGTCATACCGCGCGGTGAGCCAGTCCTCTATGATCTCGATATCTACGACATCAGAGTTTCTCGAGAACAAGGTTGCACAGTTGAGCTCAGAGCTGGAGTATCTTGAAGCCTATCGACATGGTTTACTCGACGTCGAGAAGGCGGCGATGGCCAAGGGCGTCGCAAAAGAATTGAAGAAGGTCGAAAAAAGGATTCTCCCTGTCGGGAAGGAGCTTGTCTGTCTCAAAAGACAGAAGAAGTTTATTGATGACGATTTGAACGAGAGCCTTCCGAGACATGCGACAGTTGAAGATGCATACGCAGCCTTGATTGTCAACAAAGTTATGTCAGCCGGAATACAGAACTCACGTAACTTCAAACAGACACGTTTTGCGGATGGAGTTTGTGAGTACTACAATGCAGTCCAACGCTCCAAGGACGGCAGAAAAATGAAATGGTGCCATATCTTTGCAGATTGGCTCCCTGCAGATTGTGTCAAGGTAGCGCATCTGGTCCCAAAGCTCCTAGAGTCTGAGGAATTGAGTTACTTCTTCGGTGTTGGAGAAGTAGTTCTTTCGGCCCCCAACAACGGTAAGTCAAGATAGGACACAGCAACACGTTTGAAACAGCTAATCTAATAATAATAGGTCTAACGCTCTACCGGAGCATGGAGCAATCCCTCGACCGGGGAACCATCGTGATTGTCCCTGTGCCTCCGAAAAATGCCGACGAATTGACGCGATGGAAGTGCGTCCTTGTCGACAAGACAATGTCGAACCAGACTTTTTTTCCAGGTCGCAAATATAAGGTTAGTTTTGCATATCCTATGCCAAATAAATTGGAAAATTCAAAGACTGATTATGTCAATAGGAGGTTGATGGAAAGGAACTTACTTTTCTCGGTACAAACCGACCGGCACGTCGGTATCTGTACTTTCGCTACATCGTGACCTACCTATATCGGCAGAGGGTCGGGTCCATGGATTGGAGAGCAGAGATCGAAGCACAGGGGAAAATGTGGGCGACTCCAGGAAAATACCTTCGCAACTCAATGCTCACCACTTTGGCCCGGAGAATTTCTGATCAGTACTTGCCAGAAGTATTTTGGAAGGGCAAGTTCGACCAGGCTGATGGCTGCGCAACTCGATCTGAAGAGGATGAGAAGACATTGGTTATGTCACTCGATATCCGCCTTCGGAGTGAAAGCCAAGAAAGCGTGCGAAGGTTCATCAGGGCCCAAAACGAAGGGGACGAAGACGAAGAGGACGAAGAGGACGAAATCGAAGAAGACGAGGAAGACGAAGAGGACGAAGACGAAGAGGACGAAGACGAAGAGGACGAAGACGAAGAGGACGAAGACGAAGAGGACGAAGACGAAGAGGACGAAGACGAAGAGGACGAAGACGAAGAGGACGAAGGCGGAGCTGAGGTCTGAGGACTAATAAGTTAAAAAAAGCTGTCCTGGCTATTGGACAACAATCTCATATTAAAGTTATTATAAGCGTAGACGGAAGTATCTGAAATTCAACCTTGCTGAAGCTAAAGAGAAGAGGGTTGGCGTTCGGAGTATGGTTTAGGACGATGAAGAGGGAAGAATTAAGATACCATGGGTTCTGGTCATTGTTGCTAGTGTGCTACCATAGAACTTTAGCGTTCATATCAATACTATGCTTGCTCTCTTCCTCAGCTCAATCAATACTGCTCTATCATGGATCTCAGGTGCCTGCAGCTGTCGGTGCGTGTGATGGAAATCTTCAAGCCCCACTGGTGACCTTGCCCTACAAATATTCTTCAAAAGATTCTGTCTATCCATAGATGTACATTTCTAGCGCGGAATTCGACGTGTCGCTCTCTCGCAATCTGATGGATGACTTCTGTGCTTTTCTTGGCACTAGTCATCAGCAGTTTGAAGATCGGTCCAAGGTTTTGGTTGCAGATAATCTTCTTTAGCTCCCTTGCAATGAAAGAAAGACTGACTAACGGTAAAAAACAGAGATCTATATACAGGAGATATTTGCCACCCGCTTGCCTATATCCGAGGATATAAAAGGACGAGGTTTGGATCCTATATGACCGTTCTAACGGCTCCTTCTTTTCGCACAAGATCTCATCGTGTCCATGCCAAACAGGTTTTGAAGGTCTCCTTTGTTGATAACCAACGCCCCGCCCAAGGGCCTCTGCTTTCATGTTATTGCTTTGCTTGAGAACAACATAACCAAAATCTTCAATTGCGATCAGATGTGGCACTTTCAGGATACGAAACACCTGCTCCACAGAGATAAATGGTCTTCGGGTGTAGGATAGTGCTCGAGGTCCGTAAGTATCTAACATAGCATGTGACCTGTTAGTAAGCCCGTACCTATGTCAGGTGTCAAATAGGGGGAAGAATCATCTTACAAAAGAGGTGCCTTAGTAATAATAGAGCGAAGTTAGTAGGTAGATTAAACTAGGTAGGTAGGTAAGGTAAGTTAAAATAGAGTAAAAGAGAAGGTAGCTAACTAGATAAGATACCTTACCTAAAGGTAGGTACTCTATAAGCACCAAAAGGGGGTACTATATAGAGGGGAATCAAGTAATACTAACTGAATCTTGTAATATAGTATGCTGTATACTTAAACGGCTAAACATCCCTTATAACAAGAGCTATTAATGTAAGAATAACTGGGTCAAGCTAGGTAGTTCCCGAACCCCAACCCAGCCCATGGGGAATTGCCCAGCCTCGGCCAAATATCTGGGCGCCCGGTCTTTAGGCTTCTCCCAAACTGTGGTCATGCTAAGACAGGCCCAAGTAACTTTCCTTCCCGGTCAAGATCAGGAAAATGCTAAACGTACTTTTCTGGATTCGAATAGCTAGCTTCTACGCAACCCTTGGGACCGAGACGCCGCTCGTGGACAATCTGCGACGGTTGTCCTACCTTTCTCAGGTGCTGGATCTAGATCTAGCCCATCCAGTCATTATCACATACAGGTTCTAACTAGTTGGCTTTTTCATGTATGACGCCAACATCTTTCGCGGGTCTATATAAGACGTGGGCTCCCCACAAAAGATATTTGAATTTTGAAGAGGCATTCAAGAACCCAAGAATTGCCCAACTTCACACCAAGACTCTTAAAACAAATCTCGACTCTTATAATCTTATTACCTCACGATGTTTACCTGGATCTCCTGGACCTGGATCTCCTGGATCTTAGTTGCCTTTCTATTGGGAACGATAATTATTTCGGCTTCTTTAGCTTACGACATGTATATCCTTCAGAAGATTGAGATGTACCTTGAATACAATGAGTGCTGGAGAACTCTCAGACAGTTGCGAGACCTTGAAGTATTATTCTTCGTTTCTCTCCGTTCTCATGCTGAACAGATTGCCTGGAGGAGTAAAGACCGACGCTATTCTAGGAGGCTCCGTGAGATTGCCCAGCGAGAGACCTACCTAAAAGAAGAGATTGTAGCCTGGAAGTTGAAGACGCAGCCCTCAAAAACCATATTGGATGAACCAGCGAATTTCACAGCCTGGAGAAAGGAGTTGAAGAACTTGAATAAGGAGTATCTGGACTGTGAGGAAAAGCATGACAAGAATTATTCTGAGAGACCTTCAGGGGTGCTTATGAGGAGGTTCCACACATATTATAGGGAAGAGATGGAATTCGGACGTGATGAATGCAAAGAACAAGGAGGGTGCTGTGGTCGACAGTGCAGATGCTGCGACCAACCACGCAATACACGACGGGAATCTTACTTGTCTCATTGCACGATCTACTGTGGATGCTGTATCCGGCATCGGGGATTTCTCAACATTGATTTGAGCGACATTGAGGAAGGGTAAGGAAGTAAAGAGAAACGGACGGTTATATTGGACAATTACAAGGTAATTACGGGAATCCCTTTGTACTTCCTACCTTCCATAAGGTTCTTTTTAGAGACAAATAGTCAATATTAAGGACGTATCCTGCCTTAAAATCAGCTGCAATCCGGCAAGACGCAGTGTCCTAACAAAGAAGGAATGCACCTTCCAGGTCCTTCCTCCCATCTTCGCCAGATCAATGCGTGTTATATACTGCTGTCGTTCCCATTTGCTTTTTGAAAGCAGATCCATACTTTCGATCGAACTTCAACAATCATTTGCGCCGCTCTCCCAGCTGCCACGCACTACGCCATGGGAGCCATGGGATCCCACGGAGCCCACGCGATGCCTATGCATCCAACGGATCCATCCCCAAGCCAGACCTCGGCGGGTCCGACGTCCAAGCCGTGCGTCTGCAAACCTATAGTTTGTCGAGATTGTCCCTCGATTTCCGAGAGCCTGCCTCTCGAAATGCTCCTAGTATTAGGTCTCCTAATGCTAGCATACGTAGTTCGGCGTTGGGCCAACTACAAGTAGGTTGTACTACTCCAGAAAGCTGCAACAAAATTATTAATCTGTTGTACTTTCACAGTTGGCCTACCTTGCCCCAAGATCCCAACGCAGAGACCCTCCGGTCATGGGGGAGCTCGGTCTTCTTGGGAAGGAGAAGAAGAAGAAGGGGGAGAGGAAGCAGGAGGAGAACGAGGAGAAGGAGAAGGACAAGGAAGAGGAAGGCAAGGAGGAAGAGAAGAAGGGAGTGAAGGAGGAAGAGAAGAAGGAGGAGGAGAGCAAGCAGGAGGAGAAAGGGGAGGAGAAAGGGGAGAAGAAAGGGGAGGAGAAAGGAAAGAAGAAGGAAACCCCGTCACTCCTCCGCCGAACGCCACAGGACTCCTCGGCCAGCGGGACCGACGCTCGTAGGTCTCAGCCAAAGCCCCCGCCGCCGCCGCCTATGCGCTTCTCTTAAAGGACGCTCACAAATACTTAGATATGATAGCTAACTATAACTACTGTAACCTACCCTACCTTACGGAAACCCTTACGACAACCCTTATAGCCCTCGTGTACAGTAGCCTCCTTTACAGAGTATAGTACTCTAACAAGAGTACCCGCCTCACAACCTACGGCCCTGAGACGCTGCATCTTGTTATCATTCTCCATGGAAGGGTTATTTCGCTTTATACATCAATCAAGGAACCGTGCTTCAATCCCTATCGATAATTGTATTTCGTTATGTATATCCACGTACCCTCCCTAACATTCTAAGTGCAAAATCTGTATCAGTTCGGCATTATCATGGTCTATGTGTGAGACTTATGTTGGTAACTCTTGCGCCCACACCGCGGGGCTTGAAAAACGAACCGGCCTGCCGTACAACTCCGGCTTGTTATACATATCCTGGGAAACATGATTGGAACTGCTCGTAGTATCCGGATTATCTTGCATTCCCATCAGGCTAAAGGATGCTGCTCCATTCAAACCAGTCTCATCGGCGTCTTTCTTCCTTCTGACCAGCAACCAGGATATAATCCCAGCAAGAGCATCGAGAATAGCAACGCATCCAACCGCGATGCCCGCAATCGCTGCACCAGAGAGTTTGTTTGAATTGGGAGCCGAGCCTGTGTTCTGCGGTGCCTGAGTAGCGTTTGAGGTGTTGGAGGCTGGGCTGGCAGCCGTGGAGCAGAATTCCTCTACGACCTGATTTCGGCTGTCAACAGCCACCAGATCTTCGTTTGCCGTGGGGTTGGCTGTCCATAGTGAGAGCTGGTCTCAATCTTGGTGATCAACCATGACGTAGGCACTGCTCAAAAACTGGCGGCCCAGTTGTGGAAGGTCTTTTTTATTGATCTATTGAATGGAATTGATAACGAGTTCTGGGGCAAAGGCATTTGCAAGTAGTTGATCTGTCTGCGGGTCAATCGTAAGATTCGGAGTAACGAGTTAATCGTTAGGAATGCGGACAGCAAGACCAGAGTCGCTGGATAGTCAAGTCGCCGCCGAATCTGAAGATTTGGGGACCTGTCAGTGAAGAAGCACCTAGGGTGTGGGAGATCGACTACGTACGGCATAGACCCAGGATCACTACCGTAGATCATATCGTAGTAATATAATCCAGAAGACCTGTCCAGCAAGCTTGCATTCGTGAGAATTTCAAAAGAGTCGAAGTATGAATCCGTTGGAGTCGTCATCAGTACGGGGTAGTCGGGAACGACACATGCAGCCATTGTCGTTTGACTGGACTCCGCCAAGCAAGCTTGCATCCGTCCCGTTGGGGAAGTTAAGCATCATGTCTGTGATTCTGACGGGCATTGCGGTAGAACAAGCGGGCTTTGAATTGCTGAGGCTCCGCGTATAATTCGCACCAGAAACCCAATCAGCTTGTACGACTCCTAATGAAAAGTCCGAGAGTACGTATTTCTCGTCGTTGCTAACCATCGGATAGAGGATCCTAAGCCTCTACGGGGGGGTCTCTTAGAAAGAGCGTAGATTACTTGACGCTCTCCAGTCATCATCGCCTCAGCCCTTTGAACCCTTTCTGCAGGAGGACCGCACTGCACCAGCAAAAAGGTCCAAGGTTGTCCGCACGGCATGATTGGTCTGGCTTCGCCAACCTGGCACATGGTGTTATGTAGGATTCTGCCATGGAGCCGAAATGGACGTTGATTGGCGGTGTCGTATTTTTTACACAGTTGATTGATGGCAGTACAAACAAACGTAGGTACTAGTGCGGCGAAGTCGTCGGAATGATTAAGGCCCTAACCATATCGGGGATTCTGCCATTGCGGCGAGGAGCTTATCTTGTATAAGGTTTGGTGCAGCAGACATACAAGTCCACTCACCGCCCTCGGGTTCGGTTTTAGTTCGTGGACCCCTGGGCCAAGCCTCATATAAGGCGTTCGAATCAATCAATCAATCAATCAATCTATCTTATACTGGAAAATAGACCGAACTTTTGCCGAAAACAGGGGTATTTTTTCGCATTCTTATTGGCCCGCTTCTACGTTCGATGCCTTAGGCCTCTACACATGCCGTACGCCGCCATCTTAGCTATCCTACCTACCTACCTACCTATATATTTTTACGTGTTTATATCCCCCCTTCTACCTAAACAGGCACTCGAACAGGCACTCGAACTAGCATGCTACAGGCACTACTACAAGCGGCTATACAGGTAGCCCTACAGGTAAGTAGCCCTATAGGTAAGTGGCTCAACAGGTAGTTGTACAGGCTCTTAAGAGGTTAGTGGTTTAAGGATAAGGGGTTACACTAATAGGCATATAGTAGCGTTTTAAGGCTATATAACGGCACAAAATTAGAGCCTTTTTAAGGCATATAACGGCGTCGAATCCGAGTGTTGTCGAGGCATATAACAGCGTCGAATCCGAGTATTGTCGAGGCTATATAACAGCGTTGAATTCGAGCGTTTTTTAAGGCATATAATAGCGTCGAATCCGAGTGTTGTCGAGGTTATATAACGGCGTCGAATCCGAGTGTTGTCGAGGCATATAACGGCGTCGAATCCGAGTGTTGTCGAGGCATATAACAGCGTCGAATCCGAGCGTTTTTAAGGCATATAACAGCGTTAAATTCGAGCGTTTTTAAGGCATATAATAGCGTTAAATTAGAGCGTTTTTAAGGTATATAGGTAATAGCGTCGAAACCGAGTATTGTCGAGGCTATATAACAGGCTGAATTCGAGCGTTTTTAAGGCTATATAACAGGTTAAGTTCGAGCGTTTTTACTACTATATAACAGGGTAGAATCAGCGCGTTTCTAAGGCTATATAACGGGTTAGATTCGAGCGTTTTTACTAGCATATAACGGCGTTAAACCCGAGTGTTTTTAAGGCTATATAACGGGTTAAGTTCGAGCGTTTTTACTACTATATAACAGGGTAAAACCGGCGTACATAATCAAACAGCCTACAGTTTTTGTTACAGTAGTAAAATCAGTATAACCTCAAAAGACTTGGCTTCTGCCCCTGTGACTAAGCATTGTATTTGCGCGAGCGAAGCGAGCTATTGCATCCTAGTCAATCAACATATCTGAACTCTTACAATCTATTTTTATCAATCCTCCGTACAGCATGGCCTCTTGGACAGTCGTCTCCATCATCTCACCCACCCCCCGAAATTCTCCGCCAGAACCTCCCCATAATCCATTATCCATTCGTCAAACCACATGTTGATTTCATCTCTCATGGCTCTCTCGACCTCCATCGGCCTTTTCATGAAACAAGATGTACACAGCCGTCCGTCTCGGGAGCCTCTTCCAACGGCGTCGCATCCCGGTTGTATTTGCTGTGACCCTTCTCTTTCTTCTCGCCATCCTCTCCCTCTACCGCCTGCCACCACCCTCCCGAATCCGCCCCTACTTTCCCGAGTGGAAGGCGCCCGCCCCCGACTCCGCGCAGCATGAAGATGCCCTGGACTTGAACTTGGACTTGGACTTGGACATGCTTCCAGAGTATAATTTCGAGCCCCCTGAGTCCCCTTTCTGTGCTGAGCGCTTTGGGCGCAAGTATCTAGAGGGGCTCCGCAACACCTCCACGGGATACTGCACTCCTGACTCTCTGACCAACTTGACTTGCTTTCATAGCCAGACGTCGCCTGATTCTCGGGTGGACATGTTCTGTTTTGGAAGGTCCGCCGTCTTTGATGTCACGGACAAAAGGTTCGACCTGGCCTGCAAGCCAAGAGAATTGACCCCAAAGGAGACCTTAAGAGGAACCCCGGAATTAACAGCGCTCAGTTCTTACTGGTACGACACTGGGCCACGCGTTGTCTTTGATAGAGTTGTTAAAATGGATGTCGATATTGAAGCATCGAACTCTTCGACGGCAAATTTTACCGTTCTGATCAAACGCGAAGGTGCATACAACCTATGGCATTCCCTAATGGAGATCTTCTCAATGACCATGGCCCTTGATGTCCTTCGAATAACCAAGGAACCAGTTAAAAATGCGCCTTTTTTTACCCTCGGAGATGTAGAAAACACACAGATCCTCATCCTCGATGATCAAGACGACGGCCCATACTTTGATTTATGGACACTTTTCGCCAAGAGACCAGTTATCAGATTAAGGGATGTTTCAGAGAGCACAAAGTTTGAGAATATTATAGTTCCCCTGGCAGGTGCTAGCAATCCGCTTTGGCAAGGTGACTGGGAAATCCATCCATGCGAACGATCCGACTTATTACGTACCTTCACACATCGGGTCCTGGATTTCTATAAGATTGATGCTTGGGCGCCACGCAAGGAGGACCTTGTGCTCACATTTATCAATCGGAAGGAATCCCGGCGGCTGATTGGTTATCAGCCTTTTTTCGAAGAGCTCAAAGCGAAGGTTCCGCACTTGAAGATTCAAATTATTGATTTCGCATCCATTCTATTTGTAGAGCAATTGCGAATAATTCGCGAAACAGACGTCCTAGTTGGAGTTCATGGAGCGGGACTAACTCATGGAATGTTTCTTCGAGAGGGCTCGGTGATGGTTGAGATCCTACCAGCTGCCCTGGAACACAAAGGCTTCCGCAATCTCGCCGGACTTATGGGTCACACCTACCTCAGCACGCATGCCTCGAAAAGTCCCGAATCCGAAAACAAGGGCGATACCTGGCACTGGGAGGACGTATACCTTGAGAAGGAACGGTTTCTGGACTTGATGGAGGTCGCTATCAAAGGGCTGTATAATACTGGGTTACGAAATCACGATGTCAATTGAAGGCTGTTATCTGCCACGGTCATATTATTCATCAAAGGCGAATAGGCGTAAATGATGTCTGGCTTTTGTACGGATTGGAATTTGGGGCGCTTTAGCGTGCTTTTTTGTTACTGCAAATTTGTGGACTGCGAATTACTTGTTTATATCAATCGAACTTCTTTCAGAGCTTATTTTACAGAGTTTTAGACTAAGGTAGGCAGATACAAAAGTTGTTAGTTACGATCTGTTAGAATGCACATATTTCAGCATGGAAGGAACATGATTCTATCATGGAAGCCTTCCCTTTTGAAACCACTTTCATATGATAATGTTTCACTGCCAATCTTTTCTAGTTGTTTTGAGAGCATTACACGCTCACTGATTTGGTGAGGACTGGGGCGTTAGTCCATCTTTTACCCTCTACTGGCTCCTACTAGGCTGCGCAGAAACCTATGGGTCCCCATGAAGATCCATGGATCCTCACCCCATGGGGTAGGTTTTGTAGATTATGTTTGAGCCCATGGGTCCGCCAAGAGTCTAAAGCCTAACCCATGGGTTCAACCTAACCTATAGGTCCTAATTTTACTAGATGCTTTCACATCCTCTCAGATCTAGATATTGCCAGCCATATCATTCATCCCCTTTGCATTTCATGATAAACACCTCAATTATCTACTTTCATGCTTTAAAGAACGGTCAAGGCCTATTGCTCGACGAACCGTTGCGCCGAGGGCTATTGTGCTAAGATCCTCTACCTTGGGCAGGCTCCCATCAGAGATTCTACTACATATCGTAAATTACCTGCTGTTTGCCCCTAAATAAGTGGTCCTTGACGCCTTGTCCGGTTCCTCCTACATGGGGGGGGGGCGTCTCCTTCTGGATATGTCCACACCTCAAGTTTGAAACAGGTGGACACTCTGTATACATCTGTATGCTTTTCTCTGTGCTATTTCAAAACAAAGGGTAGACAGCGGCATTATGTTTCAATAGCGTTAGAGATGCATAATGTTGCACGGGACTTATGCGATGCCATTACTGTCAGGCGGCTCGGGCCCGAATATCAGATCGACTTTAAATGCTACCTTACCTATGTCGACTACGGTATGGTGATATTTTTATGCCAGATGGAAAGAGCTTGGTGCACTAACGGCAAAATATTAGAGGCGTACGTTAAACCCCAGGACTTTCTATTTCGTCTACAATCGGTTCGTTTTCGTGTAGGAGAATTGTCTTCTATAGGAGAGTGTTTCGAGTTTGATTAACTCCTAGGAACATAACGAAGTCATTCTAGCAAAAGTCCTCTCTATAGCCAGATTAAAGTAGGCCACGCGGTATAAAAGGGAGTTTGACCTTGTGGCAAGTAGGAAGTAACGTCAGGTTAAGAGAACTAGAATATTAACTGCACTGCCAGACATGTTCATATTCAGTAGCTATCCGCCCAAATAAAGCTCACAGGCTACAGAATCCTGGCCCCGTCTCTATAGACATATATATACATGTACCCAGACCCTGTTCAGCGAAATCTCCATTTTCTCGCAACCAGCTAAGTCTCTCATCAATGAGATAGTCGCTATTAAACTGCGATTGGTTCTCCTACAGTGGTCGCTTGGATGGCCCTGCTGAAGAGGAAGCCATAGACAGATATGGCCTTGCTATGTCCTGCCTAGTCAAGCCTTCATCTGCCCAAGCTTTAGGCTCTTTTGACTCTATATCGACAGATTTCGACTTTCTAAACCCAGAGTTTTTCTCCGGAGAGTTGTCAGATTCATCCATGTACCTCTCGGGCACGATGCCAATTATCTTTGAATTGAAATCTTCTAGATCCGGTCTGCTTTGCAACTGGTTCGGTAGATTATGCCTAGAAGAATTTGAAGTTGGCGTGCTGCTAGAAGCCGCTGATGCTTCATTTTCCGGGATGCTGGATTCCCTCGGCCTTGCCATCTGACGAAGTTCAGCGTGTGATCGTTGCCGGTTTGTGATAGAGGTGATCCGACGGCCTTTTTGTGCCATTATTTCTCGAAGTTTCAGGATGTCCTGAAAATGTTGAGGCTTTGGCATTGCCAAATCCCAGTCCGAATCATTCTTCTTGGGCTTCCAAAGCTCTGCAGGCGCTGGTCAATCTACGGTTTTACTTTTACCTTTTCTGTGTTTCGTAAAATCTTCGAGTTCCATGAGAAACATGGCCGAGAAACTTTTTTCTTGTTGCCTACAAAATCATCATCGTCCATTTGCACGTCGATTTTGTCCTACCCGCCCGCCACCTCAACTGCGCTTCTTGTCTACAGTTATTGCTTGGAATTTGTAGTCATTACTTGGTGCCTCACCGTCATCAACAATGTTGTCCATTCTCGACATGTCCGTCAGAAAAATACATAACTTCACAGACCGGGTACATTGCTGGGTTCCTTCGAGGTAATAATAACGATTATCTGTTTTCTTTTTTTCCTTGGCTAGTCAAGACACTGATAGGTCCAGACAAGGCCACAGTAATTTTATTACACTCTCGTCTGGCCACTTTTGCTGATCAAGTTTACTGGATATCCAAAGAATAGATGGTGGAGGCTCGTTTCTACCAATGTTATGCAGTTGAAGATTGACGAGACAAATCCGCGAGTATATGCGTGGGAGCGGCATAATCGCATCATCAAATTAATATTCAACATCACTTTTCAGCTGGTGTCATTCACCATGTACCTCGCTCATTGCTTTCATCGTTTTCATTTTGCCTTCTCTGTAAAGAGCTTCGTAGGGACGCTTGCCTGAGAGATAGCTACGAAGAGGCTATCCTTAACAGCCATGGTCAAGTATATCTGAAAGGCCGAGACAAATAGCTTTCCTCACGGGAAGTTAGAGGCAATCCAAATGCTGATTGTTTTCCAAGTTCGCGTGTTGAAAATGTTCCTCAACAACACCTGCTGAGACAGTCAGACAACAGAGAGCTCTCTCGTTTGCTCCTAGTTGTCGAGAAATAGGCTGACACAGTTGTCGTGACTAAAAACACTTCTTTGCGGGCTATACAAACTTATGTTTTTGCAATCTTCACGAGTCCACCTGAGTTCAAATGTATCAAGCGCTTCACAACTCACACGCAAGGAGACTTTCAAGCATCGTAAGATATTTCTGCTGCTTTTCGGGCTTTATCTGGTGTCTTTATCGACTTCATAAAAAAAGATAGTTTTTCCGCTGACGTAAAGGGACATAAATCAGGACCAGATGTCGCTTGCGTTACGAAGCACTCTGTAGACTGTAGGAAGAGATAAAAGCTTTGAGAGGTTCCTGCGTGCTGACCCTAGATAGGTTGTCGGGTTCTGTATGGTCCTCTTCGCTTCGTTCCTGGGTTTGAGGAAGCTAGGGCCATAAAGCAACAGTCATCTAGCGAAATCACGTCACTATCATTCCCTAGACTTGAGGTATTGTTTCTGCGAGGTTTCGCAATTCTGTGAGTATGACTTTTCGATATGTATTTCTAGCCCAATCGAAAGATGTAGTCCACGAGTAACAAAAGCTGCAGCGCTCTATCGATTAAGAGAATTCTCCCATCCCAAAGGCCGACAATTCGCTAATTTTTGTAAGCAACAGGTTTCAAGCTCTACAGTGTCATACTAACATAATGTCGAATACCGTTCTATGTTCGAAATAGGCCGTAGCCACTCGCGACTACCCTCCCTTGTTGGCTAGGAACCACACTAGGGCTCTCCCACTCTCTGTCTTCCCTAGCAGCTCTCTTCAGATCTCCCTGCAACGTTGACTACGACCGGATGGCAAATACTGTCTGCCTCTCGATATTACTAGAACTATCTCTGCCGTTCTCAGACTTTGCCTAAGAGCAATAAAAGGAAACACAATTAGCTCGCCATCAGGACGGAGGGTGTGCTCTGAGTAGACTCATTTTCCCTCCAGCTTCTGCCCTTTTGCCCTCGGTTCACTTCCTCTCTAATCGTTCTGTCATTCAAAGGCCATAAACATGATCTGGCTCTTTGACGCCCTGTTCAATCCCGCTTCCTCAAATCAATACAGGGAGTCGAAGTGAGAGCCACAAACAACCCACACACCTGCTCCATGCCTTCCTAGCCAAAATGTGCATGACATCCGTTTCTTTGCCTCTCTTCTAAGGATTCCGTAAATTGATCCAAGGAAGGCTGCAGTGACCTCTAACTCAGAGCGCCGTAATCGCGCTCGACGCCCGCGACGGGTCATCCTAATCAGAAATCGAGCTGATATCTTCGACTCCCGGAATAATCTCTAACCTGTATCATTTTCCCTTCCTTCACGACAAACTGATACTAAAAGTCGCAATTCATTCCACTCAACGCTTGGTTTGTTCCCTCCATAAATTAATTACCTTATCCTCCGAGTCTAGTGACGTTTCACGACTCGATCAAAATCTGCGTGACCAAACTTTTGAATATTACTGAATATTAGAAATGTGCAGATAACCATTGCGGGTCAACGGGTCCATCGAGATAGATGTTGCGTTCCAGTACATAACCGATCGGGGTTCAGGAAGATGAATGCAGTCACACAAGTTAGTGACAAAGTATATAAAAGTATGCAAGGCTGCGGCCGCACCAACATAGGAGTGGCTGTGCTGAAGCGAGAGGTGCGCAGGTTTGATGGAGCTAATATGGCAATAGAGGAAGTTGCAGGTGTAATTGCCTTGCTGCTTGGCAGCAAGTTGCAGTATGCCACGACTTACAGTGTCTACCTTATGGTGGTTGGAGTATATAAGGTAAAGTACCTTATCTTACCTAAGGTACCTAAAATAGGTAAGTACGTTGCGGCTCGGCCGGCGCTCGCTTATCTTTCCTACTTTAGCTTAGCTACCTACCTACCTTCACAGCGCAGCGCGCAATGCACGTGACCTACAACTACTGTCCACATATATAGGTAGGTAAGGTAAGGTAAGGTAGGTATCTTAAGGTAACATTCTCTTAGCACCTCGTTCTCCCCCTTTTTTTTTTTCTTTTTTCTTTGTAGCTTAGATTCTTGTCCTTAGGTCTCATACACTGTTCAGTTTACCCTTTAACTCTTATGTCGATACCTTTTCCCTTCATTATTTGCGCTTGTGAAAACTCGGCAAATCGCTCAAACTTTCCGGCCACCTAGTACTGGACCAGACCCATAATACCAGCCCCTTTCTACGGAGGGAAAAAAAAAACACCAAAGAACCGCCCTACCCACAGTACCCCCCTGTTTTACCCGTTTTATCCCCTTGTAGAATCATCTCGCTACGGCTATCATGGGACTCGAGATGCAGCCATCATGCCCCTCATGTCACCGTCATGTTGAACGGGGATCGCTCCATTTACAGAGTAAGAGCAGCAATAGGCAGGGCGAGCGGCGGGGCCGTAGTCAATGTTAATAATCTGGCTTCCTCACTGCTTGTCAATTGATCACAAAGTACCGTCTCTTCTGTTCCATAGACCGGTATCATGGCCGCAACAAAGACAATCGAAGTCCCCCACCTCGGTGGTATCAAGGCAGGTTATGCTCTGTCAGGCGATGGCTACGATGCCTCCAAGCCGACATGTGTCCTCATCAACTCGATGTGCACCACGGTATCGCTCTATCGTGATCAGTTCAGCGACACGAAGCTCACGGACGCGGTAAACCTGCTCGCTATCGAGCCGTTGGGCCATGGGGCAACCAGTTGTCCCTCCGAGCACTTCACATACTGGGATACGGCCATCATGGCATTGCAGGTCATGGACGCATTGGGGGTCCAGAAGGCGTTTGTCTTGGGAACTAGCCAAGGTGGATGGATGGTTGTCCGCATGGCTTTGTTGGCTCCAGAGAGGGTATGTCGGTTGTCGGGCAGCAAGCGAAACAACATTCCCGCTGCGCGCCATTATTGAACACCGAGACCTCGAAGTCATGATACTGGCGAGGTTGTCTGCTATCTAGCTCCTTTGCGCTGACATTTTGCTCTTCCTAGATCCTGGGTCTTTTGCTCCTCGGAACTTCGATGGACTCTGAATCTGCCGACTCGCGCTCCAAAGGCTGCTGGGATCCCGCCCCGATTATCAAGCCCTTCATTGAAAAATGGACAAGTGCCACGGAAACGCCCGACTTCATCGTGGATGATGTTTGGTGTGAAATGGTTGGGGGCATCGGTTTCGGAGGGGCAGTGACTGCGGAGACGGTTGAGTTTTGGAAGAAGACTTTGAAGGATATATACAAAGGTGACGAAGGTAGAAAGAAGGTCAGGATGGCGGCTCTATGTCTGGTGGAGAGAGATGGGCTCTTGTTCAGATTGGGAGATATCAAATGTCCCGTCTACTGGTTGCAGGTGAGTCGGACCTTGTTCCTCTTGCCCCTCCTTTCCCTATTCCTTTTTTTAAGCTATCTGCTAACTAAATAACAGGGAACAGAAGACGCTCCTTACGGCCAAACAATCCCGGCCGAACAAATTAAACTCTTCACTTCATCCAAGGACGCTAAACTCACCATGGTCCAAGGCGGAGGGCATTATCTCAATGCAACTAACCCAAGTGAGGTCAACGTAGCGCTTTTGGACATGGTTAGCAAGTATAAATAAGGGGTTGTCTGAATCAACTTTTTGGGAGTATATACACCTACCTAGGCACCTAGAGCTGCGAAGAGAACACTGCTTGAACTGTGTAGATCATACCTACCAAATATCATTATTTTTCACATTGACAGCGCGATTTCTATCCTATGATCGTCGCTCAATAAGCAATCCTACACAATCGATGGATCCTGCATCTAGATCGTCTGTAATATCTCTTCTTTGCCCCAGTAAACACCCCGAACTCTCAAGTCGTAACTTGCGTTACTTCCTTGTGCACATAGATACTGTGCAACGGAATCTCATCGCCACTGAGACTGTCCATCGTTTCACTTGTTCCTGGCACACTTGCAACTGTGTAAACACAGCCATGATCGGGTCTCAGTGTGGCATCCACGGGCGTCTTGCTACTGTCTGGACTGCGGTATTTCGACTCGTCTGGCAGACGGTAAAAGGCACCTTGGCTGTCCTTCCGGACGTGACCATGCGCGGCGTTGTCGTTGGACATATCCGTGATCGTGCCGCCATTGCTAAGATTCGTGGGGCCAGCCTTGGAGAGACTGTTCGATACAGTGCCGTTGAAGAGGCCAGGAATTGATGCCTTGATGCCGAGATGCCGCATGATGAATTGCAACGCGGGTCTCATGGTTGGGAGACAAGCAGACACGATGCCAGCCGCCATTTCGATTATCGTCCAGCCCACGGTCCGCGTAAGCGTGTAGGAGGGGTCCGAAGCGCTATATGAGAACAGAACGCTAAAACGGTAGGCGGAGGCACAGACGACGCTGTGTTTGTTGTGAGACTTTTGTTCTGGGACCAGAAAGAAGGGTTCCTTCGAGTAGGTAGGAGAAACTTACAAGAAACCAAGGCCAAATGCACCTGTCAGTACGATTTTCTCGGCTCTTCGTAGCTGTAGCTTCCACACCTGTGGAAGGGGAAGGATTAAAATGGCCAAATCGGTGGAAATAGTTGACACAGCATTGGCAATCCAGGTTCCCACCTGGTTGATGCAATGACCAGGCAACTGGGGGTACCAGAGCTTCTGCACAGGAACGCAGATGAAAATAAAAAGAAACGTGATGCAGATCACCCATAGGATAATGAAGGTCCCGATGATATAGGCCCATCTCTTGAAATATGGAAAACGAAAGATGCGGTAGTACATCATCAGAAGGCTCAGCTTAGTCCAGACCAAGTTGTACACGTAGAGGATCTCGGCAACGACAAGGAACTTGGCGATCAAGACAATTTTCTCGAGCGGCACAACATCTGCGTGAAGACCCATGCCGCACCGAACCATCGCGAATGCGAATCCAACGACGACCAGATTCCAGGCCTATTGGTTTTCGAGACAGCGTATTAGCAGAGACGTCGGGAGTCAATCAGGGTCATCGTAGCAGGGCATATATATACCATTGACCATAGTATCATCCAATCGTCCCACCACAGCTTCTGGTTCCTTTCGTACCGAGAAAGTAATCGAAGGCAGACGCAGACAAATGCCAGCACTGTCATTGACGCCATGGTTGCGGTGGCCCATGGCTGCAGGTCTTCTTGCTGGCCCATCTTGATGTGGCCAAGAGACAGTGACAGATGTCGAAGTGAGAGGAGGAGAACTCAAAAGAGACGAGCAAAAGGAACGTGAACATGACAAAGGGTAAGGTGTATCAGCGACTAGAGTATATACCTGTTGGGATTCTGTAGATCGCAAATCCGATACGCAACTCCTGAGCACTGGGCACTGCTTGACAGACGCGGCAACTAGGTATCTAGGGAGGACTGGCACCCCGCTAAGAGGAAAGCGAAGCCTTGGAGAGTCAAGTAATAAGATAGTTTCCTGCAAACCCTGCCTTTCAGGGCTCTGCAAACCCCTGAGGGCGTGGATGATTGATTCATACACCCGCATGTTTTTGATATTTTTATGTTCTTATTACGCTACCGTATGTATCACTGCTGGTCCCCCCTGGAAACACAGAGTGACCATGCTGAATCTGATGTCACATTTACTTACAGCGGACCCTGCAGGGTGGCCAGAGAAGTGGTCTACTGCCGTGTTGTCGGGGTCACAGAAAATCAAGAAAGCCAAAGCCTAAAGGTCCCCGGTCCCCTATTATCATCCTTGAGCGTGTCCGCGATTCAAGTCCCGTCGACTACTTGAATCGCGGACACGACTATATACCTTACCTTTTGCCCCCCCTCTTCCTAGCCTCTCGCGCCTTGTCCCGCCGGGTTCCCTCCTGGGGGTCCCGGCAGTAGCTGTCGCGTTAGTTGCGTCAAACCTCTGGCTTTGATGGTCTTTTCACGACCGTTGGTGCTTACTACCGTATGATTCTACAGTCCTGTACTTACCGAGTCCCGACGGCGCCCGACAAGTCGATCTCCTACAGAGCAAGGGGCCACAGAATGGCCCTTCTACAGACGACAGAGCCTTGGGAAAACAAGGGTCGGTCCCAAGGTATCCAATAGCGAGCTACTTACGGAGAAAACCAGGTCCTCTAATATCAGCCGGGGCCTCGCGGAAATGGCCTGGGCCCGGAAATGCCCCCCCCACCCTTCTCTCTCTCAGAGTTAGGTCACAGTCTTTCGTCGACCCTGGTCGTACTACTGGAGGCGAACAATTCCGTGTACCGGGGAGGGGAGATAACAGTGCTGAATTTGAATTTGAATAATCATCATAATGCAGACGCAGCGCAGTAGTTGTAGTAGTGCAGCTAAAGAATCATAGTAAACTGGCACCGGTATCCACGGGCACAACCGAGCGGAAGGTTCGGCTCGGCCCCGCAGGCGCAATTCAGCAATGTTCCGTACGACCGCGGCTCCATTTTACAGGGGCATTATAGGGGAGGGGAGCAAGGGGAAGGAAAAAGGGGGAGAACTCGAACGAACTCGGATTAGAAGATAGAGCTACAGCTTACGCTCTAGCCCTCTGTTAGATAAGGTAGCTTGCTTTGTACTATTTACGAAAAGTAACAGGTACGCGTGTCACGTGACTCATAGTCACGTGACCATTACCAACCACATCTTTGTTTCCCGTTACAGCTCTCCGTTCCTTTCTTTATAAATCACCTCTCTACCTTTACAACTTTATAAATTTTAATTTACAGAATTTTTAACCCTTATTCTTTAGTATAAAGAACTCTAATAAATATAGTTAGTCTTTTATTTAAGTAACTAATTATATTAAGTAAAATAATATTTTAAGTAAAAAACTATAACAGTCGTCTACGCCCTTTACTACCTTAAAAACTTAAAAACAAATAATAGAATTAAAATTAGCGCCTTTAGATACTCTCTAAAGTACTAGTAAGCTATAAGTAAGCCTATAGTAACAGATAGTAGGTATACTAGACTTAAATAAAGCTAGTACTACTTACTTATAAGAAGGAGTTAGTACTCTTATTCTCTAGTAGAATACTATAGTAAGAAGCTAGTAAGTAGTAGTAGTTATAGTAATAATAAAATAAAGACGATCTTATAAAGAATTAAAGCTTATATAATACTAGGTAAAGAAAAGAAAGCGTTATGCCTTTTATATAACCTTATTATTATTCTTACTACTTATACTTAATATAGAAAACATAATTTTTTACAGAACGAAAATTTTTAGAAAGAGGCCTTAAAACTACTACTAGAGTAAAGAGAGAGTAATACAAGAGCCTCTCTTATAATCTATATGTTAATATCTTAAGTAGCTATAGAGATATTACTGTTAACGTTATAAGAGAGGGCTAGAGGCTTAACAAAACAGAGTTTTTACGTAAAAACTTAAGGATTATAATAACACTATTACAAACAACAAGAACACTTATTATTTTAATAGTCGCTTTACGACTTCTTTCTTTTTATTTTTACGTTACGAATATACTAAATTATATATTAATATATACAAAGCCTACCTAGTAGCTATATACATTAGTAGATCACGCCTAAAGACGATTTCTTAATATACTATATGTTAATACTAATAGATCTCTTTATAATAACCCTTTTTAAATTCGATATACTCTCTTTCTTCTTCTCTTAACTTACAAATATCCTTATAACTATAAATTAGTAAATACATATAGAATATACCTAGTAGGCTAGCCTGTTATACCCTAGAAGAGGCCTGCCTAAGTATAAGTAAGAAGGTAACGTAACTTTGTCTACTAAGTCGTCTTTAGTAAAAGGCTAGACAAGAAGAGGACAGATAAGGCGTAAGGAGAAAGAAAAAGAGGTAAGGCTAGATAAGAAGACATTGTTTAAGCTACTAGAGAGGCTCTAGGTCACGTATTATATAGGCTTATATAAAGGAGAATATAGAAATACTATAGTATTATAACGTAGTATAAGACTACCTTTAGGTAGAGGTTACTAGTAGCCTTTATCTATACTATAGCGCGATATAGGTCTAGCAAGTCTATAGCGCCTTAGTAAGAGGGTTTTTTCTTACTTTTTCTTTTTATAGAACTAATAAAAAATATGTATAAATAACTCTTATAGTACCTAGTTAGGTATTTAATAGAGGATAATGTTACTATTATTACTACTATACTTAATACATATAGAACCTTTATACTATATAAATCACGTAGTAAAACCGTATTAAAGCTAGGTAAAAACCTATATACTACTCTTATTACTTATATTATTATAGTACTACTAGAGTACTAAGACCTTACTACTACCTTACTAGAACTTAACCTTCTAGCCTAGTAATACTAAACATACTAACGAGCGCTAGTAGTACGCTAGTAAGGTACTAGCTATTAGCTAAGATTACTCTTTTTCTTTCTTAGCTAGCCTAAACTATAAGAACTTGTTATAAGTTAGAACCTAGTAAAGGGTTATGTTAAGTATATTTCTATAAAGTAAAAGAGGTAAGAGTCGATAGACAGTCGTAGTATATTTAAAGGTATATTACTACTTTAACTATAGACTAATCTCTAAACCCCTCTCTTTTTCTCTCTTTCTTCTTTATTCTTATACTCTTTAACGCCTACTATTACCTTAGTTATAACATATAGTTACCTTATACTTAATTTCTAAGCTATTATAGTCTTACGTATTAGCGTACTTAATATAGTATCCTCTTTTTTTAGCTTTTATCCTTAGAAGCTTATAAGTAGCTATTAGATTATAAAGAGGCCGTGTTAGGCCTAGATATAGCCTTTAAATACCTTCTTCTTAAAATAAAAGAATAAATTAGTAAATAAATATATATCTATATAACTAGTAGTATTAAGAAAAGGAGAGTAGTAGCGACTTTATAGTATAGTAAAGACACGTAGCTAAACTATAAGATTTCTATTATATATTATACTTTTAGATCTTTACCTTATACCTCTTATATTTACTTTTAGTTAAGACACTTTATAGTAAAGTACTAGTAAGTTACTAGGTAGTTATAAGACCTCTAATATATAGTACTAACTATATTACCTAGGTATACTAGTATTCTTTACTCTTTTACTACTTTTAGAAATCTTTTATTACCTCTTACTAAAAGGTTAATAGTATACTAATAGTAGGTAGCTATAAAGATTAAACTGTATTACTTATAATCGTATTTTTTAAGTAAATATAAAAAAACACTTTTTTTGTCCTTCTTTACTTAGTCCTTTTCTTATAGTACTAAAAGGTATATAAAGACTTGTTTTTACTAGTTTATTATCTTCTTTTCTTCTTTTTACCTTATACAAATATAATACTACTATACCCTTCTTTCTTACAACTCTTTTAACAAACTTCTAACAAACCTTAATTAAACTACTAATAATAATATAGTACTAATAAAGCGTTTAGTAGCTTATAAGTAATGCCTTAACTAAATAGCTTTATAAGACTTATAAGGTACTACCTTAAAGTATAAAGATAACGACTATAAGTATCTCTTTTTAGTAAAGAGTAATAGCTTAATAGTATAGTAGCTATATTAGTAAAGTACGTTTATTATAAGAATTTAAAGAAGAAGTATATTTTTATAAGTATAACCTCTTTTAAGATAATACTCTTATATTATAGCTTTATTAACATTATTAGGTTGTTATAACCCTTTAAGCTAAAGAGATTAAACTTTAGAAGGCGATTATAAAAAAGGATAAAGTAAGTTAGTCTATTATTTATAAGAAAGTTAAAGCTAATACATATAAGCTATAATTTAAGGTACCTAAACTTTAGTAAAGAAGAGCCTCTAGTATTTAAAGTCTTAGTTTATAATGTTAGTAAAAAAGTAAGTTTAAAGTAATAAAGTAAAAAAGAAAGAAAGAATAAAGAAAAAGTTAGTATATCTAGCTAAAATTACTAAGTAGCTTAAGATTTAAAATAAAGTTATAATAGTAGTAAACGTAAAGGTAGATTAAAGAAACTAGATTACTAAAGACGTGTTATAAGTATAATGTAACTATATTACTATATTTAAGAGGTATATAGTATATTTTAAGAAAGTTATAAGTATTCTTTTCTTAAAGTAAAGTTGTCGCTAATTTAAAAGTAGTACGCCTATAATCTATAACGATTAGAGAGTAGTAAAGAACTAAAAGATACTACTAAAGATAGTAATAGTAAAGAAAATAATAGTAAAAAGA